CTTCTCATTGTTTGTGCCTTGATTTATTATCACATTTTTAATAATAGGCCCGCATTTCATATATCCATGCCTGGGTATGCTCGATAAGCAGCTCCATGCACTTGACTGGCATTCAGCTTCATACAGATTGTACTTTGGGCAAAAATACCATCTTTTCACACATGGATGACCATTTGAAGGCGAATTTGAAGATCCAGTCGAAATGATAGCAGGGCAGACGTTTGCCAAGGTAAACGTCACTTGTCTTTTTCCTCGGTTGAGGACCTCGGTTTCATTGAAGTCTTGGCTTGGCCCTAGTTGTTCATCCGGGGTTTGAGCGCTGTAAGCTGGTTTCCCCCAGGTTTTGGTTTGGATAAATAGGCAAACCAAAACGACAAACAACAACTGCAATGAATGAACCAATGACGTTGAGTAGTGCAGCAAACAATTTTTTGCATCAGTTTTGTGGAAAAGTTTCCAATAATTCTCCATATTTCTTTTAAGTCAAAATAGTTGTAAAAAGCGTCTTACACCAATTAATTATTATATAAACTGATATCTGAGTGGATACTTACCTGTTGTCCTAAACAAAATTTATTGGCATAGAAGCCAAGCTTTGAAAATAAGTTAATGGATACAGTATTACCTTTGATTGTATGGTATGGTTCATCTTACGGTCTTTTTATCTTGAGGTAGTAACACGTCCTTGTAAAATATCAATTGAATCTCTCTCTTCTTGTTTCGTGCTCTGTATCTTAACAGTTAAAAATCAGTGATACTTCATTGGAAGCGTGCCGGTCTTTTATATCATTCTAATGTACATTGTTTTCAGTAATCTATATTTAAAGGAACACATTATTAGCTTTATTTTAGATTTGTTGCGGAAAAATCTCACTTTGGGGAATCGAAACTTATTCCCTTATCTGCGAACGTTTACCCTGCTGAAGCTTGTTTCGTTACATGTTCCCAAGGTATTTACAGTAAGGTAAGAGTTTTTTTAAAGGATATTTTTAACTAACGCTTTGCAATGTTGTTTTGTAGTAAGTCTTGTCAAAATGGAAGTCTCCACTTTAAGATGGTTCGTGATTTGAATTTCTTGGAAGCTTCGAGGAAGTCAAATTCCACACCTTCAGCGAGCTCTTTAAGCAACAATATGAAACTACAACATATCTGTATCCCAGCTAGCTTTGAAAAAAAAAAAAACTCTAAACGAATGTAGAATAACCAGATAATTCTGTAACTGTTGAACACTGCTTAGACAACTTGGATACAAAGAGAATCCAGACCTTGGTGCACATCAAAATCACAAAAAAAGAGATCATACAAAACATTAGTATTTCTGCACTATAACAAACATCGATCTTATATAGTGGCAAAATTGATTTTGCCAAAAATTAGAAACTTAAAAAAGCAATAAAATTATGCTTTGCGATGTTTTAGAAAGAAAACAAGTATTTCTAGAAAATATATCGATCTTATAAAGTGGCAAAGTAGAGAGGAGAAGTCATTACGTCACGTTGCCACAGTAGCAAAAATTTCTGGATGACAACAAACCGAAGTGAATTCGCACTGTTTCAACCTTCAGCGATCTTATTCAATGTCATTTAATTTGTCAAATGTTGAAGAAATTTCTGGGTTGAATCCGAAAGGACGGTATCTAAGTTTACAAAAAGCAAAAGACAATTTTTGTGTTGTGTTCACCTACTCCATAAAGCGAGCGCGTAAAATTAGGAGGTTTCATGTCGCAGTCGTGCAACGACGGCTAAGAAATTTACAAAAAAGCGTGATGCACGTGCAAAGGTGTTGTTTTGCTAATCTAAACCTATCGCCTTTTTGCCTTTCTCTTTGCTTAAGCTCCGTTTTGTTGTCATAAATTTGGGTTTAAAAAGCATAAAATTATGATTGGCGATGTTTTTTTATACTAGAAAACAAGTATTTCTAGACTATAACTGAATACACATCGTTCAATGGCAAAAGCAGATTTTTCCAAAGATGTTAACCCATTATTAGAAATTTTTTGATAGTTTGTTTTTGGGTTAAAAATACCATAAAATTTTGTTTAAAGATGTCTGGCATATAAAACCATTATTTCTACACTATAAAGTACATCTGTCGAATATGATGATAAAATTGCATTTTTTTTCAATGGGGTTTATTCAAGATTTTGATACATTTTTTTAAAGTTCGTTTTTGGTCTTAAAATTCAGTAAAATTATGTTTAAAGTTCAGAAGTTCCAGAGCACTGGGTTCAAATTTACTCCAACCAAAATGAGATTAAGTACATCTCACCTTCCAATATTAGATCGGAGTCAGTATTGAAACCAGCCCACCCCAGTTATATAATGTACTCCATTTTTCTCCCTTCCTCTCACCCCTGACATTTTATAGGCCTCTCTCCCCTCGGGTTACTCAAGGTTCTGCTTACACGTATTTCTAGCTTACGGTGCTTGAGGATTAAGGGCGCTTTCAGTGGAGCCAGGGAATTTGAAAAAGTTGTTTCCTCTTATAGATGAACACCTACAAGTATAGCTAAGTATATCTTAATTCCATGTACTCCTAAACGTTGTGATTAGAGGGCAGAAATATATCATACGCATATTCTCATATTATATATCATCTCATTGTTACTAGAAGGCCAAAATGATTGCATAGTTCAGGTGAGCTTTTTCTTTCTGTTTTCTTTGTTTTTCATCAATAAATTGACGAATTTTAGGACCAAAATAAATATAATAAAGAATGATTATCAACTATTTCGGTTCTTTCCATGGTCATGACACACTTCTGAGTCTTTATAAAAGGATCGAGGAAGTCTCCGCTGAAGACACGCCTTCAGCAAAATACTAACGCAAACTAACTAATTATCATATAAACGTTCTTTCAGGAAAACAAAGAAGAAAACTATATATATTTGTTTAAAAATTAGCAAGCGGAGAGGGTTTTTTCGTTCTTTGGGTGATGATATATATTCTTCTTTCCTGTGTACGTGTCTAATTTTAACCATCTCTATCTGATTCTTTCTTAACGAACTGCAGATATGTCTAGCAAATTTACGGGCTACCTTGACCTTAGCTGACGAAAAAAAACCTCGTGATAAGTAAGCAAAACGTCCCTGGAACGTCGAAACAGTTGAAATTAATTAAATGTAAACATTGAGTCAAAATTTGGAGGGAACAAACGTCTCTGAGCTTCTTTTTAAAAAAACCTGCTAAATGTACATGGAGAAAAACGAACGGGAAACCAACCGATAATCGCAAAGTGGATAGAATCGGCAGCAATAGGTAATAAAAGTCTGAAAGATTATGATTACAGAAAAGAACGAATAATTAATAATGTAGGGGGACATTTTTGACTAACAATGCTTTGTTGAATATCGAACATAACCTAAAATTGCTAAATGTACACACGTAAAATCATTTCGGGATTAATTGGTTCATGCTTAGCGTGCGTATATAGTGTTATGGACGTACGTAAACAGCGTAGCTAACTGTTTAGACAGCACGTCGAGAGAAGCGTAAGAAAAGCTAGTCCAGAAGCGAAGTCGACGTGAATCATGCTTTTTCATTTCCTTAACATTTAATTTTCTTTGCCGTTTCAATTCATGCGAATGGGCAATATATATTCCAGCAAAAGAGTGAGATGACCAGATGGAAAAGCGTTCAAAACTAAAAAAGAAGAAAATTTAGCACTGGGTACTCATGCACAGGCTTTTTTCTCATACGCAAATTTTTTTTCTCAAGCGCCGAGATCAGTTATGTTTGGACTTTGGACTTAGACCTTTACTACCGGTAACTCGACCCTTTTTTGCCATGCAATACTTTACATTATTTGATTTGTACAAAAGCCAAAGAGAGACTCCCCATTTCCCATTCCAAACTTCAGACTGACTTCTGTATTCTGAATTCCTTCGATTAATGACCACCGCTGTTTTGAAACAGCCTTTATCCATCTATTGCTTATGGGGTTTTAGTTTTAGCACGTTAACGTTCTTAGTCTTTATTCAACACTATGATATGCCAATAATTGCCTTCCTTAATTTCACACAACGAAACTGTTAATATGGGGAAATTCAGACCAAGGGGAACATCTTCAGCAGTTATCAGGGTAATACTTCGAATATTGCCTCTCTTTATCAACTGTAGGTAGGCGGTCTCAACATCCGCACACTACACCTGCTGGAGTATTTTCATAAGCTGCCTTTACTCTCATTCCACTTTAGCAAGGTGTCATTCAGTACTTGTCAAAAAAAAAAACACTTAAGATCGATTTACGACCGTAATTGCGATTGACAAGTTTAACTAGTACCATTGAACGATTTCCCCAGCTTGGGAAGCACTGATAGCCTCTCCTTTACCTTGTAACCTCAGTTCTGTTAAATACTCCATAAGCTTAAGGGAAAGACAGTTGGGTGTGTGGAAAATCGTTATCCTGCTGCCTTTCTGCAGGTCTTTGTTTGCCCAGCTGTATACTCAGATATTAGAAACTGCAGCCAAAACAATTTTTTTTAAATAACCTTGCTTTTTCCTCATTTTTCTGTTCATCTCGCACAAATTTGTACTTCTCAGTTTTGAAAAGTTTGGTCGGAAGGTCCACAGTGATTTACTCAAGTGCAAACGATATTTGACTTGGTGTTACCACTTTATTTTTTTAGTTTAAGTTAACATATTAACAATCAGTAAAATCAAACAAAGATGAAAAAATTCTTGAATGTGCCTCGATCATCCAACCTACAAGAAAAAATTAAATTAAAACTTAAATAAGCATTTCGAGCTTTTATAAGAAAATTCTAACTTCATAACAATTAAAGGCTACAAAGTAAAAATAAGTTAAAAATTAAAAATAAGCACCACAGTTATGTTATTGATTGAAAAACAGTTGTTAGGTGACAACATGTCCAGTGATCCAGCATCTGTGTAAGCATTGATCCAATGAAGTGGCCGGCTCAGCAACAGCAGAATAGGCAAGACGGTCAGAACTATTTCTGTTATGTTGTTTATGTATATGATGAATGTTATTTACTTACTCTAACACATTTTGCAAGTCTTTGGGCAGTCTTTTCTAAAGCTCGGCAAAATCTTGCAGAAGTAACCGTTACCAGCACAGTTGGGTTGCTTGTCTTTGCAACCTGCATACAATAACAGAGCGGCTTCGCTATAAAACCCGTCTAAAACGCCGGATAAGTCGCATGCGATACGCCAACGCTGCGGTACAACAGAGTTTCCTCTCTTCAACTCAATTACTTCTCACAAAAAATCATTTAATAGATTCCCGCCATGGCAAATAGTTTGAAAGTGACTAACGTGCAGTATCGTAGGTAGAAAATTAAACTCGCTTTGCAACATTTCAAGCAACCTGACACACAACAATATTTCTTTGTTTTAGGTTGCATTGTTTGTTGCGCAAATTAGATGGCTTTTTTACTTTCTGCAAAGTTCTGCTACAAAAGTTTTGCGTAACAAGATAAACGGATGGTAAAACGAGCAACATCGCTATAAAAGAAACTCTTACACTAACGACAATATTGTATATAATTTTACTGGAGCTCGTTCCCCCTTTAAGTACACCTTTAGATGCTATTGTCTAATGTAACCCATGAAATGGTGCGGATGGTAATGTATATACCTGGTGAGATAGTCATATAAAGATCCAAATCCAATACTTAAGCATACCTGGATCACCCGTTGGCGGTGGAAGCACTGTAGTTCGAACAGGTGGGGATGTCCCATGTGGTCTCGGTGTTTCTGGGGGCTGTGGTGTGTTTACGGTTCCATCTTCACCTGTCATGGCAGCAAGAAAATTGGCTTTGAGAAATTAAGATACCAAACAAAGACGAACACGATACAATTTTCTCAGGATTAAAGAGAAATGGGACCCTGTGGAGAGAGTGTGCAACATCTATCATGACAGCAGTTGAAGGATGATGATGATAATGGTAATAACATTGATGATGATGATTATAATGATGATAATGATGCTGCCAGTTCATGTAATATGAAGATAAAAATTGTCCTTAGCTTACTGGACCTTTTAATATATAACGCATAACAGGGCTTTACTGAGGTGGCCCCATTCCCTTAGAGATTATCGAGGTTTTGCGAGACACGTTCTTCCAGTATTACTTTAAACGTTTGCAGGTTTGTTGTTCAGTGTAGTGAACGAAGAAACATCCATCTCCAATCATCTCAGATACGTTTTTAGTTTACCAAACACACGGCAGAAACACAAGTGATTCAAGTCCACAGCTAAAAGCTCCTTCTTTGCAGCTCAGTCGACGATACAAAAATGGTCATCTTTCTCACCAATAATCTTGTGAAAGAATAAGACGCATTCTTATGTTTTCTGTGCTCCATAAACAGTAGTAACTCTACATACCTATTTTACGGAGAATCCAATGCACGTAGTTGGTGATTCTTGTGAACACGGTATAGTACTCTGTCGTGCAACGAGACATTCCAAAACTCACTGCTCCATGCAGATACCAGGTGTCCCCCTTTTCACAAACAAAAGGACCACCACTATCACCACGGCAACCTCCAGACGCACCTATCCGACCCTCTCCAGCACACAAGTGAACTTGTCTGTCAAAAAGAATCTGGTATTTCTTCTTGCAATCTTCATTAGATCGAAGCGGAAGTTTGGCTTGTTTAAGTTTGTCCGCTGATGGGCCCCAACCAGAAACAAAGCCCCAGCCTAAATGATTGGAACAGACAGTCTTTATAATTCAAAGAAATGTTTTCCTGAAAGCATCATTCAAAATAATCCTTATTTTGGCAGACTCACTACAACTAAGGCTCTCCAAGTATCCCTTGGAGATAATTTCCATATTGAATTGGAATTTGGAATGTTGGTTGTCGGAGAAAGGAAAAATGGAGTATCCGAAAAAGAGAGGACCCCTATAAAAAACTTAACCACGTTAGGACTCAAACCCAGTCGAAATTGGTCGGAGGCGAGGGCTTTCACCCCTACTCCATTTCTTGGGCATGTTCCCCCATAACCGTCAAACACCCTTATCTCAACTTTATTTGTACATTCCCCATCTATGAATCCGACGCGAGGAACTATGAGGATTGCGATTTTAGAAAGATTTTACACGATCATCCCCTGAGATTGTTCAAAGACTTGTCGACGAACAAATGGGATAACATATATTTCTGCAAGAAGCTGGTACTTGGTGCTAATTAAATTGAGATGCTTAAAAGTTTTTCAGATAGACCGCATGCAGAGTTCGTATATTCCCCCTAAACGTACTCAGGTGCATGAAGCTAAAGCGCAAACGTAGTGACTTAGCTTAGCTCTGAACATTTTCCAGATTCCGGGTAGTTGGTTATCTCTCCGGATCTAGATTACTGCGGGTTCCTCTGACTGCACATCAAGCTTTAATGATAAGTGGCTGAGTTCTGGTAATCTTTAAAATGTTTTATTACTTATGACACTTGCCTGTTATATAACAGTTAGCTTTCAAATCTGGCGCTTGGTTGGGCAGACAAACTGTGGAAACCTTGTCGCTCAATTTCACTGGGCGATCCAACTGAAGGAGAGCTATATCGTTTTTTAAGCGCCTCATGCTAAAATCCTCATGTATGTGCAGTGATGTTAACTTAAATGTTTGCTGTACATCGGTAGTTCCTTTTCTCCTATAAGCACCTATGAGTATTATCAGCGCATGATTACATTCTGCGTAGTTAATTTCATTCCAAATTAATACGGTATTACTATTATGATCTCTTGGGTATTATTATATGGCCGACTTGATATGCGAGCGTGCAAGTGAAGCGAATAGTGTGTTCTGATTGGCTATCTTAGATTGCAAAATGGGCTCGGCTCTTCTTGCCCGCTTGGTGTTTCCTGCGTTGATCCCGCAAGAAAAAAGTCCCTTCTGGGCGGATGTTACTAAAACGGGGAGCGGGGAAGGACAAAAACTTTACTTAAACTCTAGCCCTCTAGCCCTTCCATTTTTCATTCTTCCCGGCCCGTTCCCCGTTTTCGTAACATCCCTTTTTGGCTATATATTAAACCTGTTATTGACTCGTTCGGTCAAGATCTCACGTTGAATATTGGTCTCATTCTTCCTTCTTTTTATTGACCTCCACTTCCTCTCGGTCCATTAAGATGGCCAATATCCAGCGATCGTGACCTCACGTTTGGCCACTTAGGCATATATATTGAACAGCATACTTTCCGGCAGAACATTTCAAACTTCTCAACGGGGACGGAATGAGACTAGGTGAGCTCGTAAAATTCCCTACAGGACCAATTTAATTATGAGATGTCAGCACCTGAGAAAGAAAGACCTAGACTGTGAATTCTTACCAGCTACAACCGTGTATCCACTTGGGTCTGTATTTCTGTAAACGCAATGTGCAGCGGTGACCACCCAGTCGGGTCGGATCAAGGACCCTCCACAAATGTGATATTTGCCTTGTTTGCGGAGCGAAATCTGCCACGGCCATGAATGCGGGGAGGCGTTTTCACCGTTTACCACGCGGGCAGATGATGGTCGCTTACCACACCTTGCTATGGGACCAAAAACTCAATTATGTGTTACTGAACTTAGCCTAGATTGGATGATGTTTGTACGACAGGGAGCTTGATTTATCATGACACTTTCAAACATGACATTGCCTGAGAGGTGAACAGCACACGTTGAATTATTACCTACCTTTAACATCATGAGATGCCACGAGAAAAGGAAGTAGCAGATAGACGGAGAACATGTTAATGGTGGTTCCAAGTTAACTTTACCATTATTCGATCAAATTGAAGAGCTTTAAGGTCTGTGACACCTGCCCAAGTTGGCTAAAGCTGCATTTATTTTAACCAGTCTGTAAATTGCACTGTAATTGAGTAGGAAAATCCTGCCAAAGCCAGTCTGAGAGCTTTAGCAAGTATAATATTTACAAAATATTAAAGTATTTGATTGACAGTGCTGAAGTCCAGTGCTAAAAAGGGTGTCTACCGTGCAGGCTGTCAAAACGTAAGTTATCGTCAACCACAGTCTTTTTAAATCAACATGACAGGCCCCTGAGTATATATACGCGCATTTAGAGCTTTTTAGCTCACTTGACAACAGCTAGGCAAATGTATTGGCACAACAGAACTTGTTTAGATCAGAAAGAGTTTAACTCCAACGTGATTGGGTTGATATGGTCTTCATTTTGAATTGTAGTTACAATACACCAGTATGGCTGTATGGTGGTTAAGTCATTAGTTTACTTAGCTGACGAGATCAGAGTGGACTTGTCGCCTTTGGCTGCGCAGTGCATAGCTAGCGAGGAACGAACATGACTCGTCCTTATTCCTCTCCCGGCTTTTATAGCCTAAACAAAAACTAAGAGTGAAGTTGTCACGCCCGAGAAATCCAGCTAGCAACGCATGCTGTGAAAGCGGGTGAAAATTCACAGTTTATACAGATATATCGGGAAAAATTCGTGGTTAAACAGCCAGAAAATTACGAAACGGTCGACTCGGACTTAGATATGCGGATTTCCCCAGCTAAGAGGGTTACCTCATCTACCTGGGGCCCCCCACCTCGCTGTAAACAAGCCCTTAAAGGTGTCTTGAAATGAAATTTGGGGAAAATCCCTAGGAGTATGGCATCCAACCTCGCCAGTAAACGCCCGCCGGTTACTTACCCTGCACTGCCACTGCAGGTCTTTTCTCCAGTCCGGTTGTGCGAATGTTTTTGCTTGTAACCATTATTTTGAATTCTACTCCCTCCAATTTTCCCCAGCGATTAAATGGAACGTTTATTAAGGTGTAAAGAAGAAAAATGGGAGCGCGGCGACGGTATTACGAACATAACAAAGGAACTCTCGCCTTTGCAAAAAATAAACCGGAAGCACTGGCGTCCTGGTTACAGGTAAATCAACAAATTCACTAATGCGAGACAAGTGGCAGCGCAAATAGACTTAATACCTATCGCCATATGTCGCAGACCAAAAGGGAACTTACACTTAAGTAACTTTTTAGGCGATTCTCATCCCCAGAGCGGTGATCTGAATGGCTAGCGCTACGGATCCAAAGCTCTGACTGGTTCTCAATCGGTAAGTCCACGAATATTGCGTTCAAACAGCGGACTTTCACCTTTCTGCGCAGCCTCAAGAAATTTGAAACAATAACAGTTGCTAACCTAGAAGCGGATGGGTAGAAAACAAAGACCTAAGACCTAAGACCCCCCTCAAAATCACTTCTAAATATCTAGAAACGGGTATCTCTACCCATCCACATGGAAGCTGTTGCATTTGCGCGTTAACCTGGAAATAGCTACAGCTCTCGATCCGTGGTGCAGGCCAAAGGGATAGCAACTCATTTAGTCCCAATGCAAATGGCCAATGGCAAAGATGACCGCGTGACTATTTTTTCTTGCTTTTATTACGCTTGTCCGTCGTTTTCGTCTGGCCGTTTAAAATGTATAGACGAGTGGTTCAAAGACTTAGGGACTGTGCAATAATTATCAGGAGGGGGGGCTTAAAAACTAGGGTTATCTAGCAAAAACTTAGACAGTACCCCCCCCCCACCAAAACAAAAAAAAATAGTTCTAACCCCCTATGTTATGTTAAAAAGAACGTGCCCCCCCACCACCACCCGGTAAACTCAAAACTGGACTGAGCTGCCATCACAGCTTCAATAATGACAAACGTTATTATGTAACATCTAATATCGAGAAGGATGTTGATCGCTAGATTGAAGATTTAGACAAAGCATTTGCTAAGTACCGGGGTGCTTACCACATTGGCTCAAAATCTAAAATTTCTGAAGCCAGAAAGAGAAAGGAGCAGAGAAAAAAATCAAAGAACAGGAGATTAAACGCTTCAAATAACAGACGAAAAAGAGCTTGCATTATATTTAGATCCTTGGGAGGAGAGCCTGTTGAACTTTGTTATGAGCTATATATATATGGAATTCAGCAAATCGATTCAGTCGATGAAGAAACATTACTTTTATTCACATCAAAAACCGACAAAGCTTGTCTACGAGATCTGTTTGATTCCTATTATTTTATGGGGGAAGCTGAAAAACAAGTTCATGATTTTTGCTTTACATAGGATCAGCTCAATTAATTAGAAGACGGGTTAAAATTGATCAGTTGTGAATTTGCTTTTCATTTTGATGGAATATTTTCAATAATCGTTTAACAGCTGTTCGTGTTGATATTTGTTACAGTCTATCATGATGCCTGTATTGAGAATCTTTTATTGCGTTTAATTTTATTTACATTTCGAATAAAACTTAAGGCCCCCCCTCCGTGAAATGAGTGATTTTATTTTGAGCCCCCCCCTACCTTGGCAGCAATTCTATGTAATGCCCCTCCCTCAGTTTTTACCCTAGTTTTTCAGCCCCCCTCCTGATAATTATTGCACAGTCCCTTATTTTATATTTTAAATAATCGACCGTTAAGTCGGCGTCCGACAAATGAATAAACGACAAGTTATATCCCTTAGTTTGGTTAAATGAATAATGCTTTATTCCCTTGATTTTACAAGCTTTCGTTAAGGGAAATCCAGTTTTGGTGTCATAGAAGACACAGATTTTCTTGATTTGCTCATCCATTTTTAGCCTGGAAAAAGACGAAAAGCAATTTTCAGTTTGCTACACCTGCTTTTGAGTGTCCTAATAGCGGGGCTACCTTGAAAGAGGATGCATAGTTAGTAAGCGTAACCTTCCACAAACTTTGAAAAAGAATGACACTAAAGCTAACGAATCGAAAGCTCAATTGTTTCTAAGAAAGGAAAGAAAATTTTCTCTGGTTTGGAAGCTAACATCGCATTGTTAGGCGAGAATAATGGCAACCCACCCTGATCATTTTGCTACGCTTTTTTCGTCTAGTTTTGATGAGTAGTAACCTATAATTTTGGCACGAGAGAGGTCACGTGACAGCTGCAAAGGGCCTATTTGAAATACAGTTCTTGGTATTTCCTTGTGAAGAAAATGATGGAAAGGGGTTAATGTCTAAATGATGCTTACAGACTCTACAAGATTTCGGACAAAGGCGCTTTATGCTATTCAAATAGCAGTAGTGCTGATTGTGATAGCATGCATCCCATTTATCCTGACAAGCTGAGAATGCAGATGTAGAAAAAAATACATAGTTAAGAAATATAGACTAAAATTACAACCAATCAATGAAGACAAATAAAAAACGATTAAAATTAGCATAGCATTTGAAAGTGTAACAGTGAGTGTTTGCTTCGAACGAAATGGTGATCCCGGTAATACGAGAGACCAATGACTGAGCTTGTAAGGAGCGGGCGTTTTTTTTTTTCATTGCTTAAATTAAGACGCCTTGGTGAGAGGCTTGTACGTCGAAGACTAAGAAAGGACGCCACGAAACCGTCACAACGAGGTGTCCTACTTGGTGACAAATTTGACAAAACAATAGAGAAATAATCCAAACAATTCTCCTAGAGCTAAAAACAATATAAGGTTTGTTTTCGAAGGCCGTTGAAACTTAAGGTTGCTAAGATTTTTGTGGCTACTGAAATGATCGACTCAACTGTAATATTATGTTTAAGAGAGAAGACAGGGTTTGACGCTAATATGTTGGTCGTAGTGATTTGACGGAGAAGGTAAAATATTTATCAAATTTTAGCTAAGTATGAACCCTACTCACCGCCAGGAGGAGAAACGGTTGTTGGAGGTAACGGGGGTGGAGTGGGTGGTGCTGGTGTTTTGGGGGGTGGTGGTGATATTCCTCCGCTTCCTGTTTGAGCCATTGAAAAGAACGTTATAATTGGCTGAACAATAACTATTGTAAGATCTTAAAGGGATGTGTTCATTGTTGGCAGGGTAATCGCAAAAGTATGATCCAAATTTCGCAAACCCTCTAACCTTTTCCCCTCTCCTCTTCTCCCTCAGGACTAGAGTTTACGTTGCCCACTCTCAGTTCAGAAAGCAGTATTATAGGTTCCTTTACGTCCACTTCAAAACTGATGTATAAGAAGGATCAAGGGGATAGCAAAACCAACGGTTTAACGTCACCGCTCAATGACGGGATCAACTGAACTGACACAAGAACAGAAATTATGGCCTATATGATCTCACCCACGGTGAAAAAAGGTCCAGGAAGACCACCACTATAAGGAGGTTAGCCGGAACCTGAGCTCATGACCTCTTGCTCAGAAGATCGGTGCTCTTCCAGCTAAGCTAAATGGGCGTCAATTTTAGAACCGTATGTGGAAATTTGCTTGGAGCCGTACTACCTGTCTGGTCTGGTTGTAGTCAGGTTTTCGTAGTTTAAGATTGCAATAATTAACTTGCCATTGAGTAATAAAAATACCGAGACTCAATAGCAGTGCAACGCACATATTCACTTTAGTCGAGTGCCCAAGCTTAAAGGAGAGGAGAATGCAAATCAGTCGCATTTAAGGACGCAGACTTCATTGCTCATTGTCAGTCAAGTGATTGACTGACAATGATGAATTGGTCTGATATCTGTAACCGTCATGTATGAAATCATCTGACTTTTATTTGCTCTCACAATTAAAAAACACCACAACAAAACAAACAAAAGAAAAACCTGAGGGCAATCCAAATCTAGCTTTTCTTGTTCAGATTTAAATTTCAGGTACATTTAGTTCTAACGAGTAGACCAGTGTAATTTTCTCTATCAGACATGCTTTTTCCTTCATTGATACAAAGTAAATTCATCCTGCCTAGGTAGCTTAGGTAACGAAAGAAATTATTATATTAATTTAATCAATCATACGATCCGAACAGAGTTTTGTCCCAGGTTTTTACCCTTGAGACTCCAAGGGAAGGCCAATAAATGAATAAATTAATAAATTAAATAATTACTCATTTTAATAAAGTTGAATTATTTTATATATATTTCACATTGTTTTACACCTCACGGGAGATATGAACTCAATAAATTGACCTCGCTCCCAATGTGTGGATTCATAGCTCAGTTGGTAGAGCAACGCACCGGTAACGCGGAGGTCAAGCGTTCGAATCCCGTTGAAGTCCTGATTTTTTTTTTCAGGCTTCTTCTTTCCAAATGCTTAAATTGTAAAATTTACTGCGATGATCATTCTTCACTTTCAAAGTTGATATAACTACCTCCAATGTACTCACCTAATTTTTGTTCTATCCATGCTTTATAACTTGTGATCCTTGCGAAGACTGTATAGTGGGTAGTCGGACAGTTCCGTTTGCCGAAGCTAACAGCTCCATGTAGGTACCATTTGCCCCCCATTTCGCAAACAAGTGGTCCACCACTGTCCCCATTACATCCACCTGAGGCAGCTGTGCGTCCCTCGCCGGCGCACAAATGAGCCCTGCGGTCAACTGTTCCGTACTTTTTCTTACAGTCACTGTGCAAAACGAGGGGAAGCCTTGCTTGCTGCAAAATGTCTGGTAGTGGTCCTCCACCATACGTTCTACCCCAGCCTGCATTGTTTGGATATCAGAAGCGTCCAAGTGACTGTTTTAGCTTTAATTCGTTTTAGCCTGAGAAAACAACTGTCATTTCGTGACGCCATAACTGTTTTCCCGCGAAATGACGTCTGAGGATCGACGAGCGCAGAAATTCCACACTGATGACGTGTCACTAACCAGATCTGAATAGTACTTCCGATAGGTCGCGGCACGACCAATCAGAAGTACTATCCAAATCTGGGTAGTGACACGTCATCAGTATGGAATTTCTGCTGTCGTTCCTCAGGTGTCATTTCGCGGGAAACTGCAGTGGGGGCGTCACGAAATGTCAGTTGTTTTCTCAGGCTAAGATCATTGTGATGTTCCATATATAAAGTAAGTTTGTCAGTGCTAACTGTTACATAAAATAAGAAACGGACTAAAGGGTTTTCTTTTGAAGGAGAAAAGTCGTAGAAGAAATAAAGTCAGATAGCAAACAGAGAATTCCTAAATTTACGATGCATTCGCTAACAACTTCATAACGTCAGCACATCCTTTCCTTGTCTTGAAACTTCATTTTTTTTCTCCGTATTTTTGTTCGACATCACACCACTGGGTGAATTTTAAATTTATGAGGTTAAATTCCCACAAACCTGTTATGTAACAGTTCGAGTTTAGATCTGCATCCTGATCTGGGAGACACACTGTATTTACTTTGTCACTCAGTTTCACCGGTTGCTTCAACTGAAGAACTGCCACATCATGTTTGAGATTCTCCATGGTGAATCCACTGTGTTTATGAAGAGTTATCACTCTAAGTGTTTGTTGCACAGAAGTGCTTCCAGTTCGCCTGTGGCCACCTATAACGAGGTGGTGAATGTAAAAATGTTTGCCCTTATATCTTAGCTAACTAACATAACAAGCTCTAAATAGACGTGCATCAGGGTCTGGAACGGAACACCCGGGATCCGGGATTTGTCCAAAATTCGTTGCGGGATTCAGGAAACGTTAACGGGATACGAGATTTGATTGCGGGACTCGCCGAAATTTGGGCACGCGGGAATTGGCAAGAAAACGTTATTCGGGATAGCGATGACCAAAGTTTGGGATACCAGACAATTGTGAAAAAGGAGCGGGAAAACGGGAGCAAGACCCCCTTGACATGCAGACACTAATTTCAGTAGCATACCTTGACAATCAGCCGAACCGTGCTTTTAGTCCTTGTGAACGAACATAAATTTGTGGTTGTTTTTGTTAATGGTGGTACCACATGACAAATGTCTTACCCACTACAACCGTGTATGCGCTTGGATCTGGATTTCTGTCTACACAATGTGCCGCTGTTACGATCCAGTCATCTCTGATCAGGGATCCTCCACAAATGTGCCTTCCGCGCACACGAAGAGAAATTTGCCACGGCCAGGAGTGAGGGCTGGCGTCCTGACCATTCACCACTCGAGAGAAGGATGGACGCATGCCACACCCTATTCAGAATTGAAAGTCAAAAACTTACTATTTTAAAAAATCAAGAAATATTTATAATACTGGGCAATACTTACTGTCTAACCGAAATTATCGTCCACCCTGTAATTTTCCGAACACAAAGTACGCACGTGTTTATCACAAGGGTTGGCTTTAATGCCCAAATACGGTAATTATTATAACCTGACAAACCAGTTATACCAAGTACTCTTCACCGAGTTTTTTCAAACAACGCCATCCGAGTTTAGTGATTGCTTTTCCGAAACTGATAAATCAAGTTCCTCTCCTGTCCGTGCTATAATATTCTATTACTGTTATTGTTAAGTCGTGCACCAAATTAAAAGATGTTAAGGTAGTCACTTATTAGAGGCATCAAAGATTTTTAGGTATATAAAGTCCAAATACACAGCGGTCAAAACCGAAAAAATGAAACCCTTTTTTTTAGAATGAAATAGAAGGCCCACAAGATTTAGGTGCAAGTTCAAGTGAATAGGTAGTTACTCCACCAGGCCAAGTTTGGAATTAACGACGCTAGCCTTCAAATGAGAAAAATACGTCAGAGAACTACAGTTTCCGCATTACTGTTTGACTTCTTTGAGGACAAATTACTTTGGTTAGTAGTGAGCTTTTCTGCTCGTGTGCGACGATATAGTGTGGTGGAGATACTTCAGGGTTGGCCGAAGGAACAAGCGGCGAGAAGACTTTTCCGAAACCGGATACCTCCCATAAAGTCTCTTGCACCCGAGGGTAAGGGCAAGAAACCTTGACACTGATACAAATCCAAACACTTAATATGTTTTAGTGTCATGTATAAACTGAATTTGTTTTATATGCATAAATTTTTCCACTTTGAAGTCAACTCTTGGTCACGTATCACTGCTAACACTATCTCCGACATGGCTGACGTAAGACCATAGAAAAAATTAATCTGGCTAAGTTTATCTTGGCTTGCTACTGTTTAGAATAAGCAAATGGTGGGGTATAAAATAATTGCACACTGCTGAATATTGCAGACCAAGGATTGCAATCTTATCTTTCCCTATGTCTTTTTTGACAGGAAATGGGGCCGAAAACGCTTTAAGTTGTTTCTTGAAGATAAAGTATGATTTCATTTTTCACTGATTTAGTGAGCAAAAAAAAGAGAAAAAGAAAAAGAAAAACGACAATGAAGGAAACTTTCATTTAAACATAAAATACTTAAGGAGCAATCTTACTTTGTAGTGTGCTACTTACCCTTAGTGTCCGAGGGTCCAAATACGCTCGCGATGAACAAGGAGAAGATAATCATGATCATGGTACAAGTCAACCGTTCTCTTGGTCGTTGGCTGTTCTTATCCTCGGTATGAGCATTTATCTTTTATGACTTTTCTAAAAATCCTGCGGACAATTCAGCTGCGAAAGTTTGATAAAGCTGATTCCATGCGAAGATGTTTCCTGTCTGCAAAGCCAGAGCTGTTCAATCATAAGCAAGCAAACCTGAAAACTTCTTCTGTCAAAATTGAGTCCAGAATCTCAACAACGATGACATTAAAGATTCACTGTAAATTGAACGTTTTAAATTTACAGGCTTTGTTAAGAGAAATGCAATTTGCCTGCTCGTAACAGCCACACACTGATACAACAATCAGACACTGTCAGAAACTCATCAGTGACTCAGACAACTGTTTCTTCTGCATGGGAACCTAAGCAGATACTGCAGGGGCTGATCCACACGTTAAAATTCAAAAAAGGGTGGCCGGGACACTTGCCAGCTACATGGACCTAATTTATTTTACCGAAATACTGAAATAGAAAAATGGGAGCCACGGTCCTCTCGGCCAACCTTTCCCATGGATAGCTCTCAGTAAATATACTTAATAACTTAAATCTCATATGCAAACACCTCTCGGATCAAGTTTCGAGTCCTCGGCGGACTAACATAACTAAAGTTTCCGAGTTGAAGGCCTGATATTGCAAGTAAACGTTTTAATTCAATAAAAGCACCATGATGTTTGTCGAGTGACTAAGTTTATGCTAAGAGAAATCTTCACTTAGCTAGACGTGTCAACTGATCAATAATGAAAAAAGGGCCTAATTAAAGCCGGCCATAGTAGAATGCGCAAACCATGAACACGATAAGATGAAATAAGGTTCAAATGCACGAACCACTTCTATGAAAATAACGAGTATCCACATTTTGCACAATTTCCAACATTTTATTATTTTTTTATACCTGATCGTGGTAAGCCTTTTGTAGCGGGTCAGGATTTGTTTTTTTCTGTGGAAAAATTATACATAATTAAAGCTGTTCTTTAGTTATGATAAGTTTAATTCGGTATAGTTCCTTTTTCTGCTAATGATTATTATCATTATTATTAATAATAATAATAATAATAATGATGATGATGATGATGATGATGATGATGATGATGATTATTATTATTATTATGGGTCGCCGAAATAAGCTGTCAACATTTGAAGGAACAAACCGCCCAGCTGAATCAAAGATTATCACTGGCCGTCGGTGTTTATATTTAGTGCTCAGGCTTGTTGAGTGGTTTTAATTTTATGATGAGTGTTGTTACATTTATTTTAGTAAATGATTTTCACTTAACAGTAAACTGAATTCCCTGTTATTCAGAGCCAAACAGTTTCACCGGTGATACATACTTTGTGCTCCAAATAGGCCCCGCCCACACATTTTTAAGGGCTACCTTTCTACCCCATCCCCCCAGCTAGTTCGACTTACGCGACCCTTTTAGATATTTTCGCTTCCTGGATTCTAACTGGTCAGACACTTGGAAGAAACATTTACTTATAGTTTCGAGATAGTCTAAAAAGGATTGTGTCAGTTTTCGAAAAGCGAGTCAAGCCCATCCGATCAAAAGGATTCATTTTACTATTTTTTTTAGTTCCTGCCTAATGCATGTAAGGCAAGAAGGACTGGGAAAACATCTTTCGAAATCTGTGTTTTACACTGAAGAGGATAAGCCACAGTTACAAAGAGACCCTACAGAGACCCAAAGTTACATAGTAACACAAAAGATGCGTAACATTCTATTTGGCCTGTTAGGTTTAGCCCTGGTTTAGCTTTTCTGCCTGGTGCAATGTACTAAATTCAAACTGTGAAGGCTGCGCATGCCCAGAACATGTTTGAGGGTGTGAATGGGGTTAACCGACTAGGACAAAGGGCTAAAAATATTACTGACTACCGACAAAACGAGTAAAAAATTACCGACTACCGACAGGAAAAATATTAACCGACTACCGACATGGGCTGACATTATCAATATTTGTTTCAGAAAAAAAGAGCATTTTGCATTTTTTTTCCAGCCGTTAGGAAGTAACCTCTAACAGAAAGAACTTACTCTTTTGTTGATACGGCTACATTACTACAACGAATATCATAATCACAGAAGCCACAGTCCTTAAAGATGCTACCGACTTTATATATTTTATTGAAAAGACAAAGCTGAAAAAACTGAACATTTCTTGATTCGGTCCGAGAAATGTTTAGATTAGTCCTGAAAGAAAATTCTTTCGGGTTTAATGGAAAGCACTATCAGTAAGAAACCACAGTACCGAGATGAGCACATACAGCAGTTTCCTTTCCAACATTTTCATGGCCGCATATATTGAAACACAGAGTTTAAGCAAAACCGTCTTTAAACCAACTGTTTGAAAATGCTACCTAGATGATATTTTTTCCCTATGGGACATAAGTCAACCAGACATGGTAGATTTCTTCAAATTCACGGAACAAGTAAACTTACTTCACCCTACTGTTCTACTGGCTATGAAATTTACGCCCGAAATATGTGACACTGAGACAATCTTTTTATACCCCGTTGTAAACCAAGGCACAACATTCAACGAAAAATGAGAAAAAGCTATCATTGACGTAAAGACGTATATACATTTTTACCTCTTACCACCCACCGAATGTTACAATGGATTTGACCAATGGATTTGGTCTTGAGTATCCTACGAACAAACTCCTCTGAGGAAGTATTTCAGATTTCAAAAAGCGGTTGATGGACAGAGGCTGGCCACATAATTTGAAATAAAAATTGCTATTAGAAGTAAAACTCACAGGAGAAAAGCAGCGCTCCTGAAACAAAACAACAAGGAAGAAAAAGAAATATTGCCTTTCGTGACACAATACAAGCCCTTAGTGTCTATTATAAAGGAAGCTTTAATGTAAAAGTGTAATCTCATACAAAACCAACCACTACCTTGCCAACTTAACCCTCAGACGTACAGGCAAAATCATACCCCCCACCATGGTACAAGAGGATGGTAGATGGAACTCCTCCCCAGAGTTTTTGATATGGTGCAGTGTTTTGAAGCGATTTTGCCTTCACTGAAAAGCCTTTGATCTTCTTAACAAGATGAGGTATATTTTATGAATGGTGGCACTGCTAGAGGCCTGTTACGTCACCAACGATGGTCGCCATCTTTGCCGCTATCTTGGATATTACAAAGAATTACAAAACAGGTTAAAACAAAGAGAAATGTATATTGCTTGACATGAATAATAACACATAAATAAGCACTTTGCATGATTTAAATCATACAAGGGGTGGGGGGTGGATGCCACCCCTTTTTAGGTTTTCTGGGATTTTTCCAAGAGGATAAAACATCAGCACCTGAGGTTTTCAGTAGATGTTCGTTTATCCCTCGCACGCATTTGGAGAAAAGTTCGGTGATGATCAGTTTCTATGGTTACGAGGTATGACGTAATAAGTAGCAGGTTGTCAAGCGATTTTGAGCGAAAATATAAGTTTTTTTCAACTTTTTTCAACAATAAAAGAAAAATCTTGTAGCTAAAATTTTAGCACAATGGTGAAATAAACGACCACAGGAGCCGACCGGCTCCTGACGATCATGTCGCATAAACAAACAAGAGTAAATGAAGTTCAAGTGGCAATCAAATGATGCATTCTTACAAGTTTTACTCTTTCCCTTGGGATCAAAGTCTTGAAACTTGGTGAAATACATAAAAAATATTAATAATTAACAAGCGTTTTTACTTATTAACGGAGATTTTCGGACAACCAACAAAAATCAAGAAGTTTAACCGACTACCGACAAAGATCGAAAATTTTAACCGACTACCGACAAAGTAACTGAATTTTAACGGATAACCGACAAGTGGACCCCCCCTCCCCATTCAGACCCTTATGTTTGGTTCAAAATAGACAAACAGGCGTTGTTTCCTCTTTAATTACTGTTCATCATTTCTACTCCTTGATTAGTTGTTTCACTCAATTTTTGTCCATAAGAATTGTTTTGCCCTATTTTCATCTGCTCATTTTCTATTTTGAGAAAATTCTCAACTTGAATCTGCATGACGTTTGCCATTTGCCGTATACGTGAAGCTTAAACTCTCTATTCTGACGTTTCGGTGTTTATTTTAAGCAAGAAAATGCAAAACTTATTTTTGATCTACAGCGCTTTTTCTCGGATTTCTAGTTTGACAGCTGTCAATTAGCCTTAATTAGAATGGCAAGTATTCGAATTAACAGACTACGAGTGTGAGTAAGGCATATCCGTCCGGCTTGTAGTGGAAAATGCCAGATCGTGTACCTCAGCGAACCTGAGCCCACGTTATTAGTTTTCTGATAGTGGTCTGCACATGTCCATGAAAGAAACTCCTTGAAATGAGCAATTTTTTTTGCAGTTTTATGTTGATGTGATATGTCTAATGGGCGAGCGCGCGTACGCTACGTCATAACCAAATTTTCTCGGATGGATAGTTTACCAAATTTTGTTACCCATGGTGCTCCGCTGCGCGCGCTTCGCTTAAACTCTCTATTCTGACGTTTCGGTGTTTATTTTAAGCAAGAAAATGAAGAACTTATTTTTGATCTACAGCGCTTTTTCTCGGATAAAAGCCCCTCCACATATAAGCCCTCTTAAAGCTCAGGGCTACCAAGGGCCAGTTTACGGTGTAGCCGCCCTTAATTCATACAACTAGATCATGCAGGACGACTATCAGGAGTTAATGAGGAACAAGGCAGGCCTGGAGCCACCAATTAAGTCCACAGGAATTTTTTTTTAAATCATTCTTTTTTAATTGCAGATTTAAATCATTGAAAATATCAGTAATTAAGTCCCTTGTATAAGCTAGGAAAATCAGTGTAAGTACACACAATGTACCAAACAAGATGTGTATCTTGACTTCTTATCATGGAATTTAACCTGTTGAAATAAAAAAAGGTTGATCAATTTAAAATTGACTGGTCAGTGTTCCTGCTACCAGCTAGGGCTGTTCATCTCTTTTAATAATCCAATCTCGATATCTTCAGTATTAAAATTCATACTAGCATGGGGTCTCAAGCAAAAAAAATCATCTTGAGGCTCCGTAATGAATAATACATCTCTTTTGTTTTATTTCCCCAAGCCTCTTGGCCAAGTTTAAATTTAAATATACGGAAATTGGTCCATTAACAGGTGTATTAAGGGCAAGGCTACGGCATGCGTATATGACCAGAATCTCAGTAATTGGATTATAGCTTTGTAGGCTCGCAAGGATGTTACTGAAGCGGGGAACGAGGTGTGGGGAACAAGCAAAGGGAACGGGAAAATAAAAAATGGAAACAAAGCAGAGAATTGGAAATGAAGTTACTGATAGGGCTTCGATTCAAGTTAGGTTTTGTTCCTATTTTTCTTTTTAATTCCCGTTCCCTGACCTCGTTCCCCGCACCTCGTTCCCCATTTTAGTTACATCTGGCTCGGAATGAATGAATAAATTCTCTATCTACAATCAGTAAAGTCGAAACACGTGTGATGTGTATTGCCTTGTTTTTGCGGGAGCATTATTTTTCTAAATTTAGTTTCAACGAAATCTTCCAAACATGACTGACTCGTTTTCGCCATATTCATGGCAAGCGTCATGACTAATACTCTTTTTTCTCTTCAAATCCGTCTAACTCTCATCAGTCTCATCCCAGCAGCCAGCGCGATTGCAAACCACGACGTCACAATAAGGCGCTGGGACGAGACGAGAATAGACGTTATTTTTTCTTCTTGTCGGCCCTCGTTTATCGCGGCTTGCGGTTTCGTCCTCGGACCTCGCGTTAGCCTGCGTTCAAGCTCTCCTGTTTGGGTAAGCGAAGTGAGCCTTGCGAGAACTTGGCCCCTCGCGGCTTCGCCGCTCGCTCGCGCGTTCTCGAGAGACTCGCTTCACTCGCCCAAATAGGAGAGCTTGTTCGCAGGCTAAGCTCGCGTGCTTGGCACGGGTGGAGTACACTTTGAAAAGAAAAAGAGAAGAAAACTCGCAGTCTTGACTGTAACAGAAAGTAGAGAATACGCCTTATCAGATAGCGTTTTTACTGCTTTTGGTACGAAAAAGCTAATCAATTTGAACAGGAGCCCATCAAATTTGATGGGCTCCTGATTTGAAACATTTCTGGAGTTTGTGGTATCTAACACCCACCCCGTCAGTAACAGCTCCTACAAGCTATTTTCGTATTTTTGTTTGGACCTATCTTAAACACTGGCATCTGCTATTTCTTACAGAGTTGACAAGTCTTTTTGCAACGTCTCCGGATGTAACTACTGTGGCTGCAGAGGTGTTTATAAAACCGACACCAACTTAACTGATCCTTGCAGTCTGTGGAAAAAATATAAATGAATAAATAACTAGGTAAAACTTAAATTTGAAAAAAACTTTCCTTAACCAATAATTTGCAGAAAATGTATATTTGAAAAAACTATAATATATATAGGTATTTATATACCAAGACCAGTGAATAAGCTCGAATATTCGTCATGTCATGAAGGGGGAAAAAACTAGAACTCTGAGCATACTGTCAGTTGAGGCACAATGAGATCCCAGAACAACGATAAGTTGCCGTAAAACAGTCAGGGCGAAGAGAGTCAAGTCCATTTTCTTTTAAGAATTATATGATGAAAAGAATGGTAGAACACTGCCACGGTATCGCAGAGGTCAAGGGTCGAATTCCGTACAAGCCTGAATTTTTTTCAGGCTTTCTTTTCGCAACTGCAAAAGTTGCGTACCGTATTTATTCGATTAACCGCCCTGGGCGCTTATTAAATTTTTGGACCTTGAGAGTGGGCGCTTATTCGAGGCTGGGTGCTTACTAAATTTTCACCATTTTCAGCAAGTTTAGTATGTTAATTTTGCAACGATACAATAAATGGTAATAATAAAACGCGAAGATGTAACAAAGCAAGGTTTCTGTAAAATACTCTGAAGAAAACTCCGTCTTCGGGCAAGTCTCTTATTAGTACTTATTTAAGGTTTTTTGGGTGGGAGGGACCAGAAAAGGGGTGGGCGCTTTTTTGAGTTTGAGAGAGAGGGAGGTGGTGTGGGCGCTTATTCGAGGTGGGCGCTAATTCGAAGTTGGGCGCTTATTCGAATGAATACGGTACATATATATATATATATAACTGCGATGATCTTCATTCACTCCGCAGTTCACATATCTGATTTGCATATATTCATAACACTACATCATCATCCTTTCACGGGTTTATAACGAACCAATTCAACGACCTGCTCCCAGTTGGCTTGTTAGCTTAATTGGTAGAGCGCTGCACCGGCATCGAAGAGGTCAAAGGTTCGAATCCCGTACAAGCCAGAAGTTTTTTCAGGTTTCGCAACTGCAAAAGTTGCGTATATAACTGCCATGATCTTCATTCATATAAAATTATCAACTATTAGGCAGATCAGACTGATGCATTATCTTAACTATTGTAACTAAACTTTCAAAATAGAGAGTTTCTGTACGATCGCGAAATTTCTTTGCTACTAAAGAAAGCTCATAGCCGTGAAAGTACTTAATCACCTATTTTGTTCAGAATCCATGATTTGTAGCTCGTTATCCTGGCAAACACGGTGAAGTGAGTAGTAGGACAGTTTCGCTTGCCAAAACTGACAGCTCCATGTAGATACCACTTTCCTCCCATCTCACAAGCCAGTGGTCCACCACTGTCCCCATAGCATCCCCCTGAGGCAGCTGCGCGTCCCTCGCCAGCGCACAAATGAGCATTGCGATCCACTGAGCCATACATTTTTCTACAGTCAGTATGGGAGACCAGGGGTAGCTTGGCTTGTTGCAGGATATCTGCTAGTGGTCCTCCGCCAGAAATAAGACCCCACCCTACAAGTGAGCAAACGTTAAGTGCATAAATGGATACTTACAAGTCCCAGGGAAATGAGAATAGTCTTAACTGATTTCTCGACACCTCTTCTGAAAAAGCCAGGTTAAACTTAACCGCCAAAACACTGAGCTTTTTGTGATGGAGTAAAACGTACACCTTGTTCCGCTATTTCTCTTCACTCTCTTTGTATTTTGGCTACTTTGTCAGAAGGAAGCTTTTAAAATTTGGTGCTCTGGACGGTAAGAAGGTCCCGGATGTGTCGCGGCATTCTGGGCGACGAAATGTTCAAAAGGTGGACAGCGCTATCCACTGGGTAAATCTCTATCCAGTGAATAGTACAATTGGTTTCCATAATACATGTACTTATCTGGCCACGGTTCCTCGAAAGATGGTTAAGAGCAGGAGCCGATTACTTGTAGTAATCGGCTCCTGTTAAGAGCCTGTTTACATGGAGGTGGGGAACCCCAGATAGGTGAGGTAGCATGCGGCGGGTCACCCCACCTATCAAGTAAACGTGATCAAATTAAAATGAGAGATTATATGGACAGGCAGGTTACCCCACCTAAACGGGTTACCTCACCTACCTGCAGTCCCCCACCTCCATGTAGACAGACCTGGGATTATAAGCCAAATTTAAGCAAGGTTTTCTTGCCTAACAGCATGCAACTCGAATTTACAAAATACTGTTGAGCAACTTTGAGCCTACAGAAACACTAATGATAACACGAAATGTTACTTTAGGTTTCTGGGAAACTGACCACCTACCCTCCCCTAAGCCAACATTTTGCCCCAAGGGAGAACTAACGGATAATGTTGGCTTAGGGGAGGGGTAAAAAAGGTAAAAAACAATAGACTGCGAGCAGTCTCTCTTTTTCTTCAGATTTACTGAGAGCAATGCACGCGCGCGGGAGTGGCAAAGCCGCGAGACGCGCGAAACGAGGGCGCGCGTGGCCATTTGCGTGTCTCGCGTTTTGCTCGACGGACTACAGAAAAAAGAGAGACTGGCCCCATCAGTCACGCGCGTGGCCAATTGCGTGTCTCGAGTTTTGCCCGACGGACTACAGAAAAAAGAGAGACTGCTCGTAGTAATAACATGCTATTCAGACCACGATGTTTACAAAGAGTAGACTATAAACGTTCTGAAGCGTGAGGTTGTATGAGAAATAGAGATTTACTCGCCAAAAATAAAAAAGATAAATAGATAAATGAATAAATATTAAATAAATAGAGTAAATGTAGCGAAATAGAAGAAGTATACCGGTTATTATTATTTTTTTTTCAGAAAAAGAAAGCCTTTCATTCGGATGTCAAGCCTATGAGTCTACTTATCAAAGGCGAATAGAAGTGATCGCTTATACCTCTGACGTTAAGTTTGGTGCTATTACGTATCTACGTAACGTAATAGCACCACGAGGACTTCTTCTACTTTTAGGCGGTGATAAAAAATTGGGAAAAATGCTTTGACCATGCGGCTCGTGGTTCTACATGGGTTGAAGTCATTTCTACGATCTATAATGTTTCCGATTTGTCTATCAGTACAATGGAATTCTTTTTTAACCAAAATGCATCTCGCGAAACCTCACTGGGGAATCGAAGGGAAGCGATGATAAACAACCTCATCCCCAGGGCTTTCCCTTAAAGAAATGGAAGAGAAGCAGTGGGGACAAAGACGGATGATAGGCGGCTGCAATCTCGTTCTCAGGCTTCTCTGTCTGAGAACGAACTATTTAAGCAGAAAAGCACCAGTTATTCACTAAGAAACAATGATTTTGATATTCCTACTTTTAACACTATTAACCATGGAAAACATTCTCTTAGATATCAAGGACCTCATATATGGTCGAAAATAGATAAAAATTGAAAGGTTCCTCGAATATTGAACCTTTTAAAAAGAACATTAGGAAAAAAGACAACGTCAGTCTTAAACAGCAACAGTAGCTGCTGTAACCTTTGTAATTTTTAGAGACTACGTTTTATATACCTATTGTTTTATTGTACAATTTATACATGCTACATACTTTAATTGTATATACTTTTTTTAATTCCTTATTTTTAAATAATTTTAATTTTTTTTGTGTGTCCCCGATTAGTTGTGAAAACTAAATACACTGACACATAAATAAAGCTTTTACTTACTTTACGAGGTTTAAGAGGCTGTATTCGCAGGCTAATCGCGCGAAAGAGTCCGAAAAAGATAAAAAAATATATATATATAGTAATAATGATAATGATAATATGGTCCCGAAGTTGTCTCAGTGATTCGATGGCGTTTGCACATTATGCTCGCATTATTTTTTCGAGCATTTTAGTGAGGCAAAAGCATTAAGTATTATTCGCGCATTTTAGAGTAATTTTCCCGGAAAGCTACTGTCAGTCTTTTTTGGAAAAAAAATGAAAATTAAAAAAAAAAAGATTTAAGAGAATGCGAGCACTTTAAGAAAACTTTAAAATAAAATTTTAAGGTAAAATTCCGAAACGTTAAAGTTAATTAAAAAAAGGGAAATCCTCGGAATGATGAGCTTTATCGAACATTGTAGTGAGTTTTGGGAGGAGACCAAGCATTTACTAAGTGGAGAAAAATAGCCAGAGCATTAAGGTGGAGCATTTTTGTGGGGAAACAAAAGCATAATGTACTGCAGGTGATTGACAACGTTTTACGGCATCAAAAAGCGCGTGAAAATCAAACCCTACCTGTTATGTAACATTTGGAGTCCAAGGCTGCATCCTTGTCTGGAAGACAAATTGTATTTACTTTGTCACTCAGTTTCACGGGTCGCTCCAACTGAAGAACTGCCACATCATGTTTGAAGACTTGGAGATTCTCCATGGTGAATCCACTGTGTCTATGAAGAGTTTTCACTTTAAGTGTTTGTTGTACAGAAGTGTTTCCAGTTCGCCTGTGGCCGCCTGTAATGTTATAAAAGTGAGCGGCTCAGCGTTCCTAAAACAGTCTCAAACAGCACCCAGCACTACGTTTCCTTTATGAATAGATTAACTTTGAGAAAAACCTTGGGAATCTTGGGAAAATGGCTTAATTAATTCGGGTATTATGGACAGGTATACTACTACACCCCGGCTGAGCCTCTGAAATAATGACTGGATCGGACTACTATTTGCAGGATAGTGGTATCATTTTACGCACTTGAAAAAATAAAGAAAAGTTCAAGTAAGTAGCCGAATAATTCAAAATTGTAAAAGTTGCACTATGTTCCAGTGCTTGCCAGTTGAGTTACAAGTCCCTGATGGAGGTACCTAAGGATGTTTTAAAAGTACTTACCTATCGCACGACACTGACTTGTAGTTCGCAGGAGCCAATGGCCCTTTGGCTGACTGGTTTTTATAATTTATCTAGAATTTCATTGAAGTGGTACAAAGGATACAAGGGGAAACTCCCTTATGAGGCCCAGAGGGGTATGCACGTGCCGATGAACACTGGGGTATGGTTTTTTGGGGGTCTTGAGTATTGAATAGGTCATACATACAATCTCTGATAATTTCACTATTTGACGTCTTGGACAGGGTGTGTTTTTGGATCGAAAGCCTGGAAAATAATCTGAAGGTTGACGATGAACGGTCTAGTTGTTCGTGAGTGGTATGAACTATCTTTTCACAAAAAGATTTGAGTATTCTATGATGCTAGTTTTATAATTACTTAATTTCCGTGTGCGAGACAATGTGGGTCAGGGTCGTGAAATAAGGTCTCTTCTCTTAAACAGGCTGGTCAGATGAATGATTTTTGTCTTAAACCGAAAAGGTAAGGCTTTTAAGGCCTCGGTGGCACATCCCTGCTCAAATTTCCCTTGAATTCCCCGGGAGTGTATTGCTAAAGAAGGACAAGAGTTTTAGATTGCATAGCCTTCTTAGTCGCTGTAGTGAAGTTGTGATTTCTCTCAATAAACTCAAATTGGTCAGTTTGTATATTGTAACGTACCTACTACAACCGTGTATCCACTTGGGTTTGGGTTTCTATAAACACAATGTGCCGCAGTTACGATCCAGTCATCTCTGATCAGGGATCCGCCACAAGTATGCCTTCCACGCACACGAAGAGAAATCTGCCACGGCCAGGAATGAGGGCTGGCGTCCTGGCCATTCACCACTCGGGAGAAGGCTGGACGCATGCCACATCCTACAGGGAACATTGGTTGTTGCGATCAATCAAATAACTTCCTATTGACAAAACGCAACTGGGTAAAATGTTTCACTAACTTTCTTTTATACCATGCAAGTTCGTCCAAGTTTCTTTTCTTTTTTTGTCAACTTAAACAGCACGAAAAGGCAAATTTAAGTTAGCGTAATGGTGGCGTAAAGCTAGCGTAAAGCTCTCATTTACGTAACTTTACGACACATTTCAGCCACGTAAAGCCGAACTTTACCGTACCTTTACGCGTATGCGTTAAGGTATCGTAAAGAGACTGTTTAAGCCCTGCGTAAAGTTGGTGTAAATACGCCGTAAAGAAGAGATTTAAGCTAACGTAAAGTTGGTGTAAATACGCTTTAAAGTAGAGACTTAAACCAGCGTAATTGAAGCGTAAAGTTGGTGTAAAGATCTTATTTAGACAATCCTTTTACGCGTTAAGCGGACACGCAAAGGAGTAGTAGTTTAAAAAATAGGGCCCCTTTCCGTTTCCAATTTTGCATTACCATAACCAATTTTCAAATTGCCTATCTTTATTTTTACATTTCAAATCCCATGAAAATCGCCAGGTATGCTACATTGTTGTAGCTGCAAAAGCTGCAAATACGAATCGCATTCTTTAAGTTTAGTCCCGTAAAGAGTGATCTTACAAGGTTTTAAAAAACAAAACACAATGATACTCTCAAACTGAATTTTCTAAATATAACATGATTTATTTCTGTGTTAGCATCTTTGTCATTACATTAAAAATTAAAAAAACGAAAATTTTTACAACACCTAAGGTTTAAATAAGAAGATACAGTGTACATAAACTTTTCAAATGGGTCAAAACAGTCTTCTCAAAATATCCAAAAAAATCGTCTTAACTTAGTATTATACCAAATTAAGGTGATTTATGGTTTAAAATAATTATTAGCATTTACATGTAAGGTACAGGGTGTACAAGAAAACTGATGAAGTTAAATTTTGATAAAAAAAGAGCAACTTTTCTAACACACAAATTAATGTAAATGTGGGTCAAAATGGTCTCTTCCAAAATGAAAATATTAATTAGTATAATTTAGCATAATTCAAATTAAAAGCTTAAACAATTTTAGATAAGAAATAAAAAGACTGAAAGCCTATACATGTATAACATTGATGGTTTCTTGATTTAGCCCTTTCACTCCCAGAAGTGTTTACAGTCAAATTTAACAACAAAATCCAAATAACAAATCATTTTCATAAGCTGATGATGTAAAAGTTAGATGCACAAGGCTGTCACTAAGATTGCAAGTTGCAGGGTAAGTGAAGTTAGTGAGCGGGACATTGAAAATGTGGAAAGTTTCGTTACCTCTCAAAACAGCCAAGTATTGGGCTCAAAGTAGCCAATTTAAAGTCTGGTTTATGGCCCTTAGTCACAGCCCTGGAACCACTTTACAAGACTAAGGCTTGTAATTAACATGTATTAATCCTGTTTGCTTTGAGAGGACTTTCTGTCACCAACATCCCATACCAGGCTGATCTGCTGAATAAAAATTGAAAGCAAGTATTATTTGAGTAAACTACACAGATTATTTGAAGGCTAGTGATAATACACTTTATTACATCCACTTTGAAATCACTGGCTATCCATGCAATCTGATTGGCTCTCAGCAGTGTGATTTATTCCTAAACCGCACCATTTTTTGCTCTAAATCGCATCTGTTCCAAATCGCGTCATTCATGTTCTAAATCGCACCATTTCTGTTTTAAATCGCACCATTTTTGTTCTATAGCGCATCCTTTCTGTTTCGAATACAAAAAGTGAGATGTAAAAGCCTTTTTGTTTCGGCTTTTTAACAAACCGGCTACTCAAACAATAAAATATTAGTGCTGACTAAATTCTGCGATTTCAAAATGGATGTAATATAAAGTGGTAATTGAACTTCGTGTCGTGCAATTTTGGTCTGAAATCATACTTGTGATTTCAAATCGAACTCACACTGCGCGCTCGTTCGATTTTGAAATTACGCGTATGATTTCAGACCAAATTGCTCTCCACTTAGTTCAATTACCATTATTAATCAGGGACTAAAGGCACAAGTACATGTACAGTAAGGGCGTGTTTACATGAGAAAACTCACACCGGCGCGAGTGAAATTGTCGCCCCGGTACAAGAACCGGGGTGAACTCATGCTGGGGTGACTCGCGCCTGCATGACATTTTGTGGTGGTGTCATGTAAACAAATATAGAGCTATGAGAGGGAACCGGAGTGAACTCGCTTCGGGCAAAAGTTGCCTGGTGTCATGTAAACACCCCCTAAGTTGCCAGAGGACAACACCTGCTATTACTAATTACTAATATTTTTTCCTGCACTTATGGCCAAATTATTACAATCAGCACAATTTTACTTGGCACAGGGTTCCCCACATGCCTCTTTTCACAAACCAAGACTAAAAATTTGAAAAAAATGATAAGGCATTTTCCACAAGGGGTCTAATAACAGTGCAAAACCTGAGCAGCAAATGATTTCAATGTCCACAAATGCACACAACTGAATAAGATTCATCTGACTGTTAAAGATTCTAAATGTTTGACTAGTATGAGTTAAAGGCTTTCCTTAAAGGCAATAATATTTACATTTAGAACCCTACTTGCAGTTGAGTGAAAATCAGGGTAAAATGCTACATGGAAACCCTATAATAATAATAATAATAATAATAATAATGAACTTTATTAAAGTCTCACAGGCACAGTGCCTTACTAATTGGGGAGACTGAAGCATATATATATGTTAAATTTATTAACAATGGTTTATTATATTATTAGAGTTCAATGTTTTACAATGTATATCTTTTTTTATTTTAATGTATGCATTTTTATAAAAGTATCATTCATTAATATTGTTGTAAAGTGCTATGAAAAACCACTGGATGTACATTATTATTATTATTAGAGAGTAAGCAGTGCGCAAAGAAAGTAGTGTCCGATAGCCCGGGGCTAGTGGATTTTGCTATCGAGCAAGTGAATTTTGAACTTAACTTGCCCGATGGGCAAGTGAAGTTTTTTTGAGGAATTCAAATTAAAGAAGAACTGTGAAATCAATTCTGCTCATCAAAACAGTTTGGGGACTAGTTGAAATGACATTTGGGCTAGTATATGCTAGCTTCAGCTTGCCCGAATGGCAAGCTTTAAAAATCACCTTCTTTGCCCCCTGGTAAGAGAGAAATTTTCCTATCCACTTGTCTTTCACACAAGCAATACATTAAATTTGGTTTTCTGAAACCTAGAGTTCTTGTCCAAAAAGTTTAGCTTGCAACGGGCATTTATGTTTTTAATCGCATTATTTAATCACATTATTACCCTTGTATATTATTTTTGAATCAAACCTACAACAGAGTTTGTAAAAAAGCAAATGGATGAAACGACTGGCAGTGGAATGGCAACGTTAAATGGAATATTTAAGGCAACTGTTTCTTATCTTTATTTTTCTAATTGAAAATGTGCTTGTCCCACAGACAAGTCATATCAAAGGTTTACATGTCCGAACTAAATCAATAAACATTCCTAGCCTTCTCATGAACTCCACCAAAGACTTTCAGGGAAAATATAGAAACATATAAGCACCTTATTCCCAAAAGTTTCAAATTTTCCTGAAACTTTACCTAATATATTTTTTTTCCTTTTTAATACAAAACGTTCAAGGTTCCTAGTTAATGTAACAAGAGTGAAGCCACTTTGCCATTTAAAGCCCTTATCCTCAATCTTGAAAACAATGCCTCCTAATAACAATGTACAGTGTACCCTGTAAATAAAGCAGCCTATTTTCTTTTCTTGCCACCAGGGACATTTCACAAGAGAGACAGTTGTATTTGCAGATTAATAATGGTGTATGTAGACAAGAGAATCCAAAACAGCTATGTCTGCCATGACTCTCTTAAGATGTCTTATCTTTCACAACTTGTTTCTTTAAATTTTATTTTCCTTTAAACCTAGATTTACTGACGATACAACAATGGTGCAAATAGAACAATTTCTGGTTTCTAACATGACTGTGTGCTTTGCTTCCCAAAAAGTAAGGCATTCAATTTCCTGACAGTATGTGCTGCACTGTATCCTCTCAAGAACCACAATATAATTTCATAGGAGCAGTGCACAAAGAAGATTAAAATTAATGGTAATATATGAAATGAATCATACTTTGAACTGCAGATGAAGGTATGAAACTGTGAAGATGTTAACAACTATGTTGGCACTTAAATGAAAATACATTCTAATTCAATCATGGTCTGCATTAGCTATGCATTGAAAGACTCATGAAAATGTCTATTCATTCTCTGTTCATTTAAGTTAAAACCCACGTAATTTAAAATCAAAAATAAACTTTTGTACCTGCTTCAAAAAATACATGCACGCTGTTAAATTATTCACCACTTATGACCTGGATTGCAGAGAAGTTTTGTTCGCCCAGGGAATTGGGAAGCTTGGGTTTGTTATTGACTGACACATGAAAATATAGAACCAGACTACGTAGATTATCTTTGCCTACTTGCAAATTCAACACTTGTTAACACTTTTCTATTCTGTTTATTAGTTCTTCTATAGTCTGTGAAAATTTTCATAAGAATGTTTGTATCACATTACATGTAAGCTTACTTTATACAGATGTCCTTTCTTAATTCCATTATTTTCTTTTAGTAATTCCCAGTACCAGTGACCAAACTCCTATTTTCCAGTACAAAACAAGGAAATTCTACTCCTTCAGACCCCCAAAGTCCTTACATGATTTTACATTATCATCTTCATCGTCATGGTCTCGTTGCTTGCTTAGTATTGAAAGGTTATGCCAAATAAATATACCTGTTTAGTTATAATTTACTTTAAACGGTTAATGCTGGTTTCATTGCTCACTGAAATGTTACTTACTGAGTACTTGACACAGTCATTCGAACTCATCATAAACAAGTCGGAATTAAGTTTAAAAAGTTAGAGAAAAGGCGAGCCAGGACAACTTACCTTGCCTTACTATCTGCTCTTTCCAGCGAGATCTTGAGTATCGAAGAGCCTTAGTAATACAGTCTTGCTCTGTGTTGTGAACTTTCCAGTGTTAATGCTTGCGCTTCACGCGATGTTTCTGCCTCCATTTCTGACTGAGTATCTCGTCCCGAAAGGGTTGCTGCACACTTGAGAAGTGATCGATTACTAAACGCTGATAGTACCATTATAAATTGTAACAACCTTAAGATGTCCTGTGATGCTATCAAGAAACATAATATAGGAACGATCTCCAAACTTTCAAAGAAGCAAGTTTGAAACCGTTGGACACTTTCAAAATGGACGCCAAATCAACGAGCCTGATTGAGCATGTGCAAAGGAACAAGCCCGCTGACCAGGTGTCCCTTCACTCTATTGTTTCCAGGCCCCTTTCTTTTAACAAATTGTCCGTTCCCAAAACTGAAGTCCGCGGACTTAAAATAAGGAAGCGATAAAGGAGATTCAACAATGAAGCCAGTACTTCGTTGAATGTAAAACAGTCAGAGTAATTTGTGAATGCGTTCTTTCACTTTAAGTAATGCGTTCTTTCTTTAAGTAAAACTCGCCGTTTTTGCGAGGCGATATTTTTTCTTTATTTTCCAATTATTTCAATTTGATCAAATTACAGTTGAAACTCTCTACAACGGCCACCTTAGGGACATCGAAGAAAGTGGCCATAGTAGAGAGGTTGAAAGAAGAGTGAATGTATGTCATGTATGGACCGTCCGCCGAAAAAAAAAAAAAAAAACAAAAATGGCCCGTGTAAAGAGGTGACCGTTAAGGAAGAAACACCTTATACTGACTGAAATCAATGAGGCAATACTACTGAGTATTGAAATATAAAACTAGAAACATTAAAATACCATGAAAATCACCACGCTTTTAATTGAAGTTAAACTAACTACAGTTGAACCTTTGCACAGCGGACACTCTCCTAAGCGAACAGCTCTACTTATGGCCACCATTACAGAACCCCTTTTTTCTCAACTCCCATACAAACTCAGTTTATTTGACATTAAGTAAACAGTTCCACTCTCGGACGCCTTTTTGCCGTCCACGGCGAGGGTGTCCGCTCACGAGAGCTTCCACCTTGTATGTGCTTTTTACCCAGTTAATGCATGCTGTTCAGTGAAAATGCTTTCAATACCAATCAATCAGATCAATTAATTGCCAGTTTAGTTGCGCTTTTTCCCTGGCAATTTTGACTGCTGGCAGTTATTTTTTTAAAAAAATCAAGAACTACAAGATTCGGTTAGAGTAGTTACAAACGGAACATTCCGATAACAACTAGTCGACAAAGCTATGAGGGAGACAGTACAACGGTTTAACTTAATAGTGCTTTATCACTAACCTTCAGAAAAGGAGGGCACGAGGCCGCATAAAGCGAGAAAAAAGAGAGAAATCATCACTTGGGTTCTTCTCTTGAAGAGACTTCCGCTTTGGACTTTTATGATCTTCCCAGTCTCTTTTATAACATTTTTAAGCCTTGAGATAGATCACCTGGGAAACTTTGTTAAAGCTGTATGCATAAGAAGTGCGGATCCTCCCATATACGTGATCGAAAAATAATGATAAAAAATGTAAACAAAATAAGAAGAATGACAACTATATTAGCGATGACTAACGAGCTTAATGGACCGCAAATTGATCAAATATAGACCGCAAATTGATCAAATATAGGCAAATGGTAGTGTTTGTTGAAAGAAATGTGTGTCCACGTTTAGATCATCGTTCAGAGCAAAAAAATTGCATATTCGCGATGCAGATCCTTTGTTGACCGGTAAAAAACCTGGAAACAAAGCAAAGCAAAACAAGGAAGGAAAAAAGGACAAGAGAAGCCACGATTATCTTAAAAGAGCTTCTTTTGAAATCAAACCTTCGACCACAAGATGACAATAAAAAGACCAAATACTTTACACACTTGTACCACCTGGACAAAAGGGGATCTATTATAGACAACTTTCGGTAAAGTTAGTTTGTCTTCCTTGGAAACAATAAACTGGTTATTGAATAGAACAAAGTGTGGGCAGTCAAAAACAGATTTTTTTTGCATTCCGTTTTATTCTTGCCTATTTGCAAATAGCAAAGTGCAGTTTCGATTGCTGGGAAACGTGAGGAATTTTAAGAAATTTGTCTTTTACGAATAATTTGCCATCGGTGGCTGCCTCATAAAATATTTACAAGTGCATTTACAAGTATGATTTGATCGAATGTTTTTGCCCTGAACAATGTTTGGGCTTTCTTTGTTTCTCTAGAAATTTATTCTTTGTGCTTTAAATTTTAAATTTTTCTTTTTCAGTACTTTCCTCGGTATTTTTCTTTTGTCACTTTCCAGCTTAAGCTTACTGTAAGACCAATGAGACAAATATATTATTATTCTATTTTTAATGATGTGGACCGGCAATTAGTCATTCTTGTCACTGAAATTAAGACTGATTCTCCCTAAATTGTACGCCACTCATGCTATTACCATTACTAAGTGTTAAAGGTAAACTCAGCTGTAGCATATGCGTATAGCAGTTGCATTTGCTCGCTGAAAGCTCATAAAATAATAAAAGTTTTATTACCGAATTTCCAGCGCGCTCGGTCAATGCAGACATTTGCATTATAGTTAGACAGGAATGAGCTCGTAGCAAAACAATAACAGTCCATTTAAGATACCTTCGATCCCTTCTGCTTTCATAACACGGTCTGGTCTGGGTTTCCTTCGGGCTTCTGTTAGCCTCCCACGCAGGCATTTTTAGGGGAGCTCGTTTTTCATCCCTCCCCACAAACGCCTGTCCAACCGAAAACAACGTTTCTTTCCCATTGTTTTATTTGCGTGGTAAGTGACCAATCAACAATTGTGAAATAAAGTGTTGACAGGCTAAACACGGCTGAACGTGACCCTAGAGTTACCGTTTTTCGTCTTTTCTTTTCTTCGCTAAGGTTATGCAGTGCATGGAGTATTCTAAATTTTGACCAAACCTTATCTTTGACGCTCTGAATCTAACATTTATTAGAGGTCAGGAAGCTTTCCCAGTGTTTAATGCAGATCAGGTAATTATCAGATTACCTTGCGGTCAAAGTCAAATTTCCAGAATTTGGAAAGTACAATGTGATTAGCTAAGCTTGGGAAAGGAATGTTGTCTTCGCTTGAGCAGGCGTTTGTGGGGAGGGATGAAAAACGAGCTCCCCTAAAAACGCCTGCGTGGGAGGCTAGGCTTCTGTTTGATCAAAAAATAAGGGGGCGCCCCCCCCTGGCCCCTCCCCTGGATTCGTCACTTATATAGAATAGAGTGTTTTCACTCACGTGGCCAGCATCTATGCAAATTGATTGGAACAAAAGAAAGCGTTTGCATTAGAAAAGAGTTCAACTCCCACAGGATTGGTTAGGGACACCAACATGGCCGCCGTTTCATTGTTTTGGGACACCAATATGGCCGCCGTGACGTCATGTGAAAACACTCTATAGTCTACAGTTGAGCCTCTCTACAACGGCCACCTTGAGGGTAGAAGAAAGTAGCAGTTGTAAGAAGGTGACCGTTGTAGAGAGGTATTAAACAAGAGTCAATGTACGCAAAAATAGTGGCCATTGTAGCGAGGTGGTCATTAGCGGAGGTTAAACTGTATGTTTTAAAGATGAGGGTTGTAAGAAGTTGCTATATTCAGAGCCAACTTAACAGTTGCCTCTTGTAAGGTAATTCAAGAGAGTCCAGGATTCTGGTTTCCAAGCTGTGGGTTCCGGATTCCAGGTACTGGATTCCACATTCCAATCGTCAGCGGATTCAGGATTTTCGGATTCTTTAAAACCAATCACGGATTCCAATGCCCAGGATCACGGATTCCACAAGGAAACTTACACTTGGAAACTGCCCACCTACCCCTCCCCTAAGCCAACATTAACACTTACTTCTGACTTAGGGCAAAATGTTGGCTTAGGGGTAGGCATTTGCCGATTGTGCTAGTAAAAGTGGCATATTATGCTAGTGGCAGTGCTCGTTTTTTGCCCAAATTATGCTCAAATTATGCTCGCTTTTCAAAATTATGCTACTTTTTTAAAAAATTATTCTATCGTCTATCCCGGGCAAGTTGTGCAGGCTTTGGTCTATCCTCTCTGTTCTCGCAACCTTGTAAACTATCTGGATGTAAGTTCACTGCACTTGACTGGTTTGGCGTGGCGGCCGCCATTTTGAAACGAGCACTGGGAGAAAGACTAAGGAGTCTGGGACCGAGACACAGACTTCCGGTTCCGTTTCATCGAACTCCCGCGGTATCTCAACACAAGTAAAAAAAAAATCGAAAAATAGGAGTGGAAGCAACTGTTAATAGTAATCTATCGTTTTTAGTAGCTGAGATCTTCGTTTTCTTGAATTATTCTAAAATTGTGCTATTAAGACAAGAAAATATACGGATTATGCTAGCAGTGCTACTTTTGGAAAAAGGGCAAAAATTATGCTCAATTCCTCAGATTATGCCAAAAATTATGCTAGAACAATCGGCAAGAGCCTACTTGGGGGAGGGGTAGGTGGGCAGTTTCCCAGGAACGTATACTGATCCCATGGAGCGATAACAGAGAGGTAGCTGTATGGACACTGGTAAGTAGGCATAATGCAGTGAGTTTGTCGCCCAAACTGCTCTGAAACGACCTCACATAATAGGAAAACGTTATAAATAATACATGAAAACAAGGGCAAGAAACCTTGCCACTAATACAAATGCAAACACATAATATGTAGTTTTAGTGTCATGTATCAACTGAATTTTTTAATATGCATAATTTTTTCCTCTTTGAATTCAACTCTTGGTCAGGTATCAGTGCTAACACTATCTCCGACATGGCTAGAAGACGCTCGCGCTTCCGCGCTCGTGTCGCGCTGCGCGCGAAATATCGCGTTCGCCCCGCTTGGCTCATAAAGCGCCTGTCAATTCAGCTTCGAAAGGTTGATAAAGCTGATTCCATGCAAAGATGTTTCCTGTCTGCAAAGCCAGAGCTGTTCAATCATAAGCAAGCAAACCTGAAAACTTCTTCTGTCAAAGTTAAGTCAAAAATCTTAACCACGATGACACAAAAGATTCACTGTAAATTGAACGTCTTAAATTTACAGGCCTTGTTAAGAGAAATGCAATTTGCCTGCTCGTAACAGCCACACACTGAAGACGTAGATACAACAATCAGAAACTGTCAGAAACTCATTGGTGATTCATTCAGACAACTGTTTCTGCATGGAAACCTAAGACGAAACTGCAAGTGCTCCAGATCCAGCGGTTAAAATTCAAAAGGGGTGACCGGGACACTTGCCAGCTATATAGACATTATTTATTTTACCGAAATAGAAAAAAGGGGAGCCACGGTCCTCTCGGCCAACCTTTAAGTCTATGCACCGATGGATAGCTCTCAGTTAGTGTACTTAGTAACTTAAATCTCATTTGCAAACACCTCTCGGACCACGTTTTGAGTCCTCGGGGGACTAACATCAAATTTTCCGATGTTGAAGGTCTGACGTTGCAAGTAAACATTTTAATTCAATAAAAGCAAAATGATGTTTATCGAGTGACAAAGTTTATGCTAAGAGAAATCTTTACGTAGCCGTGTCAGCTAATCAATTATGAAAAAAGGGCCGGAAGCCGGCCATGCGCAAACCATGAACACGATAAGATGAAATAGAGCGGTTTTCACTTGATTGTCGTAAAACCAAAACCAAAGTAAATACACTAGCCAACCAAAGGGCGTAGTAAAACCAAAACCAAAACCAGTCCCTTTCGACAGTCAAGTGAAAACCGCTCTAATAAGGTTCAAATGGACGAACCACTTCTATGCAAATAACACGCGTCCACAAAACATAACACAATTTCAAAGATTTTTCTGTCCTTTCTAAAGCCAGTTAGCCTGTGATCGTGGTAAGCGTTTTAAAGCGTGTAGGGATTGGTTTTTTTCTGTGAAAAAATTATACATAATTAGAGCTCTTTACTTATGATAAGTTAATTTAATTCAGTATAGTTTCTTTTTTCTGTTTATTATTATCATTATGGGTCGCCGAAATAAGCTGTCAAGATTAGATTATCACTGGGCTTGTCGGTGTTTATATTTAGTGCTTAGGCTTGTTGAGTGGTTTTAATTTTATGATGAGTGTTGTTGCATTTATTTCAGTAAATGATTTTCACTTAACAGTGGAAATTCCGTGTTATTCAGAGCCAAACAGTTTCAACGGTGATACATACTTTGTGCTCCAAATAGGCCCCGCCCCGCCCACATATTTTTAAGGGCGACCTTTCTACCCCATCCCCCCAGCTAGTTCGACTTACGCGACCCGTTTAGATATTTACGCTTCCTGGATTCTAACGAGTCAGACATTTGGAAGAAACATTTACTTATAGTTTCGAGATAGTCTAAAAAGGATTGTATTAATCAGTTTTCGAAAAGCGAGTCAAGCCCATTCGATCGAAAGGATTCATTTTACTATTTTTTTAGTTCCTGCCTAATGAATGTAAGCCAAGAAGGACTGCCAAAACATCTTTCGAAATCTGTGTTTTACACTGAAGAGGATAAGCCACAGTTACAAAGAGACCCTACAGAGACCCAAAGTTACAGAGTGACACAAAAGACGCGTAACATTCTATTTGGCCTGTTAGGTTTAGCTTTTCTGGTTGGTGCAATATACTGAATTCAAATTGTGAAGGCTGCGCATGCCCAGAACATGTTTGGTTCAAAATAAACAAACAGGTGTTCTTTAATTGTCGCTTACTGTTCATAATTTGTCAAAATAGACAAACAGGTGTTCTTTAATTGTCGCTTACTGTTCATAATTTTCATTATTTCTACCCCTTGATTAGTAGTTTCACTCAATTTTTGTCCATGAGAATTGTTTTGCCCTATTTTCATCTGCTCATTTTCTATTTTGAGAAAATTATCAACTTGAATCTGACGTTTGCCATTTGCCGTATACGTGAAGCTTAAACTCTCTATTCTGACGTTTCGGTGTTTATTTTAAGCAAGAAAATGAAGAACTTATTTTTGATCTACAGCGCTTTTTCTCGGATTTCTAAAAATTAGCCTTAATTAGAATGGCCCCTTCGAATTAACAGACTACAGTGTGAGTAAGGCATATCCGTCCGGCTTGTAGCCTCCCTCAAACCTGAGCCCACGTTATTAGTTTTCTGATAGTGGTCTGCACATGTCCATGGAAACTCCTTGAAATGAGCAATTTTTTTTTTGCAGTTTTATGTTGATGTGATATGTCTAATGGGCGAGCGCGCGTTACGTCATAACCAAATTTTCTCGGATGGATAGTTTACCGCCCTTAATCCTCGCCTTACTAGGATGTATAAGCTCAACAAGCCCCAGTTTACGGTGTACCCGCCCTTAATTCATACAATTAGATCATGCAGGATTTATCAGGAGTTAATGAGGAACAAGGCAGGCCTGGAGCCACCAATTAAGTCCACAGGAACTTTTTTTTTTAAATCATTCTTTTTTAATTGCAGATTTAGATCATTGAAAACATCAGTAAATTTAATTCCCTTGCATAAGCTAGGAAAATCAGTGTAAGTACACACAATGTACCAAATACGATGTGTATCTTGACTTCTTATCATGGAATTCAACCTGTTGAAATAACAAAAAGGTTGATCAATTTAATATTGACTGGTCAGTGTTCCTGCAACCAGCTAGGGCTGTTCATCTGCTTTAATAGTCCAATCTCGATATCTTCAGTATTAAAATTCATACTAGTCTTGCATGGGTCTAAAGCAAAAAAAATCATCTTGAGGCTCCGTAATGAATAATACATCTCTTTTGTTTTATTTCCTCAAGCCTCTTGGCCAAGTTTGAATTTAAATATACGGAAATTGGTCCATTAACAGGTGTATTAAGGGCAAGGCTACGGCATGCGTATATGACCAGAATCTCAGTAACTGGATTATAGCTTTGTAGGCTCGCAAGGATGTTACTGAAACGGGGAACGAGGTGTGGGGAACAAGCAAAGGGAACGGGAAAATAAAAAATGGAAACAAAGCAGAGAATTGGAAATGAAGTTACTGTTAGGGGTTCGATTCAAGTTAGGTTTTGTTCCTATTTTTCTTTTTAATTCCCGTTCCCTGACCTCGTTCCCCGCACCTCGTTCGCCATTTTAGTTACGTCAGGCTCCGAATGAATGAATAAATACTCCATCTACAATCAGTAAAGTCGAAACACGTGTGATGTGTATTGCCTTGTTTTTGCGGGAGCATTATTTTTCTAAATTTAGTTTTAACGAAATCTTCCAAACATGACTGACTCGTTTTCGCCATATTCATGGCAAGCGTCATGACTAATACTCTTTTTTCTCTTCAAATCCGTCTAACTCTCATCCCAGCAGCCAGCGCGATTGCAAACCGGCACGACGTCACAATAAGGCGCTGGGACGAGACGAGAATAGACGTTATTTTTTCTTCTTCTCGGCCCTCGTTTATCGCGGCTCGCGGGTTCGCCCTCGGAGCTCGCGTTAGCCTGCGTTCAAGCTCTCCTGTTTGGGTAAGCGAAGTGAGCCTTGCGAGAACGCGGCCCCTCGCGGCTTCGCCGCTCGCTCGCGCGTTCTCGAGAGAATACGCCTTATCAGATAGCGTTTTTACTGCTTTTGGTACGAAAAAGCTAATCAATTTGATCCTGATTTGAAACATTTTTGGAGTTTGTGGTATCTAACACCCACCCCGTCAGCAACAGCTCCTACAAGCTATTTTCGTATTTTTGTTTGGACCTATCTTAAACACTGGCATCTGCTATTTCTTACAGAGTTGACAAGTCTTTTTGCAACGTTTCCGGATGTAACTACTGCGGATGCAGTAGCGTTTATAAAACCGACACCGACTAAACTGATCCTTGCAGTCTGTGGAAAAAAATATAAATGAATAAATAACTAGGTAAAACTTAAATTTGAAAAAAACTTTCCTTAACCAATAATTTGCAGAAAATGTATATTTGAAAAAACTATAACATATATAGGTATTTATATACCAAGACCAGTGAATAAGCTCCAATATTCGTCATGTCATGAAGGGGGAAAAAACTAGAACTCAGAAGTCAAGGGTCGAATTCCTTACAAGCCTGAATTCTTTTCAGGCTTTCTTTTGGCAACTGCACATATATATATAACTGCGATGGTCTTCATTCATATAATTCTTCACTAGCTCCGCAGTTCACATATATGATTTTCATATATTCATAACGCAACATCATCATCCTTTCACGGGTTTATAACCAACCAATTCAACGACCTGCTCCCAGTTGGCTTGATAGCTTAATTGGTAGAGCGCTACACCGGCATCGCAGAGGTCCAGGGTTCGAATCCCGTACAAGCCAGACGTTTTTTCAGGCTTCCTTTTCGCAACTGCAAAAGTTGCGTATATAACTGCCATGATCTTCATTCATATAAAATTATCAACTATTAGGCAGATCAGTTTTCAATCACTGTTTCCTTCAGTTCTTGACCCGTACAACTTTAAAATAATTTAACAATGGCTCACCTCCAGGTGTAGTGGGTAGGGGTGGTCGGGGTGTCTGAGGAGCAGGTGGATTCGGTCCTCCTTCTCCTGTGGATGACAAGAACAAAATAATCCTCCGTACACTCAAAGAACTTTTCATATTTTATTACTGTAGACTTATAGACAACCACTGAATATAATGGGTTGGTACGAATTGAGGTAAGATGAAGCACCCCACAAAGATCCACAAACCACGTCTACAAAATCCTTTTGACTTCCTTTCACTTTAGGAACGACTTTGAATGTTTCTTATTACATCCACCCCGTAAATCTTTCTTATAACGTTAACCTTATAGAAAATGGAGAAACAAAATGGCCTGTTTTCCAATACCAGGAACGGAGGGACCCTATTGCAGAATATCAGTACTTCAGAACCAAATAAAACGCTTAACCCGTGTCAATCATATCGAATACAGATCTGACTCAAATTCAAGTCTGCAATGGAATTTCTTGTGCCCGGCGGGTTTGTCTTGCTGAGTTCTCCGATAACATTACAAACGCTATCTATTCTACACAATCCTTTGTTACTTTTGGTGGCAAATGTGGCTTGGGCTCTGCTGACATTGATACATATGGGAAATTTCCTGGGTTATCCCCATCTTGATCGTTAGTTGAATCCCGGCGTTGCTGAGCTGTCTGCTTTAAGCCACGGCTTAAACCTGAAGGTCGGTGGGGGGAGGGGGGACGGTGTGGGGGATGACTGATGCATTATCTTAACTATTTTAACTAAACTTTCAAAATAGAGAGTTTCTGTACGATCGCGAAATTTCTTTGCTACTAAAGAAAGCTCATAGCCGTGAAAGTACTTAATCACCTATTTTGTTCAGAATCCATGATTTGTAGCTCGTTATCCTGGCAAACACGGTGAAGTGAGTAGTAGGACAGTTTCGCCTGCCAAAACTGACAGCTCCATGTAGATACCACTTTCCTCCCATCTCACAAGCCAGTGGTCCACCACTGTCCCCATTACATCCCCCTGAGGCAGCTGCGCGTCCCTCGCCAGCGCACAAATGAGCATTGCGATCCACTGAGCCATACTTTTTTCTACAGTCAGTATGGGAGACCAGGGGTAGCTTGGCTTGTTGCAGGATATCTGCTGCTGGTCCTCCGCCAGAAATACGACCCCACCCTACAAGTGAGCAAACGTAAAGTGCATAAATGGATACTTACAAGTCCCAGGAAAATGAGAATAGTCTTAACTGATTCCTCGACACCTCTTCTGAAAAATCCAGGGTAAACTTAACCGCCAAAGCACTTAGCTTTTTGTGATGGAGTAAAACGTACACCTTGTTCCGCTACTGTGGCTACTGTGTCAGAAGGAAGCTTTTTAAATTTGGCGCTCTGGAGGGTAAGAAGGTCGCGGATGTGTCGCGGCATTCTGGGCGACGAAATGTTCAAAAGGTGGACAGCGCTATCCTTTTGGGTAAATCTCTATCCAGTGAATAGTACAATTGGTTTCCGTAATACATGTACTTATCTGGCCACGGTTCCTCGAAAGATGGTTAAGAGCAGGAGCCGATCACTTTTAGTAATCGGCTCCTGTTAAGAGCCTGTTTACATGGAGGTGGGGAACCCCAGATAGGTGAGGTAGCATGCGGCGGGTCACCCCACCTATCAAGTAAACGTGATCAAATTAAAATGAGAGATTATATGGACAGGCAGGTTACCCCACCTAAGCGGGTTACCTCACCTACCTGGAGTCCCCCACCTCCATGTAGACAGACCTGGGATTATAAGCCAAATCTTAAGCAAGGTTTTCTTGCCTAACAGCATGCAACTCGAATTTACAAAATACTGTTGAGCAACTTTGAGCCAACAGAAACACTAATGATAACACGAAATATTACTTTAGGTTTCTGGGAAACTGACCACCTACCCTCCCCTAAGCCAACATTTTGCCCCAAGGGAGAACTAACGGATAATGTTGGCTTAGGGGAGGGGTAGGTGGGCAATTTCCCAGAAACCTAAATTGACTCCTTCAAGCGATACATAGGAAGGTAAAAAACAATAGACTGCGAGCAGTCTCTCTTTTTCTTTAGCTTTAGTGAGAACAATGCACGCACGCGGGAGTGGCGAAGCCTCGAGACGCTCGAAACGAGGGCGCGCGTGGCCATTTGCGTGTCTCGCGTTTTGCTCGACTGACTACAGAAAAAAGAGAGACTGGCCCCATCAGTCACGCGCGTGGCCATTTGCGTGTTTCGCGTTTTGCCTGACGGACTACAGAAAAAAGAGAGACTGCTGGTAGTTTGAAAAAACAACAAAAAAGAGATACAAAATTTTAATCCTGGATTAGCGCTGGTCAGCCTCTCAGGGACCGGGCCCTGTTGGATAGTGATTTATTCGGTGGATAGCGCTATCCAACGTTTGAACAACTGGGACTAGAGCGATATAATAACATGCTATTCAGACCACGATGTTTATAAAAAAAGAGTAGAATATAAACGTTCTGAAGCGTGAGGTTCTATGAGAAATAGAGATTTACTCGCCAGAAGTAAAAAAGATAAATAGATAAATGAATAAATATTAAATAAATAGAGTAAATGTAGCGAAATATAAGAAATACACTTTTTTTTTCAGAAAAAGAAAGACTTTCACTCGGATGTCAAGCCTATGAAGTACCAGTCTACTTATCAAAGGCGAATAGAAGTGATCGCTTATACCTCTGACGTTAAGTTTGGTGCTATTACTTAACTACATAACGTAACAGTACCACGAGGACTTCTTCGACTTTTAGACGGTGATATAAAATTGGGAAAAATGCTTTGACCATGCGGCTCGCGGTTCTACATGGGTTGAAGTCATTTCTACGATCTATAACGTTTCCGATTTGTCTACCAGTACAATGGAATTCTTTTTTAACCAAAATGCACCTCGCGAACCTCACTGGGGAATCGAAGGGAAACGATGATGGACAACCTCATCCCCAGGGCTTTCCCTTAAAGAAATGGAAGAGAAGCAGTGGGGACAAAGACGGATGATGGGCGGTTGCAATCTCGTTCTCAGGCTTCTCTGCCTGAGAACAAACTATTTACGCAGAAAAGCACCAGTTATTCACTAACAAACAATGATTTTGATATTCCTACTTTTAACACTATTAACTATGGAAAACATTCTCTTAGATATCAAGGACCTCATATATGGTTGAAAATAGATAAAAAATTGAAAGGCTCCTCGAATATTGAACCTTTTAAAAAGAATATTAGGAAAAAAGACCTAACGTCAGTCTTAAACAACTGCAATAGCTGCTGTAACCTTTGCAATTTTTGGAGACTACGTTTTATATTACATATTTTAATGGTATATACTTTTTTTAAATTTCTTTTGTAAATAATTTTAATTTTTTGTGTGTGTCCCCAATTAGTTGTGAAAACTAAATACACTGACACATTAATAAAGCTTTTACTTACTTTACGAGCTTTAAGCGGCTGTATTCGCAGGCTAATCGCGCGCAAGAGTGCGAAAAGGATAAAAAAAAACAATATAATAATAATGATAATAATAATATGGTCCCGAAGTTGTCTCAGTGATTCGATGGCGTTTGTACATTATGCTCGCATTATTTTTTCGAGCATTTTAGTGAGGCAAAAGCATTAAGCATTATTCGCGCATTTTAGAGTAATTTTCCCGGAAAGCTATACACCCAGTCTTTTTCGCAAAAAAAATGAAAATTAAAAAAAAAAAGGAATTCAGAATGCGAACACTTTAAGAACACTTTAAGATAAAATTCCGAAACGTAAAAGTAAATTTAAAAAGGGAAATCCTCGGACGGATGAGTTTTATCGAACATTTTAGTGAGTTTTGGGGGGAGACCAAGCATTTACTCAGTGGAGAAAAAAAGCCAGAGCATTAAGGTGGAGCATTTTAGTGAGGAAACAAAAGCATAATGTACCGCAGGTTATTGACAACGTTTTACGGGAGTCATAAAGCGCGTGAAATTCAAACCCTACCTGTTATGTAACATTTGGAGTTCAAGTCTGCATCCTTGTCTGGAAGGCAAATTGTATTTACTTTGTCACTCAGTTTCACGGGTCGCTCCAACTGAAGAACTGCCACATCATGTTTGAGATTCTGCATGGTGAATCCACTGTGTTTATGAAGAGTTTTCACTTTAAGTGTTTGTTGTACAGAAGTGCTTCCAGTTCGCCTGTGGCCGCCTGTAATGTTATAAAAGTGAGCGGCTCAGCGTTCCTAAAACAGTCTCAAACAGTACCCAGCACTGCGTTTCCTTTAGGAATAGATTAACTTTGAGAAAAACCTTGGGAATTTTGGGAAAATGGCTTAATTAATTCGGGTATCATGGTATGCTAATACACCCCGGCTGAGCCTCTGAAATAATGACTGGATCGGACTACAATTTGCAGGAAGGTGGTTTCATTGTACGCACTTGAAAAAATAAAGAAAAGTTCAAGTAAGTGGGGAATAATTCAAAATTGTAAAAGTTGCACTATGTTCCAGTGCTTGCCAGTTGAGTTACAAGTCCTTTATGGAGGTACCTGAGGATGTTTTAAAAGTACTTACCTATCGCGCGACACTGACTTGTAGTTCGCAGGAGCCAATGGCTCTTTGACTGACTGTTTTTTGTAATTTATCTAGAATTTCATTGAAGTGGTACAAAGGATACAAGGAGACACTCCCTTATGAGGCCTAGAGGGGTATGCACGTGCCGATGAACACTGGGGTATGGTTTTTGGGGGGTCTTGAGTCTTGAATAGGTCATACGTACAATCTCTGACAATTTCACTATTTGACGTCTTGGACAGGGTGTGTTTTTGGATCGAAAGCCTGGAAAATAATCTGCAGGTTGACGATCAACGGCCTACTTGATCATGAGTGGTATGAACTATCTTTTCTCAGAAAGATCTGATTTTTCTATGCTGCTAGTTTTATAATTACTTAAACAGGCTGGTCAGATGAATGATTTTTGTCTTAAGCCGACAAGGTAAAGGCTTTTAAGGTCTCGGCGGTACATCCCTACTCAAATTTCCCTTGAATGCCCCGGCGGAGTGTATTGCTAAGAAAGAACAAGAGTTTTAGATTGCATAGCCTTCTTAGTCGCTGTAGTAAATGCGGTGATTTCTCTCAATAAATTAAAACTAGTCAGTTTCTATATTGTAACGTACCTACTACAACCGTGTATCCACTTGGGTTTGGGTTCCTATAAACACAATGTGCCGCAGTTACGATCCAGTCATCTCTGATCAGGGATCCGCCACAAATATGTCCTCCACGCACACGAAGAGAAATCTGCCACGGCCAGGAATGAGGGCTGGCGTCCTGGCCATTCACCACTCGGGAGAAGGCTGGACGCATGCCACATCCTAAAGGGAACATTGGTTGTTGCGATCAATCAAATAACTTCCTATTGACAAAACGCAACTGGGGAAAATGTTTCACTAACTTTCTTTCATACCAGGCAAGTTCGTCCAAGTTTCTTGTCTTTTTTTGTCAACTTAAACTGGAAACATTAAACTACCATGAAAATCACCACGCTTTTAATTGAAGTGAAACTAACTACAGTTGAACCTCTGCACAGCTGACACTCTCCTAAGCGAACAGCTCTACTTATGGCCACCATTACAGAACCCCTTTTTTCTCAACTCCCATACAAACTCAGTTTATTTGACTTAAGTAAACAGTTCCACTCTCGGACGCGTTTTTGCCGTTCACGGCGAGGGTGTCCGCTCACGAGAGCTTCCACCTTGTGTGTGCTTTTTACCCACTTAATGCTGTTCAGTGAAAATGCTTTCAATACCAATCAATCAGATCAATTAATTGCCAGTTTAGTTGCGCTTTTTCCCTGGCAATTTTGACTGCTGGCAGTTATTTTTTTAAAAAAATCAAGAACTACAAGATTCGGTTAGAGTAGTTACGATCGGAACATTCCGATAACAACTAGTCGACAAAGCTATGAGGGAGACAGTACAACGGTTTAACTTAATAGTGTTTTATCACTAACCTTCAGAAAAGGAGGGCGCGAGGCCAAATAAAGCCAGCAAAAAGAGAGAAATCATCACTTGGGTTCTTCTCTTGAAGAGACTTCCGTTTTGGACTTTTATGATCTTCCCAGTCTCTTTTACAACATTTTAAAGCCTTCAGATAGATCACCTGGGAAAGTTTGTTAAAGCTGAATGCATAAGAAAAACGGATCCTCTCATATACGTGATCGAAAAATAATGATAAAAAATGTAAAGAAAATAAGAAGAATGACAACTATATTATCGATGAATAGCAAGCTTAATGGATCGCGAATTAGTCTAATCAGTTGATCAAATGCAGTCCATTGGTGGTGTTTGTTGAACTGAATGTGTGTCCACGTTTAGATCATCGTTCAAAGCAAAAAAATTCATATTCGCGATACAGATCCTTTGTTGACAGGTAAAAAATTGGAAACAAAGCAAAACAAAACAAGGAATGAAGAAAGGACAAGAGACGCCACGATTATCATAAAAGAGCTTCTTTTGAAGAAGATGAATACAAAAAGACCAAACACTTTACACACTTTTGCCACCTGCACAAACGGGGATCCATTATAGACAACTTTTGGTAAAGTCAGTTTGTCTTCCTTGGATTGTTGAATAGACCAAAGTGTAGGTAGTCAAATACAGATCAATTCTTTGTTGTATTCCATTTTATTCTATTTGCAACTAGCAAAGTGCAGTTTCGATTGTTGTGAAAACATTACGTACCTGCCTCATTAGTATTTACAAGTGCATTTACAAGTATGCATGGATCGAATGGTTTCCCCCCGAACACGTTTTAGGTTTTCTTTGTTTCTCTAGAGATTTATTCCTTGTACTTTAAATTTTCAATTATTCTTTTCACTTTCTTGGGTATTTTTCTTTTGTCGCTTTCCGGCCTAAGCTTACTGTAAGACCATTCAGACAAATATATGAAATGCTTTAAATACTACATTATTATTATTATTATTATTATTATTATTATTATTATCATTATTATTATTCTATTTTTAATGATGTGGACCGGTAATTAGTCATTCTTGTCACTGAAATTAAGACTGATACTCCCTGAATTGTACGCCACGGAATGTGTGTCCAAGTTTATAGATCGTCGTTCAGAGCAAAAAAAATTGCATATTCGCGATGCAGATCCTTTGTTGACAGGTAAAAAGCCTGGAAACAAAACAAGGAAGGAAGAAAGGACAAGAGAAGCCACGATTATCTTAAAAGAGCTTCTTTTGAAATCAAACGTTCGACAACAAGATGAATATAAAAAGACCAAACACTTTACACACTTGTGCCACCTGCACAAACGGGGATCCATTATACACAACTTTTGGTAAAGTTAGTTTGTCTTCCTTGGATTGTTGAATAGACCAAAGTGTAGGTAGTCAAATACAGATCGATTCTTTTTTGCATTCCAGTTTATTCTATTTGCAAATAGCAAAGTGCAGTTTCCATTGTTGTAAAAACATACGTACCTGCCTCATTAGTATTTACAAGTGTACTTACAAGTATGAATTGATCGAATGGTTTTTCCCCGAACAAATTTTAGGCTTTCGGCTTTGTTTCTCTATAGATTTATTCTTTGTACTTTAAGTTTTCAATTACTCTTTTTACTTTCTTCGATATTTTTTTTTTGTCGCTTTCCGGCTTAAGCTTACTGTAAGACCATTGAAACAAATATATGAAATGCTTTAAATACTACATTATTATTATTATTATTATGTAAAATTTAGCACAGGGATTTTCCCTGGGGAGAAATATCCAGTCAAGTCTCATCCCGAGACCTCAGACTTCCAGCACCTTTCTGAGGATATGTGCCGATCCGAGGAGTGCCGACTTATTATTATTATTATTATTATTATTATTATTATCATTATTATTCTATTTTTAATGATGGGGGGGGGCACGGTCTCAAGATACCCTCGATCCCTTCTGCCTTCATAACATTTTGTGTTTAGTTTATATTTTTAATAAAATGCCTCAAAGAAAAGACCAATTATACAGTGGCGGGTCCAGACCTTCAGATAAGGGAGCCCCGGTCATCCAGACCCTGAGATAAGGATGGTGGTATGGTGGGAGGGGGGGGGGCACGGTCTCAAGATACCCTCGATCCCTTCTGCCTTCATAACATTTTGTGTTTAGTTTATATTTCTAATAAAATGCCTCAAAGAAAAGACCAATTATACAGTGGCGGGTCCAGACCTTCAGATAAGGGAGCCCCGGTCATCCAGACCCTGAGATAAGGATGGGGGTGGGGGGGGGGCACGGTCTCAAAAAAAATTTCCTTCAGGCCTCTGTTTGATCTAAAAGTAAGGGTAAATCCAAACACATAATATGTAGTTTTAGTGTCATGTATCAACTGAATTTTTTAATATGCATAATTTTTTCCTCTTTGAATTCAACTCTTGGTCAGGTATCAGTGCTAACACTATCTCCGACATGGCTAGAAGACGCTCGCGCTTCCGCGCTCGTGTCGCGCTGAGCGCGAAATATCGCGTTCGCCCCGCTTGGCTCATAAAGCGCCTGTCAATTCAGCTTCGAAAGGTTGATAAAGCTGATTCCATGCAAAGATGTTTCCTGTCTGCAAAGCCAGAGCTGTTCAATCATAAGCAAGCAAACCTGAAAACTTCTTCTGTCAAAGTTAAGTCAAAAATCTTAACAACGATGACACAAAAGATTGACTGTAAATTGAACGTCTTAAATTTACAGGCCCTGTTAAGAGAAATGCAATTTGCCTGCTCGTAACAGCCACACACTGAAGACGTAGATACAACAATCAGAAACTGTCAGAAACTCATCGGTGATTCATTCAGACAACTGTTTCTGCATGGAAACCTAAGACGATACTGCAAGTGCTCCAGATCCAGCGGTTAAAATTCAAAAGGGGTGACCGGGATACTTGCCAGCTATATAGACATTATTTATTTTACCGAAATAGAAAAAAGGGGAGCCACGGTCCTCTCGGCCAACCTTTAAGTCTATGCACCCATGGATAGCTCTCAGTTAGCGTACTTAAAAACTTAAATCTCATTTGCAAACACCTCTCGGACCACGTTTTGAGTCCTTGGAGGACTAACATAAATTTTCCGATATTGAAGGCCTGACATTGCAAGTAAACGTTTTAATTCAACAAAAGCAAAATGATGTTTATCGAGTGACAAAGTTTATGCTAAGAAAAATCTTTACGTAGACGTGTCAGCTGATCAATTTTGAAAAAAGGGCCTGAAGCCGGCCATGCGCAAACCATGAACACGATAAGATGAAATAAGAAGGTTCTAATGGACAAACCACTTCTATGCAAATAACACGCGTCCACAAAACATAACACAATTTTAAAGATTTTTCTGTCCTTTCTAAAGCCAGTTAGCCTGTGATCGTGGTAAGCGTTTTAAAGCGTGTCAGGATTTGTTTTTTTTCTGTGAAAAAATTATACATAATTAAAGCTCTTTACTTATGATACTGGTTAATTTGATTCAGCATAGATCATTATTATTATTATTATTATTATTATTATTATTATTATTATTATTATTATTATTATTATGGGTCGCCGAAATAAGCTGTCAACATTAGATGAAGGAACAAACCGCCAAGCTGAATCAAAGATTATCACTGGGCTTGTCGTGTTTATATTTAGTGCTTAGGCTTGTTGAGTGGTTTTAATTTTATGATGAGTGTTGTTACATTTATTTCAGTAAATGATTTTCACTTAACAGTGGAAATTCCGTGTTATTCAGAGCCAAACAGTTTCACCGGTGATACATACTTTGTGCTCCAAATAGGCCCCACCCACATATTTTTAAGGGCGACCTTTCTACCCCATCCCCCCAGCTAGTTCGACTTACGCGACCCTTTTAGATATTTACGCTTCCTGGATTCTAACTGGTCAGACATTTGGAAGAAACATTTACTTATAGTTTCGAGATAGTCTAAAAAGGATTGTATTAATCAGTTTTCGAAAAGCGAGTCAAGCCCATTCGATCGAAAGGATTCATTTTACGATTTTTTTAGTTCCTGCCTAATGAATGTAAGCAAAGAAGGACTGCGAAAACATCTTTCGAAATCTGTGTTTTACACTGAAGAGGATAAGCCAAAGTTACAAAGAGACCCTACAGAGACCCAAAGTTACATAGTAACACAAAAGACGTGTAACATTCTATTTGGCCTGTTAGGTTTAGCTTTTCTGGTTAGTGCAATATACTGAATTCAAACTGTGAAGGATGCGCATGCCCAGAACATGTTTGGTTCAAAAGAGACAAACAGGTGTTGTTTCCTCTTTAATTGTCGCTTACTGTTCATTATTTTCATTATTTCTACCCCTTGATTAGTAGCCTGCGAAGCGCAGACGCATTTCCGGTCGTCGCTTCTCTCCCTCCGAAGCGACGACCGGAAATGCGTCTACGCTTCGCAGGCTACTTGATTAGTAGTTTCACTCAATTTTTGTCCATAAGAATTGTTTTGCCCTATTTTCATCTGTTCATTTTCTATTTTGAGAAAATTCTCAACTTGAATCTGACGTTTACCATTTGCCGTATACGTGAAGCTTTAACTCTCTATCTGACGTTTCGGTGTTAATTTTAAGCAAGAAAATGCAAAACTTATTTTTGATCTACAGCGCTTTTTCTCGGATTTCTAGTTTGACAGCTGTCAATTAACCTTAATTAGAATGGCGAATATTCGAATTAACAGACTACGAGTGTGAGTAAGGCATATCCGTCCAGCTTGTAGTGGAAAATGCCAGATCGTGTACCTCAGCGAACCAAGTTATTAGTTTTCTGATAGTGGTCTGCACATGTTCATGAAAGAAACTCCTTGAAATGAGCAATTTTTTTTGGCAGTTTTATGTTGATGTGATATATCTAATGGGCGGGCGCGCGTACGCTACGTCATAACCAAATTTTCTCTGATGGATAGTTTACCAAATTTTGTTACCTATGGTGCTCCTCTGCGTGCCCGCTTCGTGCGCACGAGAGCTCCGCTATAAGCCCTTCTAAAACGCCTTACTAAGATGTATAAGCTCAACAAGCGACAGTTTGCGGTGTACCCGCCCTTAATTCATACAATTAGATCATACAGGATTTATCAGGAGTTAATGAGGAACAAGGCAGGCCTGGAGCCACCAATTAAGTCCACAGGATTTTTTTTTAAAATCATTCTTTTTTAATTGCAGATTTAAATCATTGAAAACATCAGTAAATTTAAGTCCCTTGCATAAGTTAGGAAAATCAGTGTAAGTACACACAATGTACCAAATACGATGTGTATCTTGACTTCTTATCATGGAATTCAACCTGTTGAAATAACAAAAAGGTTGATCAATTTAATATTGACTGGTCAGTGTTCCTGCTACCAGCTAGGGTTGTTCATCTGCTTTAATAGTCCAATCTCGATATCTTCAGTATTAAAATTCATACTAGTCTTGCATGGGTCTAAAGCAAAAAAAATCATCTTGAGGCTGCGTAATGAATAATACACCTCTTTTGTTTTATTTCCCCAAGCCTCTTGGCCAAGTTTGAATTTAAATATACGGAAATTGGTCCATTAACAGGTGTATTAAGGGCAAGGCTACGGCATGCGTATATGACCAGAATCTCAGTAATTGGATTATAGCTTTGTAAGCTCGCAAGGATGTTACTGAAGCGGGGAACGAGGTGTGGGGAATAAGCAAAGGGAATGGGAAAATAAAAAATGGAAACAAAGCAGTGAATTGGAAATGAAGTTACTGATAGGGCTTCGATTCAAGTTAGGTTTTGTTCCTATTTTTCTTTTTAATTCCCGTTCCCTGACCTCGTTCCCCGCACCTCGTTCCACATTGGCTCGGAATGAATGAATAAATGCTCTATCTACAATCAGTAAAGTCGAAACACGTGTGATGTGTATTGCCTTGTCTTTGGCGGAGCATTATTTTTCTAAATTTAGTTTTAACGAAATCTTCCAAACATGACAGACTCGTTTTCGCCATATTCATGGCAAGCGTCATGACTAATACCCTTTTTTCTCTTCAAATCCGTCTAACTCTCATCCCAGCAGCCAACGGGATTGCAAACCGGCACGACGTCACAATAAGGCGCTGGGACGAGACGAGAATAGACGTTATTTTTTCTTCTTCTCGGCCCTCGTTTATCGCGGCTCGCGGGTTCGTCCTCGGAGCTCGCGTTAGCCTGCGAGCAAGCTCTCCTGTTTGGGTAAGCAAAGTGAGCCTCGCGAGAACGCGGCCCCTCGCGGCTTCGCCGCTCGCTTGCGCGTTCTCGCGAGACTCGCTTCACTCGCCCAAATAGGAGAGCTTGCCCGCAGGCTAAGCTCGCGTGCTTGGCACGGGTGGAGTACACTTTGAAAAGAAAAAGAGAAGAAAACTCGCAGTTTTGACTGTAACAGAAAGTAGAGAATACGCCTTATCAGATAGCGCTTTTACTGCTTTTGGTACGAAAAAGCTAATCAATTTGAAACATTTTTGGAGTTTGTGGTATCTAACACCCACCCCGTCAGCAACAGCTCCTACAAGCTATTTTCGTATTTTTGTTGGGACTTATCTTAAACACTGCATCTGCTATTTCTTACAGAGTTGACAAGTCTTTTTGCAACGTCTCCGGATGCAACTACTGCGGCTGCAGTAGCGTTTATAAAACCGACACCGACTTAACTGATCCTTGCAGTCAGTGGAAAAAATATAAATGAATAAATAACTAGGTAAAACTTAAATTTTTAAAAAACTTTCCTTAACCAATAATTTGCAGAAAATGTATATTTGAAAAAACTATAATATATATATAGGTATTTATATACCAAGACCAGTGAATAAGCTGGAATATTCGTCATGTCATGAAGGGGGAAAAAACTAGAACTCTGAGAATACTGTCAGTTGAGGCACAATGAGATCCTAGAACAACGATAAGTTGCCGTAAAAAAGTCAGGGCGAAGAGAGTCAAGTCCATTTTCTTTTAAGAATTATATGATGAAAAGAATGGTAGAACGCTGCACCGGTATCGCAGAGGTCAAGGGTCGAATTCCGTACAAGCCTGAATTTTTTTCAGGCTTTCTTTTCGCAACTGCAAATGTTGCGTACCTTATTTATTCAATTAACCGCCCTAGGGGCTTATTAAATTTTTGGACCTTGAGAGTGGGCGCTTGTTGGAGGCTGGGTGCTTACTCAATTTTCACTTTTTTCAGCAAGTGTAGTATGTTAATTTTGCAACAATACAATGAATGGTAATAATAAAACGCGAAGATTAATCAAAGCAGGGTTTCTGTAAAATACTCTAAAGAAAACTCCGTCTTCGGGCAAGTCTCTTATTAGTACTTATTTAAGGTTTTTTGGGTGGGAGGGACCAGAAAAGGGGTGGGCGCTTATTAGAGTTTGAGTTTGAGGGAGAGGGAGGTGGGGTGGGCGCTTGTTCGAGGCTGGGCGCTTATTAAATTTTTTTGCCTTCAGGATGGACGCTTATTCGAGGTGGGCGCTAATTCAAGGTTGGGCGCTTATTCGAATAAATACGGTATATATATATATAGCCGCGATGGTCTGCATATAATTCTTCACTCCGCAGTTCACATATATGATTTTCATATATTCATAACACTACATCATCATCCTTTAACGGGTTTATAACGAACCAATTCAACGACCTGCTCACAGTTGGCTTGTTAGCTTAATTGGTAGAGCGCTGCACCGGCATCGCAGAGGTCAAGGGTTCGAATCACGTACAATCCAGAAGTTTTTTCAGGCTTCCTTTTCGCAACTGTAAAAGTTGCGTATATAACTGCCATGATCTTCATTCATATAAAATTGTCAACTATTAGGCAGATCAGTTTTCAATCACTGTTTCCTTCAGTTCTTGACCCGTATAACTCTATGATAATTTAAGAATGGCTCACCTCCAGGTGTAGTGGGTAGGGGTGGTCGGGGTGTCTGAGGGGTAGGTGGATTCGGTCCTCCTTCTCCTGTGGATGACAAGAACAAAAAAATCCTCAGTACACTCACGAACTTTTCATATTTTATTACTGTGCACTTATAGACAACCACTGAATATAATGGGTTGGTACGAATTGAGGTAAGATGAAGCACCCCACAAAGATCCACAAACTACGTCCACAAAATCCTTTTGACTTCCTTTCACTTTAGGAACGACTTTGAATGTTTCTTATTACATCCACCCTGTAAGTCTTTCTTATAACGTTAACCTTATAGAAAATGCAGAAAAAAATGTCCTGTTTTCCAACACCAGGAACGCAGGGACCCTATTGCTATACTACTTATTGCGGAATATCAGTACTCCAGAACCAAATAAAACGAGTTTGACTAATAGTCGCGGGTCGCGGGTCCCGGGTCCAAAGGTCGCGGTCGCGGGTCCAATGTCGCGGTCGCGGGTCCAGTGTCGCGGTCGCGGGTCCAAAGTCGCGGTCGCGGGACCAATGTCGCGGCAGGGGAAAATGATTTGGGGTTTCTAGGTAACAGCTGAGTGAAAACGACTGATATGAACACAATATAAAGGGAAAAAATCTTTTTTTATGCACGATACTCTACGGTAGCTTTACGGTAGCCAATTTACAGGTTACGGATGTTAGAGTCAACAAAATAATGTCTCAAGAAAAGACCTAAAAGAAAAAGCTGGCCTACTTTTGTGTTCACCGCAAGTTCATTTTGTTTTCTTTCTATCGGGCCCAGTTGTGTAAATTAAGCTTTGAATAAACTTATGCATAACAGTACATGATAAAAAAGTTACCATAAGTTACCATTGCTTTCTTCTTGTCGATGAATTGCTCACAAATGCTTAGGGGTTCATTTACATATACTGAAAAATATGCGATACACTTAATAGACTACAGATTACAAACGTTACAACAACTTAGCTACGAGTCTGTCGGTAGAAGAAACGAGAACTCTTATATTTAACAAATGTTTTCGGTAAAACTGAAAGAAAATGTAAATAGGGGCATGAAACTTCATTCAAGCGCTATTCAAGGCATGAATTTAATGTGGAAACAAGTAATAATCCACAGAAAGGAGTCTGTTCCTCGAAGCAAGATTCTCGCTTAATGCTTTTATTTTTGCAACTTAGACGGCAACCCAGAGTGTTCAATATACCTTCTTGTTCTCTTCACCTGAATGGCAACCAGGACAACCTGACAATAGGAAGCCATTCAATGTGCGTCTCAGTCAAATCTTGAAAACATGCATCGTAACTAAGTGAGTAAGTAGGTAAGGAAATGATAACGCCCGATATCATGAAGCTGAAAAAGAAAGTAAACCAGACACTGAAAACGGTAAGTAATCAACTCCACCAGAGCTAAGAAAAGACAATAAATTAGGTAAGTAATTCCAGATTCTAGGTACTGGATTCAAATCTTTGTCAGTAGAACCAAGAGACTATGATCTATTCTCTCTTGGTAGAACTTGGATTCCGGATTTCAATCGTTAGTGGGAACAAACTCCTTTCTGTGGACAAGAGAGGATAAAACGCGAGCTTTATCCCCTCTTGCTGTGGATTATTACTTGTTTCTATATTAAATTCATGCCTTGACGAATACCCGCTTGAATGTACTTTACTGGCACTTCAAGCCCAACGTCTCTCCTCCTCTTTCCACTTGTGCAAAGAGTTTATTTTGGGATTTTGCGACCAGGACGTTTTTCAATAAGCGTTTTCTTTATTTTTGCCGAAAACATTTGTTAAAATTGAAACAGTTCTCGTTTCTTCTACCGACAGACTCGTAGCTTTTCGAGCTCGAGTTAGCCTTTTTTTAAAAAAAGGTTTTAAGTTGTTGTAACGTTTACAATTTATAGTCTATGAAGTGTATCGCACATTTTTCAGTGAATGCACCCCTAAGCAATTGTGAGCAATTCATCGACAAGAAGAAAACTATGGTAACTCATAGTAACACTTTTTATCATATACTGTTATGCAACTGGGCCCGATAGAAAGAAAACAAAATGAACTTGCGGTGAACACAAAAGTCGGCCAGCTTTTTCTTTTAGGTCTTTTCTTGAGACATTATTTTGTTGACTCTAACATCCGTAATCTGTAAATTAGCTACCGTAGAGTATCATGCATAAAAACGATTTTTTCCCTTTATATCTTTTTCATATCACTCGTTTTCACTCAGTTACCTGGAACTCCAAATCATTTTCCCCTGCCGCGACATTGGACCCGCGATCGCGACTTTGGACCCGCGACCGCGACATTGGACCCGCGACCCGCGACCCGCGACCCGCGACCCGCGACCCGCGACCCGCGACCCGCGACTAGTAGTCAAACTCTACATGTAATGGGATCTCATGCAAAAGTACCGACCAATTAGATTACGACCTAGAATGTCTCCAGGGAATTAGCGATAACATTCCCACACTCGCAAGTCACGGAATGAAATTTATTGACGAAAGCATAGAATTTGGAGGTTTATTCAATAAGTAATCTTCCCTGCGCACAAGCCTACTCACATTTCTTAGAGATACAGTCAAAGTTTTCTCGTTATAAAAGCCGTAATCTGTGGCAAGGCTTTTCTGGCGATTCATGTTACTGACGCTCAAGAACGTTGTGCTATCAGATCGACCGAAGCTGAATTGCAGCGTTACTGCAGCTACTTCGCAGCATTTTAAAGTCGACAACTGCGCTGCAAAACAGCTGCCGAGAGCTTCAAAGGCTGCACAGCGCTTTTGCATCCCGCTGCAAGTTGAATTAAGCTGCTATTTGGCTTCTAAAATGCTGCTAAACAGCTGTAATTTAGCTGTACAGCTATTTTGAAGCGAGTTTGTGGCGCTGTACAGCGCTGCAAGTTTCGTACGGGAAACAATTGAAAATCTGACCATCAGCAAAAGCAGTTTCTTAGGCTATGTTTATACTATACTGGATAGCTATGTGTTGGCACGAAAACCCATCTGTTCACACATGAGAAAGATGAATTCAGCACAATTTCTGTAACAGAGCAAAACTGTACCGTGCCCCCGGGGGGGGCACTTGGGTATTTTTTGGGTGGGTATGTGCCGCCCGGGATTCCAAATTGGCACCCCGTTCTAGAAAAAAAATTCCCCTAAAATTGATACCCCGTTCTAGAAATAGGCCAATTTTTTATACCCCGTTCTAGAATTCGCCCTAAAACTAACACCCCGTTCTAGAAATGGACCAATTTTTTATACTCCGTTCTAGGGTGCAACAAGAGTACAACGGTTTGCTTGTTAACGCACTGAACCGTATTTTTAAAAGCAATCTGTCTTTGAAGGCTTTCAAATGCCTGCTTACAAAAGTGGAGAGCTTTCATGCGTTCGAAATATTATACCCCGTTCTAGAAACCGCGTCTAAAATGGATACCCCGTTCTAAACCAGAAGCTTCAAAATCACGACCCCTTTGGGCGGCACATACCCGTATAGGTAATGTATGGGAGTACCCCCCCCGGGAGTGTCACATACCGGATAGTCAATAGATACAGTGCCAGACTTTGGTGAGGGTGAGGAATGGAATTTAGTTCACCAAGCCCTCTCAGTCAACCACTCCAGCACAATGTTCATGTATAAATGACTTACTCCAGTTGTGTGCCATTGCTCTTACTATACCCGAGAGCTTTTCATGTCAGCACAAAAAGCTATCCAGTATACACTGCAGTGTGAACATAGCCTTAAAGGGCTTACAAGAAATCCTCTATTAAGCCCCCTTTCAAATAAGCCTCTTCCCGCTCTATTACCACCCCCCCCCCCCCCCCTCCTCTCCCCCTCTAATTATTCTTCACTAATAAATGATAGACTGTATTAATCAATCTTTGTGTGCGCACGTTGTGTGGATTGATTTGGGATGATCTATATTTATGTACCAGCTAGAAGTTCGGATTTCATTCTGATCCTCAGCTGCATGGTCTTCAAACTTCTTTTATTTGAGCTTTTCCACTTTGTATTTATATTTATTAATGGCGAACTGATACCATCACCTTTTGTTAATTAAACAAGCTCCCCTTCTCAAATAAGCTCCCCATCTCTATTACACCCTCCCCTCCTCCAAATAGGATTGAAATAAATAAGCTCCCGGGGGGAGGGGGGGGCTAAATAGAGGATTTAGGGTAATAATTCTAGTGTATTCCGACCAAATGACCTCTGAAGCCCGAACCCACACATAGTGCGCTTGGGCTGCCTGTGCAGGGATGTGTAGTAATCTCGTTTGGTCGCCACATTTCGATCCTTCACAAGCGTAAAGTGCAGATGCCGATTGAAGGATTCTTTAAGACTGCTAACACTTTCGATGACTGGGAGCCTTGACAGCCTTCGAAGGGAGATTTGTCTCTTTCCTTCTGCGTCTGTTAACGGTTTTTCACCCATAGCTTATTCAGACTTTACTGCCCACAGAGCAGTTCAGCGCCCGGCCCGGCAAAGCAAACAAGGATACCTAACAAATTTGGATCCAGTCTCCAATCAAAATTTCCTGCGCGTAGTCGGTTGCGCGCAGTGGCAATTTTCGCGAGACACGCAAAGAAACCTTGCAACTAAAGAGGGTCTCAATGGGGTTAACCGATAGGCGTGAAGCGGCCAAAAATTTAGTCGATAGCCGTAAAAATTGAAAAATTTTAACCGATAGCCGTAAATAGGGTAAAAAAGAGTTAACCGTAAAAGAAATTGTTCCCTAGATTTGTTAATTTTAAGGAAGGTGATTAAGTCAGTTATGGTTGCGTTATTTATTTCCCAGCTACTTTGACTCCGTACGCACGTTAGGCCAAGCTCCTCTTAGGTGTTAACCTAGACCTATGCTCCATTTCCGCCGCTCACTCGAACAACCACGTTTTTTCCATAAATACTAGTGAAACAACGCGCAGAGATGTCACTGTTTGCAAAACAGGTTGCCGATAAACAACAATTCCCTTTTTCAGTCTTTGACACTACGGTAGACATTGCCATGCCTAGTCCCTGTACGGCGTCTTCCCACGCAATCTTGGTCAAGGCATTTCGGTGGCATACCTGAGGAAAAAAAAAACTCGCTTGGACCACGTGACCCGGAATGCATTAGCCGCGCGGAATAATGAGGCCTAAGCACAAGTCAACGGCAGACAGTCGTTCTGTACAGTCCTTTCTCTATAATTAAAAACACTGGACACGGGAATTTTGTTATTGGCCGTTTTCACACTAGAGCTAGAAATGGATTTTCCGTCTGAGACTAGCTTGTGCACAGTCGCCCCCTCCCCCACAGACACCCCTTCTCCGATTTTTTCTGAGGGGAGGGGTCGGCTGTACACAGGCTATCTAGAGCGGATAATCCATCTTCAAACTGTCCGCCAAAATTGACGGATTAAAGTCAGGCGGATTGTTCATTCGATCAAACTAAGACGTATTACCTATCTGACGCGAATTATCAAACGGATAACCCGTCTCACTCGAATGATCCGTCTCTAGCGTGAAAACGGCCATTTCTGTTGTAAATGAATGTCGCGCCTCCGCCTTGAGTTGAGTGTTCGCGTGTCTGCTTTTGCTTTTTCACAAAGATTATTTTTATATTCACTATTGATATTTCTATGCCTAAAATAATATTAGAAGTTGAATACTTTATAAAAAGTATGATCTATCAAATGTTAAAATTTTTCAAAAGAATGGCTTATTTCATCCTAAGATGATCCTAAGACCTTTATTTTGCTTGAAAGTTAGAAAAAATACAGGTTTATGAATATTTAACTCTTTCGGACAAAAGAAATTAATTTTTAACCTTTTTGTTAACCGTAATTGAAAAAAAATAACCGATAGCCGTGAAAGAACCGAAATTTTAGCCGATAAAAAGGCCGTAAAAGCCACCACCCCATTGAGACCCTCAGAAAAGAGAGACTGCTCGCAGTCTAAGTGCACTGGGATATCCCTGGGCTTACATAGTTAGGACTGTTTAAACGGAGGGGATTGTATCATCCGAGGGGGGTTATAACCGGCATGAAAAAACGCTTTAAAAAAACAAGGTTTAGAAAGGCTGATCAAAATACCTTTTGCATTACTTGTATCTAGCTAATTGAGCCTCAAGGCGTGATAATAAATTGAATTCATTTCAAGGCTGTACAAGCTCTGGCCCTCAAGAAGGCTAATTTTGTTAGCCGAAATATTGGCCTATAATAAATCAGCCCTGTGCAACAATGAGTGCGAAAAGAAGCTTAAAGAGGACGAAAAAGATGGGGAAACGATGCCAGCTAGATTACAACATGTTTTAATGGCATCTTTGAGAGCCATGGGTGCACTCTAACTGGTTTGCGGTGCTTGTGAGTGGGGACTGAGAGGTGTTCCAGGATTGCGGAGGCGGACAGTGTAAAGAATGAGTAAAGCGCAACTGGACAAGACTGGAGCCTTGGTAGTACCTCGCTGTAATGTAGAACTTGTGAACGTTCTTTTTTTTTGTACTTCTTTTTCTAGGTTTTAAAAGTGTCTTCTTTATTTTACGTCACCAGTGAGTTTTACAGGTTCTTCTAGTTACAACAATGGACACGGATGAACTTGACAAATTGAATGAGAATGTGTAAATTCAAAGAAACGTCTTTCCAATAGCTCATGAATAAAGCAAAAGGCACAAAAGAAGAAAAATAAACAGAAATATATGAGCTTTTAAAACTCCGCCGACAAAAATCATTCCGAATCAAGGCTTTTAATTTACTGGACAGAAGAGCATAAAGTCGATCAATCGGCTGAAAAATCATCTTGTGGGCCGATCTGTTTCTTCACTCCTTCGAATATGGCTTTATGCTTAACACCATGAAACAAGATACGGCATTGACGATTTATTCAGCGTTAACAATGAGGAGTTTGGAAGTTACCTCAGCACAATTTACCCTTCGGAATTGGAACTAAAGGACACTTTCACATCAACAACTGAAGAGTGTTACCTCGACGCAAGGAGGGCAAGCTTGATGACAACAAGTCACCTTCCCATGTCAGCATCTATGATAAAAGAGATGACTTTACATTCCGAATCGTCAATTTTCAATACGTGGGGGACAGCACTGAACATCCCCACCAAACTAGACTACGAGTAGTCCCCCATTTTTCCTGAGGGATAGTAGAGCGAGCGTTCTCTCTCCCCGCCGCGTGTCGCCTTTTCTTGCGTGGGGTGATTTTCACGTGCGCTCGCGTTTCGCTCGCTCCACTATCACTGAGGAAAAATAAGGGGCTACTTTTAGTCTACACCAAACCGGCCTATGGTGTTTATTTATCTCAACTGGTGAGATATGTTTATAAATCCGGTCAACTGGTCGAAGTGTTGTCAAGATTACCTGTAATTGAAGACAAAGAGTAGTCATTAACGGTTATTCTTCCTCTTTGGCTGAAATTTCTTCTGGTGTTCCGCAAGGCTCTATTCTTGGTGCACTAGACAAACTTTATCATCGGAGCCCATGCAGGCAACATCAGGTGGATTTCAACTCCAGAGAGTGCAATTAGCTCATGAGAATTACTGAAAAACAAGTACCCTTTACCAACAAAGTGCATTTGAGTGATACTGTTCTTGAGGAGGTCAAGGATTTTAAGGATTTCCGGAGTATATATTGACTGAGAACGGGTTACCGCCTGAAACTCTCATAATGATATGAGCACTGCCAAGGCAAAAAGAATGTTGGGCTTAATTGCAAGGATCTCAAGGAAGAAACTACCCTAAAGATCTTGTACTGCTCCCTTGTTAGATCGAATCTGCATGGAATATTGCTCAGTCCGTCTAGTACCCATTCACCAAATGTAAACAGAGAGAATTCAGCGTAGAGCAACCAGATTCATTTTAAAATCGAACGAACCATACGATGTCCGTCTAAGTAAGCTCAATCTGCTAACTCTTGAGCAAAAGCGTTTCGTTTTCGATGTCACCTCATTTGTTATAAGGTTCTGTATGGCCATTTCAGATGTCGAGTCTTTCATTAAGTTTAATTCTTAGATTTTTCTAGCCAAGAGGACCGCTACTTACTGAGATATTTCGATACTAAATTGGTAAAAAAAGAAACATACCGGAACAAATTTACTAGCTTTAAAAAAACAGTTACTTTCAAAGGATTGTGGACGAGTGCCTTTTGAGGTCCATTGGGCATACAATGTAGACATGTTTAAATCCTTGCCTCCACGTGGGGGAGGGGAGGGGCGAAGAGACTGATGAGATATATTTCAGACAATTCGTTCTTACAGTTATGACTAACGTAACATGAAGAGGATTACGTCTTCAATTCTATCGTAGAAGTAAGTAGCGAAATGGTTTTGTAGGTTAAGAGCTTATTCGAGCCCCAGTAGTATTTTCTTTTTCCGGAACTAACTGCAGTTCTGCGTAGAAGTTCAATCAAGCTGGTTAGTAATTGAGCACAAGCAAAAAAAGGCGTTTATTTCTCTTTTGTTCACGGATATTACACAAGTTTTACCAAAACGACTAGTTGAACACCACTAATATATGTGTAATAACAATATTTTATTCGAGAAATTTTTAAAGTGAGAAATTCAGTTCTTTCCAATTGTAGTCACTGAACTAAAATGTAGCCCATGGCTTTGATGTGCTTGTTGCCGTTATCTGCGGCTATTGCCTCGTTTCCACATGTATTTTCGTCATCGTGATATCCTCCAGTTCCAAACCCGATTCTGGAGTCACAGGAATTACAGGCGTTTTCATTGTTACCAACGAAACCAATTCTTGCTTTTGAAGCACCACTAAAGCTGCAGACAGCGTTGAATCCTTCCTTATTACAGTTGGTCTGCAGGGACGCCTGTGAACCAATAAGAGACTTCCACTTGTTGCGACCCAGTGAGGTAGGGCGGTAAAGACCATCAGAAATCAGTGAGTGGAGGGAGTGGGCTTGCTTGAAGAGTACAACGAACTTTGTCTGGTGTCCGATTTTCATTCCCAGGCAGATCTTTGAGAAGGGTGTGTTCCAGTAGGTTGGAAGCTTAGTCTCATGTGCGTCGATCCCAGTCTTTCCTCCTGGGAGGTTGAAATTGTCCTTGTTACTCCAAAGTTTGGAATTGAAGTGAAAAGTTGGCTGCGATGGAAATAAATAAATAAACAGATTGAGAGATGAAATAAGAAATTTGTAAACGTGTAATTCTCTATTGAAAATGTCTATCACAAAAGGTTAGGAGCAATTTTTTCATAGATTTTTAAAACTGCATTAATAACTAAAACTGGATGTTAGTCTCTCGACCCTGTTAACTATGGCGGACTATGTTCATGTTTTTTTTCCTTAACTCTGATAAAGCAGATTGTAAGAATACCTTATGGCCATCAGTTTTCATCACCAGCGTCCATCCCCCACCTCCGCATGCGCCAAGTCCATGGCTTGTCATGTGACAGTACACGAACACCTTTCCAGACTTCATGTGAAGTTCATAGGCTCTATTTCCGTGAGCTCTGTCAAAAAAATAAATTCAAACTGAATGATGGAATTCGCTTATCTCTGTCCGCTTTTGCTCGAGGCCATGAGAACGCTGGATTAAATCAGTCATTTAATTGTCGGTATGTGGCAAATCTTCTCGGCTAGTTCTCTATGGTTGCTTCCCATGAGAAAATTCTCTCTTCGTCCGCCCCTTAAAGCCGGAAATAAATAGAAGACTATTGAATAATTTCATCAACTGCAAAAGACGCAGGGCTCAGTTAAAGGGATCGACTAATGAACTCTTAACTAGAAGCTGCAAGCGTTAGTGCAATTGAAATTTGAACTTACTTATTTTTGTCGTAAATTTCCTTGCAGGTTCGAAAGGCAGACGTCGGACACCCAGCTACCAGAGATGAAATAACAACAATTACATGATTTAATCAGTTGTATTATGCGTAATGAACTTGTTTTACCAGAGGCGCCGTTACTTAAAGAAATCACAGAATTAATTCATTGAATTATTGCAGATTTATATCATTGATTTGTTTCGCAAAAAGTTTTCAAATGCATATCAATAACAATGAAGTTATATAACATATTTTACAATTTCCATTAGCATGAATAAAAAACTGTATAAGTAGTATACAGAACGTCAAGGAAACAAAGTCTGTTGACAGTTTTTAAACTCTTCTCTTTAGGCAAACATTTTTAAATTCATACTGATAAGCTGTAAAAAGTTATTATTGTGAGTTCGCACGGTTTTCTTGGTCTCCCAAAAAGTCTTATAAGTGATACCATTAAAAGTAAATATATTATAATTATTTTACACTATATAAAGCTTCACGTTTAAACCTTAAAATAATTTAATTAAAAAGTGTTATAGCTTTTTCGTCCTTCTTCTGTGCGGCATATACGACGAAGGAGTTTGACTAATAGTCGCGGGTCGCGGGTCCAAAGTCGCGATCGCGGGTCCAATGTCGCGGCAGGGGAAAATGATTTGGAGTTCCAGGTAACTGAGTGAAAACGAGTGATATGAAAAAAATATAAAGGGAAAAAAATCGTTTTTATGCATGATACTCTACGGTAGCCAATTTACAGATTACGGATGTTAGAGTCAACAAAATAATGTCTCAAGAAAAGACCTAAAAGAAAAAGCTGGCCGACTTTTGTGTTCACCGCAAGAACGAGAAGTTTTTTCAGGCTTCCTTTTCGCAACTGAAGTGCGTATATAACTGCCATGATCTTCATTCATATAAAATTATCAACTATTAGGCAGATCAGTTTTCAATCACTGTTTCCTTCAGTTCTTGACCCGTATAACTTAATGATAATTTAACAATGGCTCACTTCCAGGTGTAGCGGGTCGGGGTGTCTGAGTGGTAAGTGGTTTCGGTCCTCCTTCTCCTGTGGATGACAAGAACAAAAAAATCCTCCACACATTCAAAGAACTTTTCATATTTTATTACTCTAGACTTATAGACAACCACTGAATATAATGGGTTGGTACGAATTGAGGTAAGATGAAGCACCCCACAAAGATCCACAAACCAAGTCCACAAAATCCTTTTGACTTCCTTTCACTTTAGGAACGACTTTGAATGTTTCTTATTACATCCACCCTGTAAGTCTTTCTTATAACGTTAACCTTATAGAAAATAGAGAAACAAAATGGCCTGTTTTCCAATACCAGGAACGGAGGGCCCCTATAGCAGAATATCAGTACTTCAAATAAAACACTTAATCCATGTCAATCATATCGAATACAGGTCTGACTCAAATTCAAGTCTGCAATGGAATTTCTTGTGCCCGGCGGCTTTATCTCGCTGAGTTCTCCGATAACATTACAAACGCTATCTATTCTACACAGTCCTTTGCTACTTTTGGTGGCAAATGTGGCTTGGGCTCTGCTGACACTGATACATACGGGAAATTTCCTGGGTTATCCCCATCTTGATCGTTAGTTGAATCCCGGCGTTGCTGAGCTGTCTGCTTTAAGACACGGCTTTAACCTGAAGGTCGGTGGGGGAGGGGGGTTGGGTTGTGGGGGATGACTGATGCATTTTCTTAACTATTGTAATTAAGCTTTCAAAATAAAGAGTTTTTGTAGGATTGCGAAATTTCCCCTTTGCTACTAAAGAAAGCTCATAGCCGTGAAAGTACTTAATCACCTATTTTGTTCAGAATCCATGATTTGTAGCTCGTTATCCTGGCAAACACGGTGAAGTAAGTAGTAGGACAGCTTCGCTTGCCAAAACTGACAGCTCCATGTAGATACCACTTTCCTCCCATCTCACAAGCCAGTGGTCCACCACTGTCCCCATTACATCCCCCTGAGGCAGCTGCGCGTCCCTCGCCAGCGCACAAATGAGCATTGCGATCCACTATGGCATACTTTTTTCTACAGTCAGTATGGGAGACCAGGGGTAGCTTGGCTTGTTGCAGGATATCTGCTGCTGGTCCTCCGCCAGAAATACGACCCCACCCTACAAGTGAGCAAACGTTAAGTGCATAAATGCATAAATGGATACTTACAAATCCCAGGAAAATGAGAATAGTATAATGGGATTTATTTTTTAACCAAAATGCATCTCGCGAAACCTCACTTGGGAATCGAAGGGAAGCGATGATAGACAACCTCATCCCCAGGGCTTTCCCTAGACTTTCAAAAAATTCGTTCATCAGATTTCATATGACGCAGGACGAAGGTCGACGTGGCGCGAGGCGCGAGGTCGACTTGTAGCAAGTCTAGGCTTTCCCTTAAAGAAATGGAAGAGAAGCAGTTGGGAAAAGGATGGATGATTGGCGGTTGCAATCTCGTTCTCAGGCTTCTCTGCCTGAGAACAAACTATTTAAGCAGAAAAGCACCAGTTATTCACTAAGAAACAATGATTTTGATATTCCTACTTTTAACACTATTAACCATGGAAAACATTCTCTTAGATATCAAGGACCTCATATATGGTCGAATCTACATAAAAAATTGAAAGGCTCCTCGAATATTGAACCTTTTAAAAAGAACATTAGGAAAAAAGACCTAACGTCAGTCTTAAACAAGCTTAAACAACAGCAATAGCTGCTGTAACCTTTTCAATTTTTAGAGACTACGTTTTATATACCTATTGTTTTATTGTACAATTTATACATGCTACATATTTTAATTGTCTATACTTTTTTTTATTTCTTATTTGCAAATAATTTTAATTTTTTTTGTGTGTCCCCAATTAGTCGTGAAAACTAAATACACTGACACATTAATAAAGCTTTTACTTACTTTACGAGGTTTAAGCGGCTGTATTCGCAAGCTAATCGCGCGAAAGAGTCCGAAAAAGATTTTAAAAAAACAAAAACAATATAATAATAATGATAATAATAATAATAATAATTAATATTGTCCCGAAGTTGTAAAAAGTGGAGCATTTTAGTGAGGAAACAAAAGCATAATGTACCGCAGGTTATTGACAACGTTTTACGGCATCATAAAGCGCGTGAAATTCAAACCCTACCTGTTATGTAACATTTGGAGTTCAAGTCTGCATCCTTGTCTGGAAGGCAAATTGTATTTACTTTGTCACTCAGTTTCACGGGTCGCTCCAACTGAAGAACTGCCACATCATGTTTGAGAGTCCACCTGCTGAATCCACTGTGTCTATGAAGAGTTATCACTTTAAGTGTTTCTTGTACAGAAGTGCTTCCAGTTCGCCTGTGGCCGCCTGTAATGTTATAAAAGTGAGCGGCTCAGCGTTCCTAAAACAGTCTCAAACAGTACCCAGCACTACGTTTCCTTTATGAATAGATTAACTTTGAGAAAAACCTTGGGAATCTTGGGAAAATGGCTTAATTAATTCAGGTATTATGGACAGGTATACTACTACACCCCGGCTGAGCCTCTGAAATAAGGACTGGATCGGACTACTATTTTCAGGATAGTGGTATCATTGTACGCACTTGAAAAATTACAGAAAAGTTCAAGTAAGTAGGGAATAATTCAAAATTGTAAAAGTTGCACTATGTTCCAATGCTTGCCAGTTAAGCTACAAGTCATTGATGGAGGTACCTGAGGATGTTTTAAAAGTACTGTACTTACCTATCGCGCGACACTGACTTGTAGTTCGCAGGAGCCAATGGCTCTTTGACTGACTGGTTTTTGTAATTTATCTAGAATTTCATTGAAGTGGTACAAAGGATACAAGGGGACTCTCCCTTATGAGACCAAGAGGGGTATGCACGTGCCGTTGAAAAGGGTATGGTTTTTGGGGTGTCTTGAGTCTTGAATAGGTCATACATACAATCTCTGATAATTTCACTATTTGACGTCTTGGACAGGGTGTGTTTTTGGATCGAAAGCCTGGAAAATAATCTGAAGGTTGACGATGAACTGTCTACTTGATCGTGAGTGGTATGAACTATCTTTTCTCAAAAAGATCTGAGTATTCTATGATGCTTATAGTTTTACAATTACTTAATTACCGTATGCGAGACGATATGGGTCAGGATTGTGAAATAAGGTCTCTTCTCTTAAACAGGCTGGTCAGATGAATGATTTTGTCTTAAACCGACAAGGAAAAGGCTTTTAAGGTCTCGGCGGTACATCCCTACTCAAATTTCCCTTGAGTGCCCCGGCGGAGTGTATTGCTAAGGAAGAACAAGAGTTTTAGATTGCATAGCCTTCTTAGTCGCTGTAGTAAATGCGGTGATTTCTCTCAATAAACTCAAACTAGTCAGTTTCTATATTGTAACGTACCTACTACAACAGTGTATCGACTTGGGTTTGTGTTTCTATAAACACAATGTGCCGCAGTTACGATCCAGTCATCCCTGATCAGGGATCCGCCACAAATATGTCTTCCACTCACACGAAGAGAAATCTGCCACGGCCAGGAATGAGGGCTGGCGTCCTGGCCATTCACCACTCGGGAGAGGGCTGGACGCATGCCACATCCTACAGGGAACATTAGTTGTTGCGATAAATCAATCTCGTTCCCAGAGGCCGCAATCTTTTTGGACAGCGTTCAGCTGACTCCGGGAACGAGATTGGCGATAAATCAAATAACTTCCTATTGACAAAACGCAACTGGGGAAAATGTTTCGTTAAGTTTCTTTTATACCAGGCAAGTTTTTCCACGTTTCTTTTTTTTTTTGTCAACTTAAACTAGAAACATTAAAGTACCATGAAAAATTCACCACGCGTTTTATTAGAGTTAAACTAACTACAGTCGAAGCTCTCGTAAGTGAACAGCTCTACTTAAGGCCACCATCACAGGACCCCTTTTTTCTCAACTCTCATACAAACTCAGTTTTTTTACATTCCCGTAAGTAACCAGTTCCGCTTACGGACACCTTTTTGCCGTCCCTGGCGAGGGTGTCCGCTCACCAGAGCTTCTACACTGTATGTACTTTTTTTACCCACTAAATGCTGTTAGTGAAAATGCTTTCAATACCAATCAATCAGATCAATTAATTGCCAGTTTAGTTGCGCTTTTTCCCTGGCAATTTTGACTGCTGGCAGTTATTTTTTTAAAAAAAATCAAGAACTACAAGATTCGGTTAGAGTAGTTACAAACGGAACATTCCGATAACAACTAGTCGACAAAGCTATGAGGGAGACAGTACAACGGTTTAACTTAATAGTGCTTTATCACTAACCTTCAGAAAAGGAGGGCACGAGGGCACATAAAGCGAGAAAAAAGAGAGAAATCATCACTTGGGTTCTTCTCTTGAAGAGACTTCCGTTTTGGACTTTTATGATCTTCCCAGTCTCTTTTATAACATTTTTAAGCCTTGAGATAGATCACCTAGGAAATTTTGTTAAAGCTGTATGCATACGAAGTGCGGATCCTCCCATATGGGTGATCGAAAAATAATGATAAAAAATGTAAACAAAATAAGAAGAATGACAACTATATTAGCGATGACTAACGAGCTTAATGGACCGCAAATTGATCAAATATAGACCGCAAATTGATCAAATATAGGCAAATGGTAGTGTTTGTTGAAGGAAATGTGTGTTCACGTTTAGATCATCGTTCAGGGCAAAAAAATTGCATATTCGCGATGCAGATCCTTTGTTGACCGGTAAAAAACCTGGAAACAAAGCAAAGCAAAACAAGGAAGGAAAAAAGGACAAGAGACGCCACGATTATCTTAAAAGAAATGTGTGTCCACGTTTAGATCATCGTTCAGAGCAAAAAAATTGCATATTCGCGATACAGATCCTTTGTTGACCGGTAAAAAACCTGGAAACAAAGCAAAGCAAAACAAGGAAGGAAAAAAGGACAAGAGAAGCCACGATTATCTTAAAAGAGCTTCTTTCGAAATCAAACCTTCGACCACAAGATGACAATAAAAAGACCAAATACTTTACACACTTGTACCACCTGGACAAACGGGGATCTATTATAGACAACTTTCGGTAAAGTTAGTTTGTCTTCCTTGGAAACAATAAACTGGTTATTGAATAGAACAAAGTGTGGGCAGTCAAAAACAGATTTTTTTGCATTCCATTTTATTCTTGCCTATTTGCAAATAGCAAAGTGCAGTTTCGATTGCTGGGAAAACGTGAGAAATTTTAAGAAATTTGTCTTTTACGAATAATTTGCCATCGGTGCCTGCCTCATAAAATATTTACAAGTGCATTTACAAGTATGATTTGATCGAAAGTTTTTGCCCCGAACAATGTTTAGGCTTTCTTTGTTTCTCTCGAAATTTATTCTTTGTGCTTTAAATTTTAAATTTTTCTTTTTCAGTACTTTTCTCGGTATTTTTCTTTTGTCGCTTTCCAGCTTAATTTTACTGTAAGACCAATGAGACAAATATATGAAATGCTTTAAACACATTATTATTATTATTATTATGTCGCAGTATGAAACTTTGGAATGCTGTCCACATTATGAGTAGTATAGGGCACATAGCGTAACCTACACCACTTGAGAAGCTATACTTAGAAGTAAAAAAAGGTCGATACGAAACCTAATACAATCCTAAAATACATAGTGATATGAATCTCTCTACTTAAAAAGCCAGTTTAGAATATTATTAAATTCTGATACTCTGTAAAACCTTCGCTATCTCTACTAAAAACATATTTATAATAATATCACACTCTAATGTTCTAAAAAATCTAAGTAAAAACGTCAGCAAGCTTGTGTTTCTAGATTTCTAGAGAAAAAACAAAAACCTAAAAACTGAAGCCCATAACGCCCTAACTAAGTATTTATCTTAAATGTTCTGGCAATGTTTAAAGTGTTTGAGATGACCGACTTCTGCATTCGCTCAAGTACGCTCCGTGCTCTCGCTCCAAGTAGCTTCCTCACCGACTTCTCTAGGTGTTTAGAGTAACCCCCCAGTATTATTATTATTATTATTATTATTATCATTATAATTCTATTTTTGATCGAACGTTTTTGCCCCGAACAATGTTTAGGCTTTCTTTGTTTCTCTCGAAATTTATTCTTTGTGCTTTAAATTTTAAATTTTTCTTTTTCAGTACTTTCCTCGATATTTTTCTTTTGTCACTTTCCAGCTTAAGCTTACTGTAAGACCAATGAGACAAATATATTATTATTCTATTTTTAATGATGTGGACCGGCAATTAGTCATTCTTGACACTGAAATTAATACTGATACTCCCTAAATTGTACGCCACTCATGCTATTACCATTACTAAGTGTTAAAGGTAAACTCAGCTGTAGAATATGCGTATAGCCGTTGCATTTGCTCGCTGAAAGCTCATAAAATAATAAAACTTTTATTACTGAATTTCCAGCGCGCTCGGTCAATGCAGACATTTGCATTATAGTTAGACAGGAATGAGCTCGAAGCAAAACAATAACAGTCCACTTAAGATACCCTCGATCCCTTCTGCTTTCATCACACTTTGTGTTTAGTTGATATTTCTAATAAAATGTCTCAAAGAAAAGACCAATTATACAGTGGCGGATCTAGACCTTCAGATAAGGGGGCCCCGGTCATCCAGACCCTGAGATAAGGATGGTGGTGGGGGGGGCACGGTCTCAAAAAAGATTTCCTTCGGGCCTCTGTTTGATCTAAAAATAAGGGGGCGGGCCCCCCCGGGGCCCCTCCCCTGGATTCGCCACTTATATAGAATAGTCTACAGTTGAACCTCTCTACAACGGCTATCTTGGGGGTAGAAGAAAGTAGCAGTTGTAAGGAGGTGATCGTTGTAGAGAGGTATTAATCAAGAGTCAATGTGCGAAAAAAAAGTGGCCATTGTAGAGAGGTGGCCATTAGCGGAGGTTAGACTGTATGTTTTAAAGATGAGGGTTGTGAGAAGTTGCTATATTCAGGGCCAACTTAACAGTCGCCTCTTGTAAGGTAATTCAAGAGAGTCCAGGATTCTAGATTCCAGGCTGTGGGTTCCGGATTCCAGGTACTGGATTCCACATTCCAATCGTCAGCGGATTCAGCATTTTCGGATTCTTTAAAACTAATCACAGATTCCAATGCCTAGGATCACGGATTCCACAAGGAAACTTACACTTGGAAACTGCCCACCTACCCCTCCCCTAAGCCAACATTAACACTTACTTCTGACTTAAGGCAAAATGTTGGCTTAGGGGAGGGGTAGGTGGGCAGTTTCCTAGGAACGTATACTGATCCCATGGAGCGATAACAGAGAGGTAGCTGTATGGACACTGGTAAGTAGGCATAATGCAGTGAGTTTGTCGCCGAAACTGCTCTGAAACGACCTCACATAATAGGAAAACGTTATAAATAATACAAGAAAACAAGGTAAGAAAATCTGCTGCCCTTTTATTACTGTTTTGACTCCTGAATAGTAACTAATTCACATTCACATAAAAGCCACCTTATGCCTTTTGACGGATAAGTTATGGGTGAAAAATTTTGCATAAGGCATAGGGTGGGCTGATAGAGAAAATTTGCCAGCGCCGCTGAAGGGGAGGAGGGTGGGGAAACTTGCTTGCCCGTTGTAGAGTAGACTTGCGAGAAGACGGCGAATTTGTTTGCTAGGGCGTATAAAAGGCCTAGGGAATTTCCCTGGGGACCGTAGAGGACCAATAGACTGCTTCCCGAGGGAGCACGCAGTAATCTAGTTGATTAAATCGTCACGCGGCGGCTTTTATACGAATGAGAATAGCGCTAGGAATAATCCACATACAAACCCCTACAACATAATGTTATGCAAAAAAAATTTGCGCTCGTTAGCTTGGGCTACCTGTGGTCCCAAATAGCCCTCGGACGAATCCAAAGACAAACCCTTATAATATAATAGCTGTGGTCACACTACAGACTTTTACCTAGGTAAAACCGATTTACCTAGGGCAAATTCATCAAAAATCTCCCGAGGTAAATTCATCTCGGGTTTTGTTTTACCTAGGTAAAAATTCTGGGAAGGTCACACTACTGATATCGGCTCCCAAAGTTTTCACGCCAGTTGAATTCTTTGGAGCGTAAATTCAAGAAGGCAAAATGCGCAGGGATCTAGCTGATCAAAGAGACGTTTTTTTCTTTTATCTCGCTGTTTTTTCTTACGCTAAGTCAACGTTCAAGGTGAAGAAAGAGGGGGGCGTAAGGGGGGTACGAATACCGCAATACCGCACATGGTAGCGCGAGAATACCGTAATACCGTATCACAATTTACCCAAATACCGAAACCGCAGTTACCAATGGGAAAAAGTTGACGTTGCCAATCCTACAAATTCTCCTTTCAAATAGAAATAATACTTTTATGTCAGTGTTTCAAAATCAAGGTGCTTCGATGTCAAGCGTACAATAAACATAAGATCATCGCACTCGTTTAATTTTGTTCATTACACGTATATGTTTACGTAAATGATACAACAGGAGTTTCCTAGCATTACTTTCACTTTTATGAGGTTTTTTCAGGTTCACAATTAACTCGGTTCTGTGTTGAGGGTTTCAAGACGTCTACCAGGGCTGCCTTTGGGATTCGAGGGCACACACCGTACACTACCCTTAGGCTTGGACAAATTCTGCCGGCAGAATTTCGGGCAGAATAAGTGATTAATGAGGCGAGCATTCTGCCGGCAGAATGGGGCTTTTTCGAGCAGAATTTGAGCAGAATAAGGGAAAGTCGGCTACAACGCATTCACATTAAAGTAAGATGAATTACAATATATAATTAGTTTTAAGGGGTTAGGCCCAGGTTCCTTACTACATTTGCGAAAATAAATACGGCCCGAGGGCGGGGGTGTCCGAGCAGAATTTTGAGCAGAATAAGCGATTTTTACGAGCACTGCCGGCACGAGAATAAGCCAATTTACGAGCAGAATTTTTCCAAGCCTAACTAGCCTGCGTAGCATGGCGGTTTTGGTTGTGCGCGCTGAATAAAAAAGGCGGGCGCGGGCCAGGAGACTGGGACGGGAGCTGTTTCGCTCCTCAGCTCAGTCGTGCTCCGGACTAAACCACGCAAAACCACCATGGTACGCAGGCTAAGCACACACGAAAACTACAGGGGCATCTAGCATCAATTTTTGGAAAATATCTGTTCGGAAGACGATTTGAGATCTAGAATTTTCGGAATATTTGTTGTAAAATTTCTTTCTTGCGTGCCTCTCCTAGGATTTTCGAACATCTAAAAAAATGGTATAATTGCCCATCGCTCGCCATTGTTTCGCGAGTGGCACGAAAGTGACGATGAGGTTGGTAAGGAGGTTAACCAAGCCAACTATTTCCACAAGGTCGACCATGAGGTCATAAATAATGTGACATGTTTACGTATCATTGGATAAAAAAGTTAATGTCGTTAGTCATATCAAGTATTAACTGAAATTACAAGCCAAACGATTTGTCTGGACTATTTGAAAAATACGATCCCCGACTGTGCAACTTGGAAGACACGCAGGTCACGCAGGCTAGCCAGGGAGACCTTTTAGGATTTGTATCCTCTTGTCATGAAAAAGAAGCAGATCACCGCGAAACAAGGATATTTCACCGACTACCGCGACATGAAATTGAAACTTACCGCACACCGCTTGGGCTCTGAAAACCGCAATACCGTACTTTGAAATAAAAATTACCGCAACTCCGCACCAAAAGTAACCCAATACCCCAATACCGCAAACCCTTACGCCCCCCTCAAGAAAGGCGAAGACATAGACGACTCGCGCTCCCAAAATTTATTTCACAGCGTTATCTATGTCCGGTCCTGTCATCAAGACCTTCGCCGATGAGCGTCTATTGGCTAGCAACCTAGCCTGAGTACCAGGCCTTCCTAAGAGGCTAGGGGAGAGGAGATTTTTCGCTTCCATCTTTCCCCTTTTCCCCAGAAACGCCTGATACTCAGGCTACTAGCAACCTCGGTATTTCATTTTTCCCTAGCTATTGCTTTGGGGTAGCTGTCAAGGTAAACTCTATTGTTTTCGAGACATAATTATCCAAGACCCAGACGATAAAATTTCCCCGAGGTAAGTTACCTAGGGAAAAATCGGTCACACTTAAAAAATCAAGTTTCCCCAGGTAAACTGTCAACAAGTCGTGTTTACCTAGATAAAAAGTCTGTAGTGTGACCACAGCTATTGTTATGCAAACTGAGAATTCGCACTCTTTAGCTAGGGCTACCTGTGATCGTTTTTCCACGTAAAGCCAGGGAAGTAAGCAGGCGTGTACACACAGGCCGTATTTTTTTAACTAAACACTCTCCGTAGTCTATTTTAAGAGCAACGTTGCCTTATTTACCTGGCCTTTGTTTAAATTTCAGATATTTTCAGTTAATTCACGGGTCCATGCCCTAGGCATAAACCCAAAGTTGTTTATTATATGCACGGAGGGGGTTTTATACATCACTTTCTTAATGTTTCGAGCACGAGTCTACTCGATGCGCCGCGTTGAGTCATACCTACGGTAATGTAATTTATTTGTCGGTGTCATAGCCATTCTGACAGCTGGACTTTGGAACGAAAAGGAAAAAAATCTAGTGTTATATAAATTTTCTTCTCCATATCTCACTTCCACTTCCATTAACGTCAAGAGGTTGGACAGGTAGTCTATGAAGCTTTTCTCACTAAAACTGTTTCTTTTTTTTTATATATTGCGCGGCTAAAACAAAGCTCCGACAGACATGTTAATCTAGAATGTCTCTATTCTAATGGTTTCGTGATAAGTGCATAGCCCTCAAGAACAATTAGGTGACTTCACAGATTTTTAAAGTAAATAAGCAATAAAATGTCTTAACATTACGCCGAAACGACAATTTCCTCATACCTTTAAAACATTTAAGGTATAGTTTGGTAAAACAGTTTCGTTGTTCAACGTTTCTATATTTATAACCCTGACGCTACTGTCTGTCACTATACCGACGCGAGAATTATTAACCCCAAATACTTTCTTTCGATCACTCATGCCTTTGATCCAAGAAAAATTTTTGTCTGATCCACCTCGAGAGAAACCAAATGTCTTGTACAACGCTAGTCGAAACTTTTCACATCTCCAAACATAAACACAAGGGTTAAAAAACGAGCTTAAAAACATAGTCGTGAAAGACCAACGAAATCTTGTGTAGTCGCTGCTTCCTTTGAGTTGAAATACTAAATCGGGCATGAACAGGACAACTGAAACACTGATGAGAATTGCCAATGTTCGCGTCGGCAAGTGATCGTGGGTGAACTTCTTGACCCTGTAGTTGTGCGAAACTGCTTGGAACTGAGAAGCGATCTGTCGACGTTGCTTTCTGGCGATAGTGAAAATCTTTGTGTACATTAAGAGAAACATTAGGAGCATCGCCAGGTGGAAATACGGCGCCGGCTTTTTAAGGGATGTGGTGGAAAAAACGATCGCCATGACAACGGACAAGACCCATCCAAAGCACACAAATCGGGCGATGTTTTTACCTTGCATAACAGTAGCGTACTCCAAAGAGCGCCAAACCGCAAACAATCGATTAATTGTCAGCGACAGAAGATTAAGAAACGAAGCGTGAAGAGCAACGTACGAGACGATTTTGAAATTTCTGAAGCTCTCGGGACTCCACTCTTGGTTCAAATAATAGATGTATAGAGGCTGGGCAACAGAGCACACAGTTAGATCCGCCACGCTGAGGCTAAGTATAAAAAAATTTACTCCTGTTTGAAGTTCTTCGTTCCGGTATATCACAAAGCACACCAGAACGTTACCTACCGTCCCCGCAACCGAGGAAAATCCGTTGATTGTCGAGAGTACAATGGGAAGATTGCCCATGATCGACTGGTGTAAATCACCGAAATCCACGAGAAATAAATACTTGCTTGCAATTCCAAGTTAGTTTGCGCCCCTGTTAGAGTTTTACAAGCTAACCATTCCAGTAATAGGATACAGAACAATAATTATGTAGAATTATGTAGATGTGCTGTCGAAAACAAAATCCACCGACGTTTTCTACCTTTCTTTCAGTTTTACAACAACAGGAAAAATTGAAGCGGACTCCGAAAGACGCGTTCAACGCATCTATTTTCCTCCCACTTTAGGAGCATTTTAGCCACGTTAATTTGCGTCATAGGGCGCCATTAAACCGAATCTCCCAGTTTATTCACTTTTTGCTGGCGCGTTTAAATAACGAAATGAAGAGATCATTACTGTACACTTTTAACAGGTGACACCTGTCAATATTAATAAGTATAAATCATATTCAAAACATGTCAGGCTTTTTTTACTGCCGATAAACAAATCGAGACGTTTCTACCGTTTGCTTGTTATCAGATTCATCCTGTATTTAAATATCTTTCCCAACGGAGAGAGGAGCCGGAACATGGCGTCAGTCGGAGATTTTAATGGACTACAGCCATGTCGAGGTATTTGTAAAGACCAAAAAAGAAAACGATACGAAAACGTCTATACGCCAGCTATAATACGGAACCCTTTACGGTTTTTATACAAATACAACGTCTTACTTTTTGTTATGAACAATCGTGTCAAGTCAAGGGATGTTTGCTTTCTTTATTTTTGCATATTAAAGTGATAAAACAAAATCAACTGCTTTAAACTCGACCTATATAAAACAGATAAATTACGTGATGACTCCAAACTTTTTTCCCGAATGACAGATACAAGTCTGTTTTATGGTATGATACGAAAGTGGAAAAAAACGCAAAACGTCTGAAGATTTGACACACTACTTCGAAATCGATACGAAATTTATGTGATTTAAGGCCAATCTTGGCGTTCAAAACTCCGCTGAAGTGGTTTAGCTTGTGTACAACATAGTTCAAACATTTGCGTGCAAGAATTTCTTCTTGGTCAACCAAAAAAAATTATGAAACAGGTATCTTCAGTTCTTTATCTAAAACCATGTCGTTTTAAGATAGAAGATAGTTCCTGTAACCCTCTCAAAATGTTTACACAATTTAATTACTACGTGAGCCGCTTGTATCTTAGTAGTGTCTTACATTATCATTTGGCAAGAATTTTTTTTTATAGACGCACAACAACGGCTAAAATAATCATTGATTGAACTAAAACCTATTAATTAAATTTAAAAAAAAAACTGTTGATGCTATTCTAGTTCTTTCTGTTCGTTATTTTTACATGTACGACTTATTTTGGTCGGATTTGGACTCCAGTCAAATCGTCCATCTAATTCAATTTTTACTTTCGACGCCAGCTGTTGAAAGAGATCTCTCAAATATTCGTAATCCGGTTCTTCTTCGAATTTTAATCCTCTGCAATAGTTAAGATAATCTTTGAATGCGTCAGGCAACTTATGACAAAGCCTTTCTGCCGAAAACGAAAGCTTTTTCTCAGTTATTAACTTGAATCTCTCCTGGTCGCTGCGAGCTTGAAGTCCTTGCCAAGGTAAGGAACCTTTGAGGAAATAAAGAAGGACAAAGCCAATGGACTCTAAATCGTCCCTCCGACTCAGCTCCATCCCTTTATGGGCATTCAAACTAGCGTACCGAGCGGTGCCTGTGAGTTCGCAACTCTCTTTTTGCCTCAAAGGAATGTGTCGAACACGCTTATCCCTGTACTTCTTTGCGAGACCAAAATCAATCAAGTAAACCTGAAAAATCATAAATAATTTTGATAATTCAAAGAGAGTTACAAAGAAAAAAAAAACAAGAAGAAGAAAAAGAAAGAAAAAGACAAAAATAATATCTGAGCTCTGCACCCACGTGATCTTTTCGGCAAAACTTTGTAGTTTAATTGTCACCAAGTTTTTTCAATTGAAAAAGATAGAAGTTATATATAACCAATTAAAGCAAAAAACTCGGTAAAAACAGACAAAGTGCTCTGCTGTCATAAAACAAGGGGCCATCTCTAACCATAGATGACTCAGGAACTTATGAAGGGCTTAGCGTAATGCTTTTTGTTCATTCTTAAACAACACGTACTGAAAAGAAAAGAAAATTTAATTCTGCACGCTAATCAGATCGTAAGGAAATGTACGAATACACTGTAAGTCACTTCTGTCAAGTACGCCCCTTTACTAATGGAAGCATTGTACTCGGTCAATGCTGAAAGAACATTTTACTAAATAAAAATTGTCTTTAAAGAGGTAACTCGACGTACGTGCAAAAAAGGACATGTTTTAAAGGATACAGCCAAGACGACAGGGTGTATAAAAGAAAAATAATTGAATATAAACATGTTGAAAACGAAACACTAAAAACACCACGCAATTAACTCTTTGAACCCACACGCTCGATTATAGACTTGATGCTGTTTTTCTCTTAATGACTTGAATTAACTTGATAACTCCTATCCATGGATCTTACGCTAATGTCAACCCAAAGTAACTAATTTCCCCTCAGGTCATTCGTTTCTTTGAAATAATTTTAGCATCAATAACTCACGAACCCATTTGCGAAAGAATTAAAACTTTTGCTCTTATCATTTAGTATTTCATTTTCCAAGAATGTAGATCTTTAATTTGTACTCCTTCTTTGCAGAAAAAATTGACTGACAGACTGAACAGCTAGTTTTACAACTCATGCTTTAAGCACGTACAGTTTTATCACACTCAACTCATACAGTAAATAAAAGAGTGCCCTATTTTCGACTTCGCTGCCTCCATATTATTTGCGTGCTTCAATCCTTCAATGACATAATTTAACTCCCACTAACTTAAAGCTTCTCTGACTCAATCCCACGAATAAAGTAGATCAGCCAGTTCAGAAAATAGTCAGTATAGTATTAATATTTGAAATGAAAAATATCGCCCACCTTTTTGCAATAACTATTAAATTTGAGAACTCCTACAGGTGCAATGTGACTAACCCAGTTCCTCAGATCTGCTATGCTTATTGGAGTTACTTCCAGTAACATCAACAAATGGAGCACATTGTGAACATAAAAACCGTAGTTTCTTGGTGACCGTGTACGTTTGTGACTTTCGAATTATTGTTTTAGCATTCATTTAAAATATTTTCAAGCTCAAAACATGCTTACGTACATGCCTACAATTTTTTCCTTTTCTGTCACCAAATAGTGTGGTTATGGTTGACTTAATAAGCAAGCCAGCTCGGTATCTTGGACTCTGCCTTGCTTACAAGGTGATTCCAAGAGGTTTTCTCTGAGACCGGTTCTGTAAGAGTGATTATTTTGTTTTTTGCCACGACACTTTCACAAAATGTAGCTCATTTAAGTGGCTCAAATTGGCAATCAAAGATATATTTCAAAATAACGCGCGATCAATGACTGAGAACATTTATCAACGCTTACCCTGCGTTCAAATAGCTATTAAAACGAAAAAAAAATTGCCATTGTTTTTCGTTTGCCTCGTGCGGACACAAAAAGCTACCCAGCATAGTATGAACATCCAGGGGCGGATCCAGGAATTTTTTTAGGAGGGGGTGCACTCGTCTCTTGCTCTTCTTCAACACCAATAAACCACATATTTTTTTTTTGGCAGAATACCAGTTGTATTAGAAAACTGCAGGTCATCTCGGGGGGGGGGGGGGGGGGAGGGTGCGCACCCCCTGCACCCTCCCCTAGATCCGCCCCTGACATCTATCCGACTATGTGATTCTCCACCTTAGAGATCGGCGCGGCGTAGCCTCGCTCCGTCACAGAACTCGCGCCAAAATCACCGTTTTTATGTGTGAACGGAAGCCCTATCTGGTACGGTTTTCGCGCCGGCGCAAAAAGCTATACTTTATAGTGTGAACACAGACTTAGATTTGAAACCATTACAAACTATGTACGGCCCTTAGTGTCAAACATGTAAAAAACTCATAACCCTTCAAGCTCCAAGATACACATACAAATTCTTCAAACTGATCTCTATATATTTCCTTAAAGAATGGGTTGAGAGAATTTGATTAGTACGCGTAATCAAATGGTGACGAGTGAAATTAGGGAATAATTTCACGAGTATACCATTTGATTACCTGTTAATATCATGGGTGACGAATTACGTTAGCAATCTTGGATTTTTGACATGTTTATTCTGGATCGCATCGATCGAGAACTTCCCTCTCTCGAACGTTTAGAGATTAAATTTGGCTTAAGTTCAGAATTTTTCAACAAAATACCTGTTAGAGTCCTTCTTGATGTGCCCTTTCGTGTGAGGAGTAATTCGTCACCTATGATATTAAAGATCGAAACATTTTCTCTTGGGTGATCATTTTATTAATTCTCATAACCTAATCTCTTGACAATGTATGGATATGATTAGGAGAAAATTGAAGTTGGTCACTGTTTACAAGGAGAGAGGGTTACCCCTGTGCTAGGATTACCCTAGTTAGCTCTGGTTTACAAGCAAATTTCATCACCCGGGTCAACTTTACCATGCAGCTTTATTGACGTGTTTGTTTGCGTGACATTCAGTGTAACGTCCAAGATGTGAAATAAAACTTAAGTTCTCTATGGAAAAGACGATAAGGTCGCGAAAAAACGGGAAAATATTATGATTATATACAGAAAATACCTTATATTGTTCCGATGTTTATATATAATCTAGCTCAGAAATTGGGTAATTCCGTTCAAATCGTCAAGATTAGTGGTCACATATAACGGAGGAAAGTTCTCCCGGGTAGGCGAGTTATCCCTAGCGGAGCGTTTACAAGGCAGGTAGGGTAACCCTCTTGCTACGGCCGGTAACCCTAGCACTCAGGTAGGGTAACCCTACCTGCCTGGTAAACACGTCGTGTAAAAAAAAAAAAGAAATGCGAGAGAGCTAATATAGGTAACCCTGTTGCCAGGGAAACCCTTGCACGAGTGTTACCCTCCCTCCTTGTAAACAGAGCCTTAAAGGGTTAAGCGTACCTTGCGGGCGTTGTCACGTCTACCCATCAGAAAGTTCTCAGGCTTGATATCACGATGTAAATAGCCGTTGTCGTGAACAAACTTTATCCTGCATATCATCTGATCTGCCAGCTGTATCACGGTCTTCAAGCTAAACTTGCCCGACTCCTTTTGTAGCAGTTGATCTAAGTTAGCTCCAAGAAGATCCATGATTAAAATATTGTTGTTAACCTCTTGACCGGACCAATGAACTTGAGGGAATCCTTCCTAAAATGGCATGTGAAATGCATGAGGTACTCTTGTACATTGTGGTGGTCTGTTTCAGGCGTTCGCATAGCGGAAGGGGGGCGTTAAATAGAGAGCTCAGTTTTCTTTGCGCTGTCCTTACTATCCCAAACGTGCGGAAAGGGCTGACATTGTGGTAGCCAGTTAATTCTGCTGCAATAAGGGTTGATTTCCAGTGTCGCGTAATTTTTCCGTCGCGCACGTGCGTAAAATTTACGTTTGCAAATAAAATAGAGGTAATGCATGAAAAGTCGTTCCTAAGCGTTAAGCCCCATGCAAACGGACACAACATTGTTGGATGTTACATGTTGCGCCCGTTTGCACTCCCTGCTGCATGTTGTTTGATGTTGTTGCGTGTTGTTGCGCAAAGTTTGAAACCGGTCAAACTTTCCAGCAACAACTGCCAACACTTCTTTGGTTCCGTGATCGCCGAAGCGTAGCGCAACAATGTTGGATCCGTTTGCACAGCTCTTCCAACATTGTTTGGGCCACGCACGCTCATTACGCATGGTTTACAAAGACTTGTGGGTTGTATCCTTCCCACGATGCACTGCAGGTTCCAACATTGTTTGGAGTTGTTTCATCCGTTTGCACAACACTGCCAACACGGACGCAACGATTTTGGGAGTTGTTGCATCCGTTTGCACGCAGCCTAAAAGTTCAACCTCGCTCAACCTCTCGTTTAAGCTCAGCACTTTTTATCTTGCCTCTATTTTATTTATGTGATTAAAATTGGCGTGCGTTAACGTTCGCAACCAAAAACGCGTCAGTGGAAATCAACCTTTAAGAACGCACAAAATTTCTATCTTCGCGATTCATTTCTATAGCAACAAAGAACCTCAGGGTGACATGGCTGGGCCCGAAAGCCTTCTTGGGTCGGCAAAAACAACAGACTGCAGAAACAATGACTGAGAAGAAATTACTAGAAATGTTAAAAGTTTCCACTTATAGCAAAAATATGTAAAGCAACGTTTCAAGACAATGCGATCGTCGCCCGTACAGGAAGCCGCGAATGTCAGCATTGACGTTAGTGCTCCGCTTTTGTCGCTATAAATAAAAACCGCGAAATCATTGCCGTAAAATGAAAGGCAAACCGTGTAAGAAACCTAAAACGTTTCCTGTTTGTCCCAAATAAGTTTGAAAGTACCAACGCTTTTTTCTGAAAGGTGCCCGTGTTTTAACTGAGAAGATATACTAGTCTTGCTCCACTTTCATTGTAACTGTTTTTTCCTTGGATTTATCCAATATGGGAAAGACGCCAATATATGGGTTAATCTACCGCGAATGTTGTTCTCTTACAGTTCATTCACTCATTCAGGCAATTTTGGTACAACCTTAGTGATAAAGATTTGATGCCCAGAAATATCTTTCCTATTTGATTTAGTGTCTAATCCTTACCGGTCCATAGCTCAGATTAGTTTTACCTTTTAATGAATCAACGAAATGTTGTCTTATAGCAAAAACAAGGTCCCGAAACAATGCCATGGTCGCAACTTTTATGTAAAAGTTAACTTTTTATTTTAATTCTTGCTCCATTAAGAACTGTTTATTCGTCGTTGTTATAACCCCACAAAACGATCTCGTGTTATGCTAAACAATCACCTGTTGATCGCCTCATTCTATCATTTACTGATATTGGTACCAATGTGTTGTGATAGAGATTTGATTTATCTGATTTGAAATTACTATAAACTGCTATCTTTATTCAACGATTATTTTACCTTTGTCAATTTTAAATGAAGTGAAATGATCAACCGAAAATTGCAAGGTGAAAAAAACAAATTTACAAACAAGCTAATCTGCACTTGGCTGCCTTAGGGCTATTACACAGGACGATAAGCCAATATTACATTATTATGATGACGAACAATTTCGCGATGTCGTCATTGTTTGAATTGAAGTACCGTGTTTAAGTAACGTGAACTTGTGGGCCAGGGTTTCATTAATTCTGATCAGCGACATGAAACCAGGTAAAGAGGAGCCGGTGTGTCTTTTATCAAAAAACACCGCAAAAACACTTCTTGTGCGAAATGCAATCGATGCAACGACACTCAGCAAGGAAACTCGCCAGATTCAGAAGCAAAGGAACTCAGAACAAAGATTATTCCTGAAGAAACGGGAACATATGTTACAACGACAGTCGTCTTTGAGGGAATCCTCACCTAACCTTAGAAGAAAATCAGACGAAAGCAACAAACAACAACGATTATTGTCTGCTTCGTCGTTTTTGTCAGCGGATGATGAACGCCCGATGTCAGCTCGCTCCAGAAGCAGTACCTTATCCAGTTTAAGTAGCAGTTCCAATTTGGCGGTTTCACTTCCAGATATTTTCGCTGCCTCTCAGTGGAAAACTGGAACAAACAGAATGAGTGAGGACGCAAAACGCCATTGGAAAGGGGAAAAGAAAAGCGTTTCCCAAGAGGAGAGCTGTCCAATTAATGATGACTGGATGGAGTTACGACAATGTAGATATTTACGCCAGGCTCTCAATTAGTAGTTGAACATTCAAGATGACACATATTTCTAAATGATGACTGAGAAGGCACTCAAACATTTTTAACGTTCCTTCTACAGAAAGGAAATTGATTTATTTGCGCGAATGAAAGAAAGAAACCTGCACTGAAAAAGACCATTAAATGTAATTCAGCATACGCAGGACATATTAGTCCTAAAACAGACTCTTCCACGGTTTGTTTCAAGTTTTACTGGGAAAAGACCAGTACGCGAATATACATCGACACCTCTGGAAAGAGCACTATTAAAGTTTAAAGTCGGCTTCTTAAGTAAATAGTTTAGGCTTTGAATTCTATTTTAAATAGTCTTGCTGATTGTTTTAATAACTTCTATGTTTAGTTTTAACACAAGCACATCAGCTTTGCCATACTGTTTTATCGTGTATAAATAAATGTATCGTGTGTATAAATGCTATTACTTATTAAAGTTCAAGGCCAGCGGATATATTGCACCACAATGTCGCGAAATTTTCCAGACGTTTGTATAGTGAGGGTCACGAAATTGCCTCACACTAAACAAACGTCTGTAACGTTCGAGATGTTGCGGAGCTATAATATCTTCGTTCGTTCGTTTTGTTCAAATCACTCTAAAACCTGGTAAAGTTACTGATTTTAACCATTTAGACCAACATCAATTTTCTCCTGACAACATCAGCAGATCACCAAGCGTAAAGGTAATTGATTAACAAAGGGAGAATGCTTTGATCTTAAACCAAATTCTCTCAACTGTTCTTAAAAGAAATCTATGGAGATCAGTCTGGAGAATTTGTATGTGGATCTTGGGGCTTAAAGGGTTAAGGCGTTCTTCCCAGCCGTGTTGCCCCAGTCAAAAGTTGAAACAACCGTGGAAGGGTGGATATCTCTAATTTAGTGTATGCTCCCTGATTAGTCAATTCCGTCAGCGGGTATGCGCCGCGGTTCTACCAGGGCGGATACTGTGCTTCCGTGCGACCAACGGGTCCATTTTATAAGTTAAGGAGACTCTCTCCTGGATTTATATCTCGGGTGCCATCCACAAAATTTGAAGAGGAAATCTCGCTCCGTAACTTACATTGCGGATGAAAAAAAAATACAATCCACTTGATCCGCGTCCATTGGATCTATTTACGCGAAAGTAAAACCATATCTCCGGAGGAAATACGTATGCGATGTGGCCAAACAAATTTACATGGGAAGTAGGTTATTGTTGTGGTTAAGTTCCATCCTAGTTTTACTTTTTTTTAGCTGCCTTTGTTTCGCACTCTTTATCAAATACAACCATACCCAAACAAAGGAAAGTTTAATGCGCATTGAACCAAGAGAAAAAATGAACCACACTATATCACGAATACTTAATCTGTCGGCATAAATCGTATTGTTTAGTCTGTTACGTAATAACAAGAGGACCAAAGAACTGCAAAATAAAATGCTGAGTATATGCGCGGCATTTATAAGTTTCTGCATCTACCACTTCGGTTAACTTTCAGTGTATACAAGTATGTTGTAGTTAATTTTTTATCTCAGGTAATTTTTATTTTTCCTTTGTTTCAACTTCATTAGCATACATTACCATACCCAAAAACATTACAGAAAAATATAAACTACCTGAGATAAAAAATTAACTGAAACATATATATTTTCTTTATTTCTTTTGCTTTGTGAAGTAAATTACTTTCATGATTTTTTTTTGAAGGTTAGACCAAGCCAGTCTTTCCTTTCCCGAGGCATGGTATTATTTTCTTCGTGGGAGCAACCAATTAAAAGATTTTAACGACTGTACTTAGTCACGTTATGCATTCAGGAAATTAGGAACCCAAAATAACGAATTCAGTTGCTTTTGTCACTCAACTGCTGTAGTACGTCTTCTGTCAATTGTTGGCTTGCCATTAGAGCTTCAAGTATAATGTAAGTGTACTCAGAACCTACTTTGAATCTGAAGGGGTAAAATGCATCTACTTCAAGTTAACTTTGTGAGCAATGAAACGTTCCTAGTTCAAAGAAGCCGAAGTTCGCTGCCAAGTATGGCTACACCACACTTGAGAACGCACTTGGCCATTAAGAAATGTGCACGATGTGCACGATGTGCACGTGGAGCAGTTCCAAGATTCTAATGCATGGAGAGATTGACAGCTTTTACTTCAAGTAATATACTTTGTCAACCAGTATGAAGCCATGTTCTCTACAGAGCGACTTAAGATTTCCAAGTGCACTTAAATCAAGTGCTTACTTGAAACTAACTTCGCTTCTAGTGTGAAGCCAAAAAATGTCTTCTCTCAAAATCTCACAGATAACCACGTGCCGTGCGCACGTGCAGCTCGCTCCATGGCTCCTAAAATTTAGGTCATGTCCAGACGAATCCGATATTTTTGAAACAGCTGTCCAGAGTGGTTTAAAGGCTCCGTCCACACGAATCTGGGAAAAAAAATAAGCGGTTTCAAAAATGTCCGAATTCGCAGTGCACGGAGCCTTCGTTTTCGCAAAAAACTTATTATTGTGCCGATATCAATAACAAAACTTATATTGCGCCGATATCAATAACAAAACTTATATTGCGCCGATATCAATAACCAAACTTATATTGCGACGATATCAATAACCAAACTTATATTGCGGCGATATCAATAACCAAACTTATATTGCGCCGATATCAATATTGATCTCTTATACGACGTATTTTTGCAGAATAACGACAGTAAAATTTGCCATATATACCGCAATTATGAGGAAAGACGGGAAAACTCTATGTTCAGAGGCGAATGGTTTTTACAAAGAAGTACATTACGAGTGTTGCGCATTGGGTTGTTGTTCACATGAACAACGAGATCTAGGACTAGAAGCATTCGACGACTGAATAGGGAGGTTATATAATGAAGCACCTACGACGACGACAACAACGCGTACAACAACGATAAAGCCAAAAAACAATTGGTTTTATGAGCAAAACAACTGCTATGCAAGTGCATCACACTTTTTAGTACACCGATGCTTCAGTTGACGTCCCCTGGACGACTATGACGTGAAACCTCCCAATGCGACGTTTTGTGGAGGACGTGGATTTACGACGACAAATTGTCCTTTCTCCATTTGAACATGGATAAAGTCGTTAAGAATTCAACTTCAGGAAAACTCGCCTACATTTTACGAATTGTGCAGTTTCTAATAGACGCGATTAAGTTTGATAGAACGCAAATTTATTTTTTAGTTATGTTTTCACTGTTGTCGTCGTTGTTGTTGCGTAAGACCGCAAGTTAATGACTGCAGGGCTGCTTGGAAGTAACATTCGAAAGTATGGACTGGACTGGACTGAGGGATTAAAGGATCAACGTGTTAACGTGTTAACATGGCTATCAGGTGGACCGGGAATTTTGCAATTTATCCAATAGTCTTCTTTTGAAAGGCGACAGCACTTCCACATTAGGCTTCAAATGAATTGCTCAGTCAACTACCATTTTAAAGATTTCCTTACCGCAATTCCATTTCCGCTAGCTCGATGCAGTGTACTCAGCAAACGCGCTTCGTCCAAGAGCGTTTTCGGTTGAGAAGAGTGTTGGGACTCAATTTTTATCGCTACCTGTTCTCTATTCTCCTCATTCTTTCCTAAGAATATAACTCCAAAGGATCCTTCGCCAATTTGGCCCAAGCAACGGTATTTCTTCGCGATGAGACTTCCACCGCGTATCGACGGCCTAACACAACTAGCCATGTAGTTTCGATCTGTTCGGGACAGTCTGACATCCTACCGCTGATTCTGACGTCAGTCGCCTGCGCGCGTCAACACTGCGCTGCTTGGCGCGCGCATAGAGCCTTGACAGCTTTCTTTTCTCGAACGAGTAATGAAGTACGTGGAAACAATCATCCGCGTCCTAATGCCCTCACCCACTCGAGAAGAATCTGAGGGGTTGGGGGTTGGGGCAGAATAAGCCTTGCTCATTGGCAATTGCAATGCCGCAAACATCAAAGTGAGCCGTACGTCGTCATTTTAAAGCATTGGGAAGATCTAGTGAAGACAATTACGCAACATCAAACAAGAACGCGAAAGCGCGCAGAAAAAAACTTAACGCTACTACTGTTATTTGCTGAATTTCCCATTCTTCCATTTTAGGTCTAAATATTTCTACGGCGCTGTCGTGACGTTGACCTTGCTAAATCTGTCTATCATACTTCTAGTAATCAAATTACCCTAACAGATTTTAGTCAACCTTCCCACAGTTGCTGCGCGAGATCGCTCGGGACGAAGCGAACGACTGAAAAGAAGCGAGATGCTATGCTAGTGGGAAGGGCAAAAACAGCGGGTCCAGTTTCGCCGTTTTGCCGTCTTGTGCGCCAAAAATTGAAATGAAGAGAGAGACGAAGATTTAGATTACAGGCTTGAAGTTGGTTTTGTAGGTCAACTGGTTAAAGTGCCAGATAAATTACTTCACTTTATTTTGGCGACCGTAAAACAATTTATAATTAATTGGGCACGTCAGATAATTACCTAATTTAAAAAGAACAAAACTTTAAATTAATGTCATTAGTTTAATTTATGTCTCCTATTAAGCACAAAAATGCTCGTCACAGATTTAAGAAATGGTGACATGCACAAAGAAAATTACCACTAAAGACGAAAAGAGACACTCGGGTCGCGCGGCGTGCCACATCCTAAATTGCCGCTGCATGCACGTAGAGTTTTCTCGAATTTCACATGGACTATACCTTCCAAAACGAGAGGAAAACTTTTAACGAGGAGGTCGAAAGCAAACGATGCTACTTTACAAGCCTAAGTAATGAAATTCTCCTTTACGTTTCACTTTACGTCGATACGAAATCGGTAATAAGACTTTGCCAAACTTGCCGACGCCTTCGCGATGGCATCATGCAGAGCGACCCGTTGTGGAAGGAACGCCTTCGAAGAGACTTCGAGCTTGATCTACAAACAAGACATCCGTTCAAGTCATTTTACGAAATATATAAACTAGTTTCAATGTCTCGAACAGTGACAAAAATCTATCTCTCCGAGAGGTTTTACTCTTCGGGCAAATACGGATATTTACCTGGTTGGTTATGGACTTGGGTGATATTAAACACTAGCGCGCCTGAACTTCCTTCATGGATTCGAAATCACAGAGAAGCATTTCTACGCATCAAAGTTAGCGAGATGCCTCTCGGACGAATACAGCGTGTTTGGAATTTAGCTGCAAGGGATTTTTCCGGAGTTCGAGAGGTTAGAAATGAAAGAGGAACTATCTATTACAGTTGGTCTGATGTTCATAAAGTATTTTTTACCAAGTATGGCGGACTAGCGGAACTAACCGCGCACTCATTGAAAAGATGCTCGCGTGCGAAAAAACATCTCGAGAGAAGTTATACAGAACTCACCGCTCCTGAAGGGTCAACTCAAAACCAGTCAACTGAGCAGAGCTTCATTGCAGTGCTGCCCCAAGAGTTTTTCGCCGCCAGCTGTAGGCTTAGTCATCTATTCCAGCCCTTATAAAAGAAAAAAGCAAGATATTTGTTAAGTTAATATAAAGTCAAGTAGAGGCAGTTGTCAGTTGTGAAGATCCGCGGGCAACCAAAAGAAGAGGAGGAATAGTGGGAATATTTCATTTTAAGTTAAATGGTAGATCTTTACTACACATTCTGAGTAGATGGTGTTAAGTAACTTTCACGAATTCAAGAATTGTACGTCCTTGCGTAGAAAAGCACATTGCATGTTGAAAGTTTGTATTGTTGCCAACATTATTTGATTTGACGAAACAACGATGTTTCGCATTAGGCGGAGAAGATGCTACCAAAACAGACGAAAACTTGGAAAGATCTTTCCGATTTTAAAAAGATAACAATGCGTTTTTTTAAAGGCTTTTTAGCGAAACAATGAACTCTTAGCGGTAACACGTATCATAAATGATTTTTTTTCTGAAAAAACAACATAAGGACGATTCAAACGCACAACACTTCGGCTGAATCGAACGAAATCGGAATCAGTGCCGGGGGCTGGAGGTATAAGAAGCGGAATTAGAAAATCACTGACGAATCATTCAACGTCTGTTTTAAAATCGTGTAACAATAAACACAATAATTTCACGATTATTTCAAAGGTAATTTTTTTGAGCTTCAAAACAATCTTCAACTAATGAACTATAAGTGGGGTTGGCAGGCCTGTAGGAATTTTTATCTCAGGCTTCACTGAATTAACCCTTCAAGTCTCGAAAGTGACCAACGTCAATTTTCTATGTACAGTATTTATACATAATCAAGAAGATAGGTTACATGAATTAACTACATGATCCTTTAACAATTTCTCTCAATTTATTTTTCGAGGAATGTATGGCTGGGGTCAGTCTGGAGAATTTGTATGTGAGCTTCAACATGGTTAACAGCCTCGACGTTTATATGAGAAAGGATTCTTTTCGCAAAAGAGTGTAGTGAGCTGTTGACACAAACCTGTGTTGTAAAGACACCACGATCTGCGAGAGCCGGGAGGCACTATATTTCGCACTGAGACTTCGCCTCTTCATGCTTTTTGCTATGCCTTCTAAAAATGTCTGAGCAAATCACTCAGCGAGAGTCTAAAAAATTGACAAAAATATATCATTAGAACGGACAATTTATCACAATTCTTGTGCTATAGATTAGTCTGATATGTCCGTCTGTTCATAAGCGGCTGAGAACTGGGGGGAAGGGGTGTCACAAGAGTCACACATCCGCTGGCCTGCGTAGCAGACGTCGAAGGGGTAGGGGATAGAAAGGAAGGGAAAAGGGGAGGGGGATTGGGATTCTCCCTCCCTCCCTTCCCCTTCCCGTTTTTGCGCTTGCTACGCAGGCTACACATCTGCAGGTATATGAAAAACCCAACAATTTGCGCAAAATCGCATCACTGCAAACACTTTATACAACCCCTACATAACAATCACAACTAAAGGCAGATGCAATTCATTTTTGTCCTTGTTCTGCAGGATTTGAAGTACTTTTCATACTAAACTGGGTAGCTAAAAACAACAAGAAACTTTATAACAAAAGGAAAATGAAAGATACGTATAAACGCAGTGTGTTTTAGCTTTTGCTCGTAGACTGCGAGCAGTCTCTTATTTTTCTTTGAAGGTTACTGCACGCGAAACCTAAGCACGCAAGCGACGAATTAAGCCGCGAGCCGGGATAAATGAGGGCATAAGCAATCGCGCTGGATGAAATAAGAACTAGACTGATTTTAAGGGAAAAGGCGGACTGCAAGCTAGCCTGCGAAGCGCAGACGTATTTCCGGTCGTCGCTTCTCTCCCTCCGAAGTAAAAATTTCGGAGGGAGAGAAGCGACGACCGGAAATACGTCTGCACTTCGCAGGCTAACTGCAAGCAGTCTATTTTGCTCTTTACTTGAGGCGGTGCGCGACGGGAGGCCGGGAGGCGTGTATTCGTTGCGCTATTGCACAACTACGGGATTTTCAACATAACGCAATCTTTTGTCCTAGTTTATACGTTTTGACAAGTATTATAAAAGCTTTTCAACGTATACACCTGCAACTATTCCTAACTGAAGCAATCCTCGTAACTCCACGGCAAACGCAAACGATATTCAGCTTATGGGCGCTTTTATATTGACCGTTATTTGCGCTGTATCTCTACTTACCGTTCAAAGCGTCTGTGAAGATGTTCTCGAAGAACGATCTGCCAAGATATCGAGATTATGGCCAGGCTGGAATCCGTACCCGATCGGAGATCCAAAAAACTGCTTCTATCTCGGCGATGATATGAACCGCCTGGAAGTTTTGCCTGGCTTTGGATGGGACAACTTGCGAAACATCGCAATGGGACAGGTCCTGGCGACGAATTATTCTCAGTGTAAAACCACCGCGGATAGAAAATATCTTCTGCCGGATAACGCTTTCGTGACTCCGGTGAAACGCAGCAAAGTGGACATGTTCTCCGAAGTTTTCGATCATTGGAACAGCTATACAAGTACCACGGCAAACTCTGTAAACCTCGAAGCATCTTACTCAGTCGCGAGCGGCTCGTTCGCCGCGGATTTCAAGTACAACAAAGAGAAGCAGGTTGCAGACAATGCAGTCACTGCGCGAGTTCAGATTCGACATCTATTTTACGTGGTTAAAACGCATCCCGAGTCGGCTCTTCATCCCGTGTTTAAAAGCAGACTGATGCAGATTGCGGCAGAACTACAAAACAATCGCACAAAACAAGCTTGGTACAGCGCGCAGTTACTGATCAGAGAATACGGTACCCATATTATAACGTCTGTCGACGCTGGCGCTACTCTAGTTCAAGAGACACATGTCAATAAAAGCGATATACAGGACAAATCGCTCTCTGAACACGACATCAAAGTCGCTGCCACAGCAACCTTCTTTAAGGCGCTGAATATAAAAGCGGGTTTCGGACACAATGAGAGCAACGTAAAAATGAACAAGTTTCAAAGTAGTCAAACTGCCTCGCGCGTGTTAACGTATGGTGGCCCACCATACAGGACAAATTTTAGCATTAAGGAGTGGGAAGAGGGTCTGGCAAATGAACTCGTGGCCATTGACAGAAGCGGTGACCCACTGTACTATGCTATCACAACCGCAACGCTACCTGGCTTGCCCGAACCGACGGTTTATCGCTTGGCAAAAATTGTACAACGGGCCGTGCGCTTATATTATAAAGTAAACACTGTAGGGGGATGTACAGATGTATCCTCGCCAAGGTTCAACTTTGAAGCCAACGTTGACGATGGGAGTTGCCAGGCTGAAAACACCAATTTCACGTTCGGAGGCGTGTACCAAAAGTGTTACACAACGAGATACAACAGCGCCGGAAATTTGTGTGAGAAGCTACAACAAAAGAATCCCTTAACCGGGGATTTCTCTTGCCCCGGGGGGTATCAGCCAGTGGACCTTTTAAAGCCCCGTTCAGGCGAAATGCCCGTGGTGACAAAGGCTTATCATCAGACACACTGTCGCAAGATTTGTAACAGCTGTGGATTTCTTTGGTTGAAGAGCTGCTGTCACACTTCATGTCAGAATGTGTTTCACTATAGCATGGTGCATTTTCAAGCTTTCTGGTGCGCTGCCATCGGATCGGTGGAAGCTAACAGCGGAATGTTATTTGGCGGAGTTTACAGCTCCACCGAGCCAAATCCGGTGACCGGGTCTCAAAGCTGCCCACACAGGTTCTATTCCATGCCTTTTGGGGGACATTCCCACGTTTGTGTAAGCGATGATTATGAACAAGGCTTTCAGTTTGCCTTGCAGTTTGCAGGATTCTTCAGCTGCACATCAGGAAACCCTCTCGCTGTCCCAAGCTCGAAATCTCGTTCGGACGAGAAACCTCAGGGTGAAAAAAATCTTCGGCAGAAGCCCAAGAACAGAGTTCCCTCCGTTGAGGTCTTCCTCGAAGGAGGTAAGGCTGGAAAGTTTCAAGGCCCACAAAGCTGCCCGCGAGGATACAGCCAGCATCTTTTAGCTGTAGATAACGAATGTGAAATTAACTACTGCGTGAAAGCCAACTCTTTGGCTAAGCTATCCTCCAGGCTAGTGGTGAAGCGACCCCCTTACAACCCCAGACCAGAAGTCAATCCAAACGCAACTAAAACGCTAATGGTGGTCGGAGTAAATGGTGAAGTATGGTACAAGAACGATTCCCACGCTGAGTGGACCCTGGCCTCTTTTGCGGCTCGTGATGACGATGACTCTCTCGACCCCCTTGTTTCAGGTGACCAAACTAAACCAATGTCCCAAGGGGCCGCTGTTACTCTAAGCGTGTGTGCTACAATTTTGGCTGGAATCTTGGCCATGATGGTCTACAATGGTTACAGGAGGCGTCAGCGTAGTCGGCAGTATCGAGAGAGGAGCATGACGGAGGTGTTAATGCCCGGGGAGACCACCCCACTGAACCCGCCTACGAACTAGTTTTAGGACAACAAGGGAAGAGAATAGTGACGGAATTGGACAAAATTTAAACTGGCTGATAAGAGTTCCTTGAACATAACAAGCTGAAGCAAAGTAACTCTATGGTTAAACGGGTGTAAAAGTGTTCACAGCTCTCTAAATTCTCACAATTATTTTCTCTAATAGTTGAACAAACGTGAATTGAATTGAAAGAGAATTGAAACAGAACTGAAGACTGACGTTCTTGATTAAACAACAACACGAGAATATGTTCGCTGTAAAATGATTATTATTTTCAAAACTGAATTAGTTTAATTCAGTCGAATAATTCATGTTACCTAACCTCATTTAACTTATTTCACGGGGGCAAAATGGATGGAAGACAAAGTAACGTTGATATCTGAATAAACGACTGGGCGCTGAATGAAAACCTATTTACTTTAGTCTCGAGGCCAAAGCTTTTCAATGAGCTGATGACTCTCAAGCGCACAGAATCGTCCGCTCTTCGAGTAAACACCTGCTATCGAGTTACAGCCCCCCCCCCAATGTTGTCCAAAAACAATACCACACACATCTACCCAACCCTGACCGCCCCAACCCGCCGAGCCTGAAACGGTAACTTGAAAAACTAGGATTTCTAAAATTAAAGATCAGTAAAAGTTCTGACGTAAGATTTTTTCGGACACTAAACAAATTTCCAAGTCAGTAAAATATCCAAACATCTTTTCTCTTCTCGACTAAATAAATACAATGCCAATTATAAGAAGTCTCTTATGTTACAGACATGTCAGGTTTATGAAACACATGCGTAGTGCGACCGAGGGAAAGCTTTGCAAGGAAAATTTTCAGTCAAAGACATATCAATGGATTTGACGCTGGCAGTTATCACAACTGACGGCTAGTGCACCATAAGAGTTCTCCACAGTCGCAGTTTAAAAATAGCTTTTGAAAAACATTACGTTCTCAAACAACCAGTGAGATTCTTGGTTTAACCCTGGGTCTGGACTGATTGTAAAAACGTACACAGGGTCCCCAAGGTGGCAAGGCATGCACAGAGCACCCAGAGAAGCGGATGGATTGTTCGTAGATTGGATGTAGATCACATGTACTTGCACTTGTTGTAAAGTAAGACGGTCATCTGCAAACGCATTACTTATGTTTGCTTTCAACAGTATTTTCTTCATGAGTGAAATCTCCAGCTTTGTCTTGTGCAAAGACGAAAGTGCTAAGGTAAACATTCCCAGTACCATGCACCTTGCTGCTGGATACCAATAGTATCTGCTTGATAATACTATTGCAAGACCCAAGCAAATTGAACGGTTCTAAATATTTCCACAGCAATTACTGAACATTCCACCTGAAGTCTTTGATTCTTATAAATCAACTGCAGGTCAGCTAGTCTCGATCAATAAGTGTGCCTCTTGCTTTCTTGGATGGGTCTTGTTTCGTCTGTGCAACAAAAATGGATGAAAGTTGCATGAGATACAGGGAAATATTTGACGAGCAGATATGCCATGCCATGGCATTCAGAGGATGTTTTGTTTTTGGTTTTGAGGAGGGTGGGGGGGGAGGCGTGCACAAGTTCTAAGTTATTCCCTACACGTTGCTGCCATCGTTTGAGTTCAAAAGTGTGCAGAGGAAGTTTGGAGAAAGTGGAAAGGTGATCAATGGGCCACTTCAGGAAAGGAGAAGGAAACTGGACTGAGTTAACATTTTGCAAAGCCTTCTGGGACTGTTGCTAGGGACAGGGAAAAAATTGGCCAATAGCTGAGCAGTGTGTCCCTAGTAACCATCCCAGAAACAATATTATTGCAGGAAGCATTTCAGCTCCACTTCCCTTCTCATTTCTGAAGTGGCAAATGGGATCTGCATACAGCTGCCTCTGACTTATCCAATACCCTTTTATATGTTCCCAAAGAAACTTTTTTCATCTCCCACCCCCATCTCTCTGTGAATGATAAAATGCCTAGCAAACATGCAGTAATACTCAAAATATTATCTTCTATTGGGCTTCTACACATAGAAAAAGATGTGAACCCATGGAATAATATCACCATGTCCCTGTAGAATGCAAATGCAGTATCTTCTTGAGAAAAAACAAATAAGAGATAACCTGCAGGGCTGTGCTCTAAGAAAAAATGAAGTGGCCCAGTGTTCTGAACCTGTAAAATTGGGGAGCCAAGCATACGACTCGTATGAAAAAGGTAATATTTTCTAGTCGCCCAAGAGCAAACGTTCCAAGGGCAGCAGGGGCCACCAGGCTCAGGTAGAGCACAGCCCTAAACCTGGTCCCCAAGGGCTTTTTTTTTACCTCTTTCTCCTCAAAAGAATGTGAGTTGTGAGAAATGTTAGAGAGGAAGGAAGAGGAAAACATTGTAACAAGGGTAGACATTTGGGGACTGGTTATGATGTAATACTGCACCTGGTCAGACGTTGCTCTTTTCTGTGCAGTCGTTTTCCTTTCAAGCTGTTTTTCAATGATCTGAGCATTGTGGGCGTACGATGATGCTACCTCATGCTAAAAATAACAGAAAAAGGGATATTATGCTTATTGTTACAGATGAACAATGAAAGTTACCTACTATCTTAGTAAATGTATCTTTACTTGCAAAGCAGGTATTAACTCAAGAATCAGTGATTTTTAGGGCATTTTTTGAGTTGCGTCTCTTCACAGTAGCTGGGGTGAGTGCTTTGATACCAAAATATCATCCCCCCCCCCCACCCCCACCTCTTGTAATTTTAACTCAAAAGGGTTCTTCTTTCATGTTTCAGCCTCACATTCACTGTGAGTATTTTAGCAACTCAGAAATCAGCTTGCATAGCACTGAAGTCCTTGAAAGTAATATGGGCGCAAGAAAGAACGGGGCACACAAGCTAGGGTTTACCTTCAGTCTGTATTCGGAGATGACCCACTGTAACTTTCAAGGTAACAAAAAATCATGGCACCCATAACGTTCACAGTAGATGTTTTGTACAGGAACTTACAAATATCTCTGTTCAGCAACAGGTAACAACTACAACAACAGTGTTACCATAGAAATTAACTATATAAATCTACTAATAGAACATAAAGCAAAATAAATTTGATTTAACTTAAAATCCAGTTGTTATTATGACACTCTGTAAATACAAGTTACATAATAGAATTACTATCTATACAGAATGTGCTACTTCAAAACAAATGCAACAAGATTTGCTACATGTAAATAACTTTCTATACTAAATTAAAAAATCTTTGTGGTGACCCATTTTGTACCTGCTCTAGCAGTTTATCCAGTTAGTAAATAACAAAACTTACTTGTTCAATTTCCTCTTCTTCTTCATCAATAGTAGACACAGTAACTGAGCTGAATTTACCAAATTCTTTTGTCCTCTTTGTCATCATCACCTACAGTCAGTCACGTATGACAAAAACAATGGAGCAGAGAGATAAATAATAATTATAAATAATTAATTACAAGCACTTATGACAATCAGGTTACTAACGAAGGTCTTACGGATGACCAAATGAATGAACATTGCCATCTTGCCATTACAGAAGTGTTAGCCACTGCCATGAAAAAAAGATATATTTTTATTCCGTCATATATGCTTGTCAACACTTTTGTCCATATGGCATCAAAAACAGTTAGTCACAAAATAAACTTTAAATGTTTCTTTCTAAAAAAGACTTTTTACGACATGTACAGGTATAACAATTTTTACTGTCTTTTAGAGCAACTTTGAACATTATAAAGAAACCGCCTCTATAAAAAAATTATTTATTAAATTATTATAATAATATTGTTTATATAATTATTGTAAAATAAAGCAAATGTGGGTAAATAAGGGTGCATATTTTAGTCCAACTTTGTCCAATGACCACTGTTATTACCGCTCTGTAACCCTTAAAATGTGTGTACTTGTATGTGCATGCACCACATCTAAACTGTACATACCTTATTTGGTTTTGGCTTGACAGCTGTTGTTGTGTGACTGTCTCCACTATGAACCAGTGCTCCTGTTTAAGAAATATAGAAAAAATGTTTGTAAACATAATACAGTTAACCTCAGAAAAAAAATAGTACCCAGGTAATAATTATGATTGTAAATATGCTTTTAACAGACACCATTCACTAGCATATTAATTGAGTGGTTAACTTTGATCACAAAGTGGCAATAACGGAACAGTCACAAGGCTGTTAAGCTAATTCAAAAGTTTTTACCAAGGAAGGAACTCCAGTCCAAAGACTCGCATCAATAACCCTAACAAAAACATGAGCTGGAGTTTAAAAATGGTTGCTTAAAAAGTAATCTTGACACATAAGTCACAATGCATTCCACCATAGTTGATGTAGCTTCAGTTTACACTGAAAGCTGCAATCCATTCTTTGAAATTTGGATCTGTACAGAGTAAACACTATCTGTGAGAATTTGACATCCTGCAAAAAATACTAACGAGCTAGGGCCAGCATGCAAAACATTGCATGAAACCATCACTTTCACAGACACAAAAAAATTGCTTTTTGTTACCCTGACCCGGGAGGCATTTTAGAGAAAACTAAACAATCTAAAACCCTTATTTAGCTGCAGGAAGAGCTCCACGTTTCAAAACAGGGCAAATGTTGAAGAAAAGAAACAATAACCGCAGAAAATTAATGTGCAAGTCATGACCTCTCAGTATGAAACAACTTTGATTGACATAAACTAATTATTATGCCAATAATGTTCCCACTAGCCAGGCCAATCAGGCACCCCGTTCACTGGCAAGCAGGGTTTTCAAAATCCCAGGGTTTGCCTGCAAACGTCTCCTTCCTTCCCCCCCCCCCCCCACATCTTTAATTTTTTGTCTCTTGGTCCATTTTTCGCATGGCCAAAACATTTTGTTTCAAGGTCGTTGTTTGCACCGAAACCACAAGGAAATGCTTGCTATGCAGGCTACTTTCAAACATATGGAACAGTCCTGACAAGCATCTACTATGTAAGATAAAAAATAATAAGATAGTGTTCAGGCTGTATATGACCATAATTATTTTAGGGGATGTTCTTCTCTCTCACCATCTACCACAAACGTGATGCTTTGATCCTTCTTTGAAGGTCTGTAAAATAGCCATAGATTGCACCTAAAGTGAAGACACAAAGACAATAGTATATGAAATCACTGTAATTCCGTCTACCCTACTGTAAAATGAGTCTCCAGCACAGAAATATTATGTTCCAGGTTGTCAAATCTCCTTAATATGGACACCAAAGGGATAGAGCCAAAGGTCTGCATTATAGAGGTGTGCATATTCCAGAGAATGTACAGTGTATCATTCTAATACACAATCTGTATAAAGGGTTTCGTGGCAATACACAATCTGTACAGAAATATGTTGAACACTGACAGAGATCTAGATAAAAATTGTGTATCCTTTACTCACTTTTTGCACTTCAAGCGGAATTGCCTCTCAATGCCACCTGGCCTTAAAAATAAATGTAAAATAAGAAGAGGAATACATTTGTATTAGAAGGGTGTTCATCATTAACAGTAAGTGAAATAATTGAAACACAAATTGTTCACAAAGTGTGGGATGTCAAAGATGAAGATATATGTAAACTGTCTTAGATCATTGGCTTTCTGAGCAATCACTGAATTTCTAAATGGTGTGAGCATATTACACGACAGAGTTGTCATTAAGGGCCATAACCAGTAACACCTGTTACAGCTGAGTACACTTGATTTTACGGGTGATCAAAGCGGAAAGCTTAAGGTGACACTATAAATTTTTGTGAGATGTTACGAGTGAGTCTCCATTTGCTACGGCTGCTTCAAAACTTAATGACAGCCCTGCATTAAGATTATGTTTGTACCTTTTCAAGAAAACAGTGTCACCATCAACACAGGTGAGCTTATGAGCATGTTTTGAACCATCTATGACTCTTGCATGGTCGGTTCTTCGCAGTGGAAGCTTCTCAAGGGTACTATCTACATATGAGTAAATGAAAACTACATAACTTCTTACTATCTATTATAAAAAATAATATTATATGCATTTAAAACATTAATGAAAAAGTAATATCTTTTTGAAAAGAGTGCTCACGTTGTGACACCTCACAATATACTTTCCTTACAGCAAACACATAAAACTACAGTTTTGAAAATACAAAATGCAGGCACTGATGCAGTAAAAAAATGCAGTACTGATTGGCCTCCAAAGCAGGCATATTTTGTAGTGCAAATGATGATACTATAATTGTGAAAGGTTTGAACACAGGAGTCATTTCATATGAAGGTTGAGTATGATTGTCTGGGTGAACATAGTCTTGAATAGGACTGTTGTTGACAGTGACTGACATTTCAACAACCTGTCCTGTAGTCCTCTTCAGAGTCATTTTTAGAGTCAATTTGACTATGAAGATGACTAAAGCACAGGTTGTTGAAACATCAGACACTGTCAACGACAGTCCTATTTGGGACTACGTTCACCCGGATGTTCATACTCAACCTACATGTACTTATGATGATACTATTTTCAGGACTAACGCTCCCCTGCCATCTTGGAGATTCAAACTGATAGAGTTGGGGCAAGTCAAAAGCTAACTTCAAGGTCATGGTCCGCAGTCCGTGAAAAGAAAATTGGTGCACAAGTGTAGTGCTACTGCAGTCCGTAGTCTCATAGTTAGAGAATGTGTAATTGGCTAAGTGTGTAAAATGCATGGCTACTGCGATCCGCAGTCTCACAGTCACCTAATATCAAGTTTAGTAGCATGACTGCTTTATTTTAAACTGGCTTAGTGGGCAGGACAGGATAAACCCAGGACTGATTACCAGGGGGAAATAAACTTTGATGTTGGGAAAGAAAATGGAGATTTGGTGGGCAAGTGAAATAAGTTTCAGTTGTCCTTTGAGCACAATATGTATGTCTGAAAGTGTCAGCTTGGTTATAGCCTGTTCGAGGAGTTCAGACAGTGCAGTGCAGCACAAAATAAGAAAGCAGGAAAAAAATAAGAAAGAAAAGAGGGAGAGAGTTTCCAGTGTTAACAGGTGTCAATCAAGCAATGGTTGCACCCCCCACTGTTTACTAAATTATTTTAAAAAATATGCACATGTATTCAGGAAAAAATCTTTCATCTTTGTTTTCTGCAAACAAATTAAAATATCCTTTAGTTTTAAAGATGAAAGAACTGAACATTCCACTTTCTTTGTCGGTGATTTTCAGTCTGATTACTTGACTTGGCAGAGCACACTTCTTTGTCCCCAGGGGAGGGGCTTAGTAGTTTTATGTTAAACAGTCTTGGTTTTGGGTAGAGGAATTTGTAAACATTGTTGTGCAAATGACCAGGGGTGCATTAATTCTCTTCTGCCGGAATTCAAGGCCGATTCGTCCAGGCTTTTCCCTACTGCTGTAGCAACTCCAACTCAAGTGTTATTCTTGAGTAACCACATACAATTAACTGAAAAAAGTCTACCAGACTCATATCAATAGAAGGTTCATGCACGTATCTGTGTTCCTGAAGAGAACTGAAAGGAACAAGCTTGTTTAAAAATTAATAAACGGTAAAATTTTGAAGCCCTACTTTTCACTGATGAGATTCGCCTAAAAATGATCTTTTCCTGTTCTTCGAGGATGATACCCCACATTAACCGTGTTGTACATTTAGAATGTTATCACTTTGGCCATGTTTCCAAGATGACAAGATGTTAAGAGCCGACTCCTGCTGATGTGTGATATCCCCAGCATAGTCAATCAAACGTTCGGTAATCGAACCCAATCGAAGTCGTTCGATTGACTTTTTATTGGGTTCAGTAATCAAACTTAATCCAACACACCCAAAACTTTTGCCAATCGAACACAATCGAATGTTCGGAAAACCAACACTTAAAACAATCAAACATAATTGAACATTTGAAATTCGAACACTGCATGCAACAATCAAACATAAAACTAGTTTCATCTGGTTTCAAATAAGAGGTGTTGCATTCAAACAAGTTATGTATTACCTTTAATTTCAAACACGAGTACGCAAAGATTTCAGAGAGGGCAGAAAACGTGAACAATTCTGGAAACACTGGTTAAAGGCTACCACGAGTACCCACTTTCGCTGTCAGTGTCAGTGAAAAGTTTATTATTAAGAAGAAAAGGGGAGAGCCAGCTCTGAAGGTATTAAAAATTAAGATGGCGACGGCCAACTTGGACAAATTTTGTTATGTGAACTGGTGCCTCTGCTTGCATGTTTCCCGGTGAATTGTGAATTTATTGATTTTAAATCAATTAAACAATTAAGATTTTAGATACATTCCAGGTTAATTGTAATATTTTTGTTTTCAAACTGCTTCAAAATACATACTAGAGGGAGATCTTTCTGATTCAATTGAAACTAAATGCATTTTATCTTTCTGCCGAACAAAATCGAACTATTTGCATCCATTGAGTTAGGTAATCAAACTCACTGAAAAGTTCCAGTCTGATTATGTTCAATTACCGAACCAATTGAACAACAATCCAACCAACTGGATTTGGATTGATTTTTTGTTTGGTTTTGTTCGATTGACTATGCCGGGAAAATCATCGCTATTGCATCACATTTCCAGTCAAGGTAATGATGAGTTGACAACAGCTGTCAAAATAGATCAATCATAGAATCTGGTATACCGGAAAAAGCTTTTGTTAAAAGTACTATAGGCGTTCCTTCACTCTCACCCCCTCGCTGTTTTCCATGCTCACATCTCTTCTCACCGTACCCAGGATCTGAACGCTTGAAACAGTCTAGTTTGGTTAATGATAATTTCCAGACAGAAGCTAATTCAAAACTGAAGACTGCATGAGTGACATGAATGACACAATTAAATGTAGTCGAAAGCATGAATCAATCTAAAATCCCACTGCTCATTTGCTCTCGAGAGCATGTTACTGCTCCATAGGCCATATTGGTCAAATTCAGAGAAATCGAAAACATTCTAAGGACCGAGCATCGGCCATTTTTACGTAAAAGTAAACTTAACAAACTATTACCAAATTATTAACAAATTATTATTAATAAGTGACAAAATATGGCTGTTCTACGCAAAAAAATTTACATCTTACCCAAGATCAAAGCCATCTGTCCACAAAGGCAGTGGTAAACGGTAACACTCGTGGCGCCTTGATTATATTCTTCTTTGTCCTTTGTGTCAGAGCAAACGATACTGCGCGAAACAACTTTCGGCATTTTGAAAATATGCTTCCGTTGCTTTTATACCCAAATCACTGCGACAATTATTTTCTACGACGTCTGAAATGATGAGAAACTGAAGGAAGACACAACGCGCCCTGAAACAACGTTCGCACGAAAACATGGCCCTTGGCGCCGCCGTTTCACTGTACAGCGGCTTTCGTATAATCAGCTACTACCTTATCTATCCACATTGTTGTGTAGCTTATCAAGCGTTAGGGCGATACTGTACGTTTGGCCAGGAATGGCCAGGAATTAAAATCAAAACCCGTGTACATCGCCTTAATCTCCCTTTTTAATATCCGAAATTTTATTCTTAGAACTATGTGAGCTCTTTTTTTGCGTGTGTGTTCTTTTAAAAGTATCTTCTTTACTTCCGGTTTGCCCTTCTATACCCTGCTCGGGTAATAATTGTCGATTTCTAGGAAAAAGGTCGGGTCAAGATTGGTTCATCTTTAGTGAGGATCATGAACAATGGCGGAATCAGATGTGTCGGCAGTAAAAGTCTACAATTATATTTGTGGAAACGGTGGATTTGCGGAGTTTTCGCAGCTGCTAAAACATCCGTCGCCTTTGTCTAAAAAGCCCGATGAAGATTCAGTAAGGTATTGGTTTAAAATACAGAAATTGTCAGGTTCTTTTGATTCTGATCACGCGCTTGTGATCACTACAAACCAACATGGACGAGGCATTGGTATCCGAATCGACCTGAAAAAACAGATGTGCCTGAGATATACTACCACAGGCGCTTGTCATTTGGGAAAGCGCTGTAAATTCTGGCATATTTGTAAAGAGTTTGTTGAGGGAACATGCAAAGGAATTAATTGCGGGCGTTCCCACGATTTTCACGACGAAGATAACAAAGAAAAGACAGCCGAGCTAGGATTTGAAAAGAAAGCTAGTCACGCTGTGAGAGGTATCGTCGCTGGGAGCCTGCCGCAGGTTTGCCTTAGTTACTTGAAAAATGAATGTCTCGTAACCAGCAATTGCCCTTATCTACATGTATGTCCAAGTCAAGTCAGGGCTTTTCCTTGTGAAATGAGCGCAGAATGTTCACTCTCGCACGACTTCGCCGATCCTCATAACAAGAACATTCTTGAACAGCACGGATTTAGGCCTCCGCGAAAATTAGAAATGGAGGTGGTGCGATGTAACATTTTGTTTCCCAAGCAGCAGAAACCCATTGAGGATAACAAACGACTGTTGGAGTTATCTCAGCGAGAAAAGCAGATGGTGGGCGTGGGGCGACCGAAAGAAAACGAAAGATCAAGCCAAAAAGCTAGAGCTGGCGATACCAAAACCGAAAATTTTGGTAGCGGTAAAAATAAAACACCTTCCAAGGCAAAAACCGTTACAAAGCCAGTTACCCTTTCCGGTTTGATTCAAGAAGAAGCAAACAAATCAGTGCAATTATCAAATGCTTCAACAAGATTTCAACAAGCCAGAGTTGCCCCTGAGGCTGTTCTCGATAAAGTAATTAATTATATATGTAGCAAGGGGGGATTTGCCACGTTATCAGATCTGCTGCACCATCCATCACCTCTTGCCAAAAAGTTTTCTTCGCCCGAACAGACAATGGATGCAAAGATTTGGCTTCAAGTTCAGGCACACTCAGATCTGAATCCCAGGATCAGTGTTTTGGAGAATAATGATGGTGAAGTGTTAGGTGCACGTTTACATTTGAAGGAAAATATATGTTTGAGTTATGCCTCAAAGGGATCCTGTTCCAAGTCTTCTTGCCCATTTTGGCATATCTGCAAGGGATATTTGGAGGGGAGATGTACAGGTGATTGTCATCTCTCTCATGATTTCCATGATGAAGGTAACATAAATAAAGTAGAGAAGTTGGGTTTTGTCAAGCATCCCAATGGCACTATAAGAAACTTTGCTGCCAACAGCTTGCCTCAAGTGTGCCTGAAGTACCTTGACAACAAGTGCTTTTCAAAGGGGTGTCCTCATCTACACATCTGCTCTCATCCAATTGTGTCATGGCAAGGAAATCCATTTGCTTGTAACTGTGGCTTGTCACATAATGTTCTGGATGACCATAACTTAAGAATTCTTAGGCAATACAAGTTGGTGCCTCAGCCAGCCAAGACAAACATAGTGCTCTGTAACATCCTAATTCCCAAGAAGCAAAGAGGCTTTGAAGATGACAAAAATAATTTGGGTACTTCTTTGTCTTCCTTGCGGCAAACACGTCTAAACAAACCTGCTCCGCAAGTACCCCCTCTCATGTCCTTACCATTAATTCAGCAGACTACATCTGATGTACAACAGCAGCAAGATTCAAAGAAAGGTTCAGAAAAGAAAAAACGCAAAAGGCCAAAGTGGAGAAAAAAGAAGACCAGTGAACATGGAGGACTACAAGTTACTGCAGAATCCCAGGGTGATGGAGAGGAAAGTCCAGACTCTGATTCAGATAATGAAGACATAGATGAGAAACCAGATCTTTACCCCACCTCCAAGTTCACTTTGAATCCAAGTGAACATGAGTTTACCAAGGGTACAGGGTTCCAGGATCGTAGAAATCAGAGGGAAGGCTATTTTCCCATGCAAAGTGAGAAGTCACAGCTTCCTAAAGGCCTATGCCAAGAAAACTTCATTCCAGAAATCACTGCCAATCAAGATTTGGAGGAAAATTTGATTGACTTCTCTGGTGATGACTGGCAGGGGGCAGATACTGCAGTCGATGATCTCTTCACCAATGACTTGCTTTCACAAGTTGAGGATATTTTCTTTGATGACTGGTTTGGACCTTCAAATGCGGCAAGCTCTTTGTCTCAGGGCAGTGAATGTTCCTCCACATCTGACCAGAGTACGGCCAACTCAGAAACTGCTCACTCAGATAAATCAACAGCAAATTTGGTTTTTGAATTCATTCTAAGAGAGCACAATGGCCAAGTACCATTTTCAGTGATTTCTGAGAATGAGGAATTGTTTCCACCAGAGATAACTGACATTGGTGCATGGTTTAGAAAGAACAGAAACAGATTCGTAACCATCGAGAACAAGCGTGGGGGAATTGAAGCTATCAGAGCATTTAATCCCAAGGCAAGCATTTGTTTTCGTTATCTGTTGACCAAGAGGGGCTGTAGAGATCCCAAGTGCTTCCGTTATCATGTTTGCAAGCATTATCTTGCTAACGGCATCTGTCCATTTGGTAAAAAATGCAGGCACAGCCACAGCCATAATTTAAGAAGCCCACACAATAAAAACATCACAAGACAACTGAAACTTGATGAACACTCCCAGGAGCAGCTGCGCATTCTGATTGCTGCATCAGTCCCTGAGGTTTGCCTTGAATACAACAGTCGGTCCTGTCAACGGGGTTTAAGATGCAATGGTATACACATCTGCAAGTATTTTGTGATGAAAAACTGCCGTAGAGGAGATGAGTGTCCCTTGGGCCACAAATCTAGCCTTGAAACACCAGCAGCTAAATTGGTATTGGGCAGATACAATTTGACCAAAGTTCCACCCCAAGCTGTTTTGAGTGCGCTGTTGGTGCGTGACCTGCCTTCACCTATAAACACCATTACAGAGCTCCCAGCTGGTATGTAATACTGGATACTAAGGCCAAGTTAAAAATAAGAACAAATGTTTCTTGTCCCCTACTGATTTATTTTTGGGCCGCCTCTCTTTTTTGTTATTACTTTGTTGTTGCAAAAATCCGAACACGGCCTTATTTTCTTTTCATAAAAAGAAGATTCCTGTACTGGCATTTTTAATACATGCTTCCTATTGAGATATATTGTATGATGCATCACAAGTCACTGTTAAAAACACATATCAAAACAAACTGCATTTGAGTTTAACAGTCAATATGAATTTGAAATTTCATTTTGTTAATATTTGACTAAGAACTTCAACTAATTCTTTGGGGGGTAATGATTTGTAAAGAAAGCATTCATTTGGCAATAATAATAATAATAATAATAATAATAATAATAATAAAAGGGAAATAACAAAAAAGTACCCGCCTGCTTTCTTTGTTTTAGAAACCCGGATGAGAAACAAGTGTCTTTTGCTGGACCTAATAACTGTAAATTATGATCAAAAATAATACGTTTCACATTCACCAGGGTTTTCAATTTATTAAGCTTCAAACATGATAAATCAAATTCATTGCATTACATTATCTGTTTCATATTCCCTAAAATCACTGTTACAGCGCAATTGTGCATTGTAGCCTGGTGTTATTGAAAAGAAGTTGCAGTGTCAGAATAAATAATAGCCTGCAAGCAGGCTCTCTGGGGTGCTCTGGCATTGGGGCAGGAAAAGGAAGGAGAGCTTACAACTACATCTCTGGAATTTGAATATCTGCATCGAAAAAGTCTATGCAAAAATGCTGATTGGCGGATATGACATTAGTAATGATGTCATTACCCTTGGCACATGTTTTTCCATGTTTGCATACATTCGCACTCATTTCCACTTCGCGTTGTTTGGCTGAAATCTGACAGCTCAGTTGTCAGGGAGCCACAGGGGAATTGGAGGTGGAGTTCATATTCCAGAGACGTAGTTGCAAGTTCTCCTTCCTTTTCCCGCCTTGCCGTCAGAGCACCCCGGAGAGCTCGCTCACAGGCTAAATAAATAATTTATTACCTACACAGTCAAAACAATGCCAATTTTACTTTTGTCTCGTTTGACAGTACAAGTTGCACATGAGAGGAAATCAGCAACATGCCGGCCACATTACATATGTGTGGATAATCTGCTGGGTCAGTGTAGCAAACAGTCTCTGTGTGACCAATCACACCGCAGTAGACCCTATATGTGGCAGTACAAGTACAAGGATTCTACTACTGAGAGCCGGATTGGCAACTCTTGGAAGTCTTTTACAGAGAGTGAAAATGAGGCTATTGAGAGGCAGTTCTGTGATGTTAACATAACTGTGGCAAGGATGGAAGATATCATGATATCAACACCACCAGATGTACTGTAAGTGCACATGTTTTATAATTTGTATCTGTGTCAAAAACAGTTCTAGATTTGGACTTGGCCATCCATGGTCCTACATGTACAGATAGATACACGTAGATCTATAGAAAATAAGTGTGGCTGGCACATATACTGTAATTATTGAAACAGGAGAAAAAATACTACAAAATAAGATGTGTCAGTATTATTTGCGAAAACATTGTTCAGTGATTTTGTTACAAAAGATTATGGTGAGTCCTGGGACTCATCTTGCAAAAAAAAATTGAGAGTCCAAGTGCAGAACCATTGAGTCCCAGTTCAAAAAACAATGACTCATAAACTGATTTTTTGGGGGCCTTTATGTAACCATGCAGACAATTTATCTGACGACAAATTCCAAAACTGATCAAAACTCTGTGCTACGGTTTAGTGGAATAAAAAAACTCCTTCTATTGTTAAACAACAGCTGCAAGAACAGCCACAGAAATCACATGAACTCGATATTCTACAAAAACATCTTCAGATTAACTGATCGATCTTTGCATTGTACGGGACGCATGCCATGAATAATTATTTTGCGTCTTTGGCACTTTTTATGCATCAGGGATGCAGGATGCAGAGGTAACAAAATCACTGATTGTTGTTGTTGTTTTTTAGTAAATGGGTATTTGAAAGTATTGTTGTTCTACCTTACATTGTGGTCAATCAATTCAGACTAAGAAAAAAGTTACCAGTGGATCCCATGCTCGCATAAATCCAGTCTAATGTTAACCCCACTATAATCTACACTACACTGCATGACTTATCGTTTTTGGCTTTTGGTTTGTTTGTTCTTTTTGTTTTTTTTTCCCTTGGAGGATTACAACCTTGATTGTTCTATTTATGTGTTCTTCTTGTACAGCATTGATCCTGGTAATGGGGAGATTGTAATAAACTTTGATGACATGAAAGCTACAACCAGTTTTGGAGATGTTCACTTGAGACGCCTGTCTACTAAGTCAGCGGTTTTGCCTACTGATCATGCTCTATCAACTCAGTGGATTTGGTACTGGCAGGATGAGACCAAAAGTTGGAATGAGTATGGCTCTGAACCAATGGTATGTTGAGGGTGACGTGAGGGTGTAGTTTTAGTTTTGGGAAAATTGTATTTAACACTGCAATATTGTGGTTTAAGAAGACTAAACAGTTGATAATTTTAGTCTTGTTTTGTTTATTTTATCAAATTATTTTGATGCAGTATGGCAGATTTTCTCATTTCTCCTTTTTCTGTGGAGAATTCAACACCTCACCCCTTATACCCCCTCTATGCTGGTGTAATAACCACTGCATAGTGAGTCCCAAGAGGAATCCATTTTTTTCTTTGGTATAGTGAGTCCCCAGCAGAATCCACTGCACAGCGAGTTCCAGTCACAAAAAGGTTTCATCAACATAATTCGGTAGTGACTTAAGCATTTTGAACCTTGCTGCACTGTTGGTTGATTTCAATCCCAGAAATTAAATTTTATGAAAAAACATTGTAGATGCCTGCACACATGTAGGCCACTCGTAGATGGTAAATAGTGAAATTACATACCCTGTTTACTACTCAAGACCCTCGAAGCCATACCCTGTTCTGCTGCCCATACCCCTTTTGGCTGAATTAGGGAGTTCATTCCCCCCCCCCCCTTCGGTGTTCTAAACGTGATCGAGTATTTGTCCTACACAACCAGATGCACTGCACAGACAATCGACTCCATCCCCTGATATACATGTATTGCTACAGTAGAACCTCGATATAACAAAGGGCCAAGGGACAGGCAAATTTGTTCGCTATAACGAGGTTTCGTTATATCGTTTAAATGTATTTCTATTACTTGGAGTAATCAAAATCGTTCGATAGGAGGTTCGGAGGTTCGTCATTATCGAGGTTCCACTGTAGACTGCTTATAAAGATCGAAACGTTGCGATCAATATCGCAGTCGTCCTGAGTATAAAATTTAAAGTACAAAATTGTGACCGTGCTAGTTAGCTGAAAATAAATCTGATCGAAAGATCTTAGGGATGACTGGACAGGAGTGTTGCAAATCGTAGGATCGAGATACATTAGTTATCGTGTTTATATAAATATAAATTCTGGTTGCTTTCAACAATAAATTTACCAATATCTTATGGTAAGTACTTTCTTTTTTTATACCTTTTCATCCGCTTTGCTGACCTTGTGCACCCGGCCATGTACGAACTTCAAGGAATTCTGTATTAGCTTTCTGTATCGAATACAATAGGGGAAAGGTCAAGTTACGAGCATGATCGTCGAGCGCAGATGGGGTCCAGTCTCCTCTCGGCGACTGCATGAGTGTTACTTGAGACCGCGCGAGAAAAAACAAAGATTTAGTGCGTCCGTGGGCTACAATTCAAGCCTAACCTTTCTTGTAGTCATGGAATTCAACTGTGAGGGGCAAAATTAATAGCCTGTGAGCAAGCTCTCCGGGGCGCTGTGGCGGCGTGGCGGGAAAAGGAAGGAGAGCTTGTAATTGCAACTTTAACAGCCTGTGAAAACATCCTTTTCTCCTCGCTCTTCGTCGCTGGAGACGTTTCGCTCGGCGAAGAGCGAGGAGAAACGGATGTTTTCGCAGGCTAATTGCAACTACGTCACTGGAATTGGAACTCCACCTCCCTTGTGGCTCCCCGTGGACTGAGCTGTCAGATTTGTCCCAGTCTCAGTTTCCCGCCCCGCCGCCAGAGCGCCCCAGAGAGCTTGCTCGCTGGAGTACAGAATTAACTGCAGTGGAGGGGCTGGAAATCTCCTGTACGGTCTATACAGGACAAGTTTCTTGAAGAATCGTCCCCCGGCAATGTAAGGGAATCCAAGAAAGTCTTGGGTTCTGAATGCCACGCGGTGGATTCCGGATCACAGGTACTGGATTCCGGAATTTTTGTTGGTGGAACATGGATTCCAGACTCCAATCGTTAGTAGGATCCGGATTCCTTCAGCTGTAGTCCGGATTCCAAAGCCCAGGATGCTGGATTCCACAAGAAAAATTTGCTGGATTCCGGAATCCAAATTCCCTTACATGGGGCGATTCTTGTCTTACGGCCAAAAAATATTAATTAAGACAACTTCCCTAGCACGCACCGCAGGCGAATTTATTGTGAGGGCGAACGAGCGGCAAGCGTTCTGTATTTTTCGACTGTAGCCGCCATCTTTAATTTTGAACGCTCAAGAAAATTTGGGAGCCTCTCTCTCTCCACCACAACCTTAGCGCATTCTAGTTCCCCCTTCCCCCTTCCCCACCCCCCCCTAAAAAAAACAAAAGCTTCCCGAGTGCCGAGCCGCAATCCACGAGTAGTACAGTGGACTCTCTATCATAGTAACTATACGACCCTGAGGAAGATATAAGAGGGTTTACCATCACTCGTCGCGGTCTCTTCTAGGGCATGGCCAAACAGCAAGAAATAGAATCAATATACAACAGCGGAAAGTCGTTTTACAGATTTAAAGCGGGTGGCGATGTGCACCGAATCTTGTTTCGCCATTCGCCCTTGTGTCAGCAGAACACCAAGCAACCAATTTCAACAATAAGAGTGAGGAGAAGACCTTTATTTAGATCAGGGTCAGAAGTACAGGCACTTCAAAGGTAAGGAATAGCAAGAATCCTTCATATGACTGTAAATAAATATTGTTCATCTGCGACGCTAGTCCATAAGCAAACATCCACGAACGCGCGACATTCACGAACGCGTTAAACCGTGGAAGACATCACCTTTAAACCATAGTAAAAGAGACCAACAATTAGTTTCGCCTTAGATTTCTGATTAACCGTAAAAAAAATTTCATCATAATATATAAAAAGGGTCTTGATGAAATTCTCTGCGTCAAAAAGAGGAAATTAAAGAGAATGATGCATGCTGATATTAGGGTTAAAGGGTTCACTCGATAAGCCCGTATATCAGGCACATGGGAAATGTGGGCCTCAAGATAAGCATTGTGATTGGTGGAGGCTAGGACTCCTCGCGATCGTCCGTCCTCGTTCCTTGCGGCCACCCCTCTTATTTGCGCCTATATAATAATGTGCAAAACACAGTGGAATCACGTTGATCAGGACAAAGGGACTGAGTCGAGTGTCCCCATTACAGAAGTCGGTGTTTATGACTTTCATTGTCTTTGAGACAAAAAAAAAACCCGTCGGTAAAGATAATATAATAACTGTGAGGTGCTTGTTTCGTTGGCAAGTTGAGGCTAAACTGTATCCACTGAGACCACAAATTTCTGTTTCCCGTCGTATAAATGATGATTTGATACAGTATACGCCTGAGAGCGACTTTTCCAATCACTTTTATGGAATTTATTACCTTATATTATTCACCCTTTGTTTCTTATAGACCACTGGAGTTGCCTGTCCCCTTGGAGCCTCAATCACCCCTCACCACGGGTACCGCACCAAACCGCGGCGTCCCACCTCAATGGACAGAGGTCCCTGAAGACCAGGAGTATAATCGAGTACCCCTCCATGAAAGCTCCCACCAGTACAAACTGGCTGAGAGTCTGTTTAGGCTAACCATGTCAGAGAACAAGGCAATTATTGTCGCCATTGAACGAGTCCAGAACACATTTCTGTGGGATAAGTATTCGAGGTACTATATGCTCATTTTGTGTAATTGTGTTTCATTTTCAAATCCGTAAATAACATTGCTTTATGCTCTAAGCGTTTCATTATTGGCCCGGCAAAAGGTAGATCATGGTACATATTTGACTGTTTGTTTGTTTGTTTGTTTTTACTCTGCTGCTTTTCCTACACTGTCCCCTTATGTAAGGGAATCCAGAATACGGAATCCGGAAATCTTTGCTCGTGGAATCCGGAATCCACGACGTGGAATCCAGAATCCAAGACCGTCTTGGATCCCATTACATGGGGCGTCAGACTACTGGAGTAACGTGGCTAACATGCACAAAGCATTTTAGTATTGGCCTGGTAAAACGGGCAAGTTATACCTTGATTTCTTTTGTAACGGCACTGTAATTTTCAGGGAGTTATAATAACTCCTCTAGTGGGGCTAATTTAACTCCTTACAGTGGAGTTATTTTTCGTGGAGTTATTTTAACTCCAAAAAGGAGTTTAAAGAACTCTTTTTCAGGAGTAAAAGTGACCCCAGATATTGAGGAGTTAAAATAACCCCAAAAAAGGAGTTATCCTGTACCTAAAATTTTTACTCCACTTTCAGAGTTAAATTAACTCCAAAAAGAGTAAAAACAACCCCTGTAAGGAGTACAAGTAACCCCATTTCGGAGTAATTTTAACTCCAAGACTGGGAGTAAAAAGAACTCAGTCTTTTTCAGGAGTAAAAATGACCCCAAATTCGGAGTTAAATTAGGAGTTAAAATAACTCCAAAAAAGGGGTTATCCTGTACCTAAAATTTTTACTCCATTTTTGGAGTTATAATAACTCCCTAAAAATTACGGTGGGTTATATGTATTTTTGAAATATTCAATGTAAACAGCGTAAGCTCTCTAAATGAGCCCTTTAGGCTCTTAGAGCAAATTGTACTAATTAATATTGTTTATAAAAAAAAAAGAATAAAATAAGAGATGTGCTTTGCTCTGATGCTTTTCCTGCTCTGCTTTCTTTAAAAAAGGAGAAGTGCCCTGAACTACCATGAGTCTGTCTCAAGGATCTGTCCATTCTATTGCAGGAAAAAAGAAAAGTTAGAGAAACGATTCCGAACCAAAGACATCCCAGTAAATGAAAAGCTTCTTTTTCATGGAACCGACCACCAACTTGTTGACACCATTTGCGAGGAGAACATCGACTGGCGAGCCATGGATGAGAATCGAGCATCCTCCTTCGGACAAGGCGCCTACTTCACGGCAGAAGCAAGCCTTAGCAATCTCTACTGTCAGCAGGACTCTGATGCCGTGCGGTACATGTTTCTGGCCGAGGTACTGGTGGGGTCGTTTGCTAAAGGTGAGCCGTCGATGAAGCGACCCCCGTACAAGGAGGATTCCACGTCCAAGGAAGAGCGTCACGATTCCTGTGTGGACAATGTAGATAAGCCCACTATATATGTGCTCTTTGACCCGGATCAGTATTACCCGACTTTTTTGATCAAGTACAAAATGAAATCAAAGGTAGTGTGCTGAGAAACTGGTATGCAACATTAGCGCAAAACTGATGAGTAATACACCTATTTCAATAAAGTTTGCTTTGGGATTTGGTCGTGGAAACACAGAATACAATGCAATGCTTTGCTTGAGTGAACACCAAACAATGGCTTTCAAAGACAAAAGCACGATTCCCAAAGCAACCTTTATTGAAATGGGTGTGTACAGTACAACAAATTGATTACCGAGAGGTTTGAAAAATCGAAGGTAAAATTAAGTGTTTGACTGGTGAAGGGAAGTTAGGTTTTTATAGTTCGAGTTATCGGCACCTCTTTAAAAGGAGAAGGTTCGAGAAATCGGGAGTAGATCCTTTTAAAAATGGTGGTCACGTGGTTCACGTGATTTTGAGATAAAAAGATATGAGATAAGGTTGATGAACCTAACCGCCCATCCTAGTTTAAAAAACCCCTTTGTGTAGTGTGCTTGATGGTAGGAAAAAGTAGGAAAGAAAATTATTACGGTAGAAGGAATTTTCTTCTAACTACAAGTGCTATAAATGTGACTTAAATAGCCTCTACTAGGTTGAAAGGCTGAAGGTTGCAATTAGAGAGAAAAATAATCTTATATTTAGGGGCACTAAATATTGCTTAACACTGTTAGCGTCATGGTATTGCTAATGGTTGCCAGGTGAAGCTCCAAAAGTGGTTTCGTGTGACACCTTCTAAGCTTAGCGCAAATAAGCGACCCCCTTATTTTAAGCCTGCTCTTAAAGGTTTTTCGCCTGAACACTATTTGATTAGTGGTCATGAAAGTCACAGTTGTTAAAGCTCCCAATATTTTTTTTTCTGTCTTGTTCAAATGACTTATGGTAGTGCACGAGTCACTATTTTGTCGGACAACAGAAATACGTGGTCGCTTAAGGACAAATCATGCCCCTTTGACGCAAATTAAACATTTTAGGTTGGGATTTGCAGGTAGGCTGATGACTTCAATATATCTCTGTAACAAGGTTAATTAGTTGGTACAACATTTCGCATGTGCTCAAGGTATATTTTATCCTTGTGCAAAGATTTCGTCTAGTCATCATGTCCGACCACAGTTCAGAGCCAATTTTAGTCAGTCATTGCCCGATGACCAACTTTTTATTTGCGGTTGTTTGGTGTTCAGCTGTGTTCGTTGGCAATATAGAATCGTCGTATTTCGGATCGTATTGATCTCCGAATGATCCGGTCAGTCGTAGTTGGCATGAATGCTGATATTACAGAATATCGGGTCATTTATGGATCAAACCATTAACTTTAATGAACAGAACAAAAACACAAACAAACGAAAAAACAAAAAGAAAAAAAACAAAACAAAACAGGCAGCCGGAGGGTCTTTACATTCCCGGTTCTGGCATGTTGTATTTAGTTGGAGACTTTTGGGTTCCTAACGTCCACTATAGTGTCGTAAGTGGACTTCCTTGATCTTCGGCGGACCGTCAGTAAGAGCCGGCGTAACAGCAGCTAAAATAGCCCTCTCAATTTTTTCTACGCTCGTGAAAAAATTTTGGAATGTATCAACCAATTGAGTTCATTTATATAATGTCGTTCCTACGATAACGGTCGGCGTTTAGTGCTTACGTGGGTGAACCGGGGCTGACAGAACGGTTTTCTTTACTCAGGCTGAGAAACTTAATCACCGAAGGGTCTTTGAGTCCCCGATTAGTGAACCACTTGTGGTGCGCTAGAAGCTTTGACACACTAATAAAGTTTTTGATTGATTTTGTTCTGATTTGAGGGAACATAACAAACAAACAAACAAACGAACAAACTAGCCTGACTAGCAAGCAAAATACAGATTGAACTTGGACGTCCTGGGATCACTAAAGTTCAGTGTATTTTAAAATTTTGCCGTGTTCGCGAATTAAGGTACGTTTTGAATTCTCGTTCAAAAATAGACAAGTGGCTGTTACGGCAGCGAAGGTGTACACTAAAAATTGTTTTGTTCGTGCCGTTCTCAGTTTCAAGTTTACCGAGAGTTCATTAATATTGTCTCGCTCGAGCACAAGAAGTCAGAGATATATCGGAACTAACAGCATAATTATGAACTGAAATATTTCTCGTTCTTTTGTGGAATAGTAGGTAGCGGAACATTACTGGTTGGATCTATTCCGTCGCGCCGCAGATCAGAAATATGATCTCGTACTGATCCTGAACCGTTTAGGACCAGTGAGTTGTAAACAAAGTTCAGTATTACGGAAGTTATGAATAAGTACAGTGCTTTCGTGTGTTCAAACCGTGGACCAGCAAAGTCAAAACAGCAGAGTGCGAAAGAAACTATTACGATCGATCCACTTAATATTGGTGGGAGTTGGTAGGGAGTGTCCCCTCATGCATTCCGTTTGAAACCAGGAAACTGTTCTTTCTTTCGCTGAACCCCCTTCCCCACCCACTCGCCCCGCCTCTCTCCGTCAATGCCTGGAGCAGCATAGGTAAAGAAGAGTTTTTTAGTCATTTTTATTTATGATATTTTGCTCTAAATGGACAGAGAGGCAGGCGTGATATTGTGGTCAGTTCTTCAGGGGCACCCAACGGCAATTTTCGGGAAAATATCTGTTCGGAAGACGATTTGAGATCTAGAATTTTCGGAGCATTTGTTGTAAAATTTCTTGCTTGCCTGCCTCTCCTAGGATTTTCGAACATCTACAAAATGGTATAATTACCCATTTTTAACGGATTTTGACCGTAAAAAAGGCCACCTAGAATTTTCGGGAGCCTTTTCCTGGGTGAAATTTTCGAGAAGGTAAGTTTTTCTCCCTATAATTTTCGGATCACTAGACTTTCAGCTAGGAAATCCGAACAGATGGAAAGTTTTTAGGGGATAAAAATATGCCTATATCTACCGTTTGAATACTAAAATACGTTCAACAATGCTATGTTAAGTGGTTTTGAACTATATCCTCGTTGGGTGCCCCTGGTTCTTGGAGTGACAGTTAAAGATCTGGCCTTTTTCTCTTGTTTCCATTGACAAGAAACCCTTCTTACGCTGTAAGTTGCGGATACCAAATCGCAAGCTCGTAGGCGTTAATCAGAGAGGGATTTCTCTGTATACACTTACAAAATAAATGTGGGAATTGTAGAAGCAAATGCGCGATAATGATATTGTGCGGGTTTGTTATTTATCCCGTCGACTTCCATGAAGAGCCGGGCAAAAAAAGGGGCTGGAAAACTTTTGGTCTCGAAGGTTACTAAACTACGTCAAAACTTTGATTTGATTTTGTTAAGGCTCATTAATAAAATTGCGTCTTCGAAGTTGACTGTGTAGTTGAAGAGTTTGAAACCCTAATGCATGATTCTTGAAGTTATTACGCAAAAAATAGAGCGGTTTTTAGGAGACTCCACTGGCCAATCAACAGAGGCAAAGAAAATCGAATAAACCAATTAGCACGCGATATGAGTCAAGTAACCGGCCACTGAGAGCGGGAAAGCACAAGCGAACGAGTCGCCGTTGGCTTTACTGAGCTTTAATTGCTTCTGATTGGCTGAGAAAGTGGCGCAAGAATTCTTTAACCAGTCATAAAGTTTGATTGAAAGTGTTTTGACTTGCAACTGAAAACCGCACTATTTCCGCAAGTTAATCTGTTAGCTATTTATTGAGGGTTCAAAAAAATGTTAAATTATTGTTAATGTTAAGGATAGAATTCATCGGAATAATTCTTTGGAATACATGATACTGTTATAAGCGTAGAAGCCCAGTTTGTTGTGAATTAAATTAAATTAATGAAACTGGCAATGGACTGGCTTGAATTTCTCTGTTGTGTGAATGCAGTGGCGGATCCAGGGGAGGGGCCGGGGGGTGGGCCACTCCCTCGTTACTTTAAGACTGGGCTCCCCCCTTATCTCTATGGGGGGGGGGGGGCGGTCTGGGTCCGGCACTGGTATCTGGTATGTGTCGTGCTAGTTAACACCTGGCCCCATTGTTGGCTCAAAAATGTTGGCAGATGTTGCGTCCGTTTACACGTAGTGGCTTTAGAATGTTCGGTGTTTTGTCGGATTGCAATATGGGTCTGTTTTGGGGAAGCCGTCGCTTCTTTTATTGGCTATCACGAAGTTGCACAGGAGTCGTCTTCAAAACAATCATAGTCTGAGTTCGACGCGAAACGGGCGGGCCAGTCACTGAAGCCGCTACCACAAAGAATTCGGAGGAGAATTGTGGCAATCCCGTCCCCAGAGCCCGCGATCCTTTTTTACAGTTAGGCCCGGTTCAGACGCCCAACTTTTCATGAGCCGAACCTAATGCATAAAAAGTTCGGCGTCTGAATCAGTTAGGAACGCCTGTTTCAATTTGGAACGGCTCAGTCGTTCTTTTCGCCTAGCCTGGCCGTGAATTTCGCCTTTGAATTGGAGCGACTTTGTAACGCCTTTGATTCAGACACCGAACTTTTCATGAACCGAGCCTAATGCATAAATTATTATAACGTTTTTTGTAAGCAGTTTGGCCGGAATGAGCATTTTTCGCGTGCTGAACTTAGTTCAGTGAGCTGCAATTAAGATCGGCGTCTGAATCAACTCAGCCGAACTAAATCATTTTGGTCGGCCTTAATTCGAAATAAGTTCGGCTCATGAAAAGATCGGCGTCTGAAACGGGCCTTAGCAGTCTTAGCATGGGGATGGCTTAGTAACAGATTTCCAGCGTTAAGGAAGCAAAGGGAAGCAGCGTTTTTTTGTTTTTCGCACATGCGCATAAGCCAAATTTGGACTTTGTTTCTCGCTTTCTTCTTTTTCCCTTTGCCTTTCTTTTTATAGCCAGCTTTGTTGCTCATTTTGTTGTCTCTCTTTCGCATAGAATTTTGGCTGGCTTTTTTTTCAAGAATGGGACAAATTTACTCTACAAATGCAAAGAGTAGTAGGTAAATAGCAAAATTGTCAGTCGATTTTTCCCCAAATGTTGCTCAGTTTTTGTCTGTAACTCTGTCAGAATTGTTCAAAATTTCCTAGATGTGGTACCAGTGGAAAGATCTATCCTCGCCAATTTTGCTGATTGCCATCTAAATAGCTTAAATGGCAAGCTAACCCAGGAAGGATTGTAGGTCGTAATATATGCATGGGTCCATATGAACCAAAAACGACCAAAGCGGATGTCAGCGGTTTTTAAAAGGGTCAATGGTACTTACCAGCTCCAGTTGCTTATTCTTAGACAAGTTCAACTTCAGTCTTACTTGCTGTATTATGATGCAAACCGTTTCCTGTGATTCGGGCTTTCACGTGTTGTCTTTGTGTTTCCTGTACAAAGTTTACAGGTATAGCAAACAATGGAGTTTCTAACAAATCAGAACGCGAGTAATACATCAATTATTATCATTATCATCGATTGTCATAATTATATTTAAATGTCAAGTACTGCCTGGAAAGGCGGTCTTGGGGTTTCCATCTGCCAACATATAAAATAGTCATAAATACGCCCTCTCTCAAGTTACTTACATAATAGTATGAACGCAGTGATAACTAGTGATAGTTCTTATACTATATTATTCAATTAATCAGAGTTAAGAAACGGCTCAAACGCTCTCAAAAGCGCGTTATTTTGAAAACAATTTGAAAAGATTAAGTATTTTTTAACTTTACTAATCCTCGTAAAACCGTGAACTCACTTATTTTTAAGACTCCTTTAAAACTCAATTGTAAAATGCATTCAAATTTATGTGCTAACCGCTTAATTCACTAAAAAAACAATGTTGGTCCAATTGGGAACGCATTTGCTCTAAATTACAAAAGTATTCGGCTACTTTGGTCAGGATTGGACCAAAGTCTGAAACACATAATTTTGCAAATAATTATGTTGTTCAAAATACTGAGGCAGCCTGCAATCGTACTAGGCCTTTTTAATTACTTTTTATTAGTTCCTCTATTTGAGACATAATGGAGGTATACGAAGAGAATATCATCGCAAGCAGCAATTTAGGCCGATCGACACGGGTCTAGGTCAATGTAGCTTTCGCCTTAATTTTCATCATTCCGTAAACTCGTACAGAAGATTGCATACATTATGTTTCTATTTATCGTTAGCTTAACACATCTAAAGGAAGGGCTTTATAAACTAAAACCTCTACAAGAATCTGTATTCCAGCTAACACAGATACCAGTGACACTATAATCGCCATAGAATGATCCAGAAACCAGAGGTCCGTATGGGCAAAAACATATGTACAGTCACTGATAAGGAGTCCAAACATAAAAGCAGCAGACAATCCTGAGTCAAATGAACTCCATAGTATCGCTGAACTGCGCAGTTTTTTAGCTATCCAAAACTGCAGTGCTGACAGCAAGAAATACAGTGTACAACCAGTTGACAAAATAGCGGCTAGGCAAAACGATTTTTTTGGATGAAGCCTTGCGATAATTCTTTTAAGCGACAAACCAGTTGTCAACATTCCGCACAATATAAACGACGCGGCAAAGGTTAAACAGGTTATTCTTTCTCTCATCTGTCCCAAAATGCCATTTTCAATGCCGTGAAATCTCCAGAGTAAAACAAGAGAACACAAAAGAGCGTTTGCAGCATTGAAGGCCAATGCAAGAGCTGAAGAGCTGTCGTACTCTCCAGAGGACACGAAGGAAGCGATTGTGAAGCTAAAGGAAAGCAAAATGCAGATCACTGTCACCCACACAGCGGCCTTTGTCCATCTCTTTCGAGTTCCTTCAGGTAGATTTCTCTTAGTCCGATCTTTTGATATTTTTTCGTCCATGACTGATACGCAAGGAGTGTTGCCCTCCTTTTCTTTCTTTAGTTCATTCTCGTCCGTAGAGAATTCCGCTACGAGTGTAAAGTTACGCCTGCCGCCTTTAGACGTTAATTCACTTTGCAGAAGAGAATTCAAGTTCTCTTTTAAATCCATAAAATTATCTTCGTTGCCTGAAATCTGTTTTAGACTTCCATTTCGTCGCCAGGGGGGCGGATTCATACTTGTTGATTCTGTTTTGCCCACAGCATAAGCACTGATAAGTACATCGCCAAACTCTTTATCGAAGCGTGTCTTCAGTTCATTAACTGTTTTAAACCTTATTTTAAATATTCATTTTGGCTACATGTTTGTTATTCAAAATTTTAGGCTCGAGTGATTTCAGTCCAAACAATGCAAATATAAGAGAGTCCGATTAGTGAACAAAGGAATTAGGAAATGCAAAGGTGAGGAATTAAGGCGCCAAAACTGTTAACAATGATTGGAACTGTTCAGTGCTTGATCAATTATGTATAAAAAAAGTCTACGGAACTTTAAAAACATCTATAAAAACCATTTTTAAATTCAAGACTATGCCCTCGAATGATTTCACTTCATTCCTTGATTGCATGAAGACAAAGGCTCTGTTCTACATGTTAATATTTTGAATTCAGAAGATCACGACTATCTTGATACGCCCACATGAATTAAAAAGCTAAAACCAGCCAAAAATGTCGAAAAATATATTCTTTGCTTACTCGTTTCTACTTTTACAGTTTACAATTTGTTAAATTCATCCTTCTCTATCGCGTTACCTGGTCCTTAACAATATTTCGTTTTTTATTTCATTTATTTCTGAATTGTAACGTTCCCTAGTTAGCCTTAAATTCTTTTTTTGCACGCAATGTCCGGCCTCGACTAGTCTTGCTAGCTGCAGGCGGTGTTATATCTTCTTAACGTGCGTGGAAAGAAAAGCTGGCATTCTTTTGCCCTTAAAGATCAAGGTCTACAGACAACTACTTAATCTTTAATACAACAAATTAAATACGTTATAAATAAAGGTAAAGGCGCACACGAGCCAAAGGCCCAAGTTATATTAAGCAGTAAATCACTTTTTTTTGTCTGCGCGCAACAGAATACTAATTAAAAGTCAATTTAGATACTTCATGATTACTTTTTAACAACTTAAATGTATATTGTAAATAAACTTTTTACTAAATTTTCATTGCGATAGAAACAAGCTTTTTGTAGTTAGGGCATTAAAGTCATTTAAAGTAAATTTACCCCTTCACTCCTAAATACTTTTCAATTAACTTAGTTTCGTACCTCAACCTTAAAAGAATACGTTCCTGCTTTTCAAGATATGTAACAAAGTCCCTTGCGTTTTCTAATTTAGAACGTTCATAGAGTGTGAGCTTATTAATTGACTGCCCAAACATTTCTCTAGTCTACAACCCTGCGTTCCAGAAATAGTTTTGGGTGTTACGATTTATTAACGTTTTGAGATAGTTTGTAGAACTTTCTTCTTCTTTCAACGTCACAAAATCAACAAAAACGATGGAGGAAATCACATAACTAAACATTTGTTATCCTTAGAAGAACTCGATGACCGAGATGAACTTCCTTTGAACTCAATTGTAAAATGCACTCAAATTTATGTGCTAAAACCGCCTAATTCCCTAAAAAACAATGTTGGTCTAGTTGCGAACGCATTTGCTCTAAATTACAAAAGTATTCGGCTACTTTGGTCAGGATTGGACCAAAGTCTGAAACACATAATTTTGCAAGTAATTATGTTATTCAAAATACTGAGGCAGCCTGCGATCGTACTAGGCCTTTTTGATTAGTTTCTCTATTTGCGGTCATGGAGATATGCGGACTCGTGTCTAAGTCAATGTAGCCTTGGCTTTGCTTTAAAACTTTATCACTAAACTCGTAGAGAAGATTGCATACATTATGTTTCTATTTACCGTTTGCTAAACACATCTAAAGGAAGGGCCTTATAAACTAAAACCTCTACGAGAATTTGTACTCCAGCTAACACAGATACCAGTGACACTATAATCGCCATAGAATGATCCAGATACCAGAGGTCCGTATGGGCAAAAACGTATGTACAGTCACTGATAAGGAGTCCAAACATGAGAGCAGCAGACAATCCTGAGTCAAATGAACTTCCCAACATTGCTGAACTGCGCAGTTTTTTAGCTATCCAAAACTGCAGTGCTGACAGCAAGAAATACAGCGTGCAACCAGTTGACAAAATGGCGGCTAGGCAAAACGATTTTTTTGGATGGAGCCTTGCGATAATTCTTTTAAGCGACAAACCAGTTGTCAACATTCCGCACAATATAAACGACGCGGCAAAGGTTAAACAGGTTATTCTTTCTCTCATCTGTCCCAAACTGCCATTTTCGGTGCCGTGAAATCTCCAGAGTAAAACAAGAGAACACAAAAGAGCGTTTGCAGCATCGAAGGCCAATGCAAGAGCTGAAGAGCTGTCGTACTCTCCAGAGGACACGAAGGAAGCGATTGTGAAGCTAAAGGAAAGCAAAATGCAAATCACTGTCACCCACACAGCGGCCTTTGTCCATCTCTTTCGAGTTCCTTCAGGTAGTTTTCTCTTAGTCCGATCTTTTGACATTTTTTCGTCCATTACTGATACGCAAGGAGTGTTGCCCTCGTTTTCTTTCTTTAGTTCATTCTTGTCCAAAGAGAATTCCGCGACGAATGTAAATTTACGTCTTCCGCCTTTAGCCGTTAATTCACTTTGCAGAAGAGAATTCAAGTTCTCTTCTAAATCCATAAAATTACTTTCGTTATCTGAAATCTGTTTTAGACTTTCATTTCGTCGCCAGGGGGGCGGATTCATTCTTGTAGATACTGTTTTGCTCACAGCATAAGCACTGATAAGTACATCGCCAAACTCTTTATCGAAGCGTGTCTTCAGTTCATTAACTGTTTTAAACATTATTTTCAGTTAAATATTCATTTTCGTTACATGTTTGTTATTCAAAATTTTAGGCTCGATTGATTTCAGTCCAAGCAAATATAAGAGAGGACTTCCGATTAGTGAACAAAGGAATTCAACTAAATGCAAAGCTGAGGAAGGCGCCAAAACTGTTAACAACGATTGGAACTTCAGTGCTTGATCAATTACGTATAAAAAAAAGTCAAACGAACTTTAGAAGTATCTATAAAAACCATTTTTGAATTCAACACTCTGGCCTTGAAGGGTTTCACTTCATTGCTTGATATTGCATGGAGACAAAGGCTCTGTTCTAAAAATTAATATTTTGACTTCAAAAGATCACTACTATATTGATACGACCACATGAATTAATAAGCTTAAAAACCATCCGAAAATGTCGAAAAATATATTCTTTGCTTAATCGTTTCTACTTTTACAGTTTACAATTTGTTTAATTCTTTCTTCTCTATCTCGTTACCTACGTAGTCCTTAACAATATTTCGTTTTTTATTTCATTTATTTCTGAACTGTAACGTTCCTTAGTTAGCCTTAAATTCTTTTTTTGCACGCAATGTCCGGCCTCGACTAATCTTGCTAGCTGCAGGCGGTGTTATATCTTCTTCTTATCAATAAAGTTTTGTTGTTGTTGTTGTTTTTGTTGTTGTCCGTGAATTCCAAGTCGAGAAACACACACTTTTGTGGGTAATCTGTACACATTTTTATGCCATTTAAGGGAGACAGGGACCTACCTATCTCCAATTTTTCTTTGTCGGGGGGGAGGGTGCGGCTGCATGTGGTTAGTCTCACAAAATAGTTTCTATAGAGTCAGTAACAGTGATTAATGCGCGTGGAAAGAAAAGCTGGCATTCTTTTGCCCTCAAAGATCAAGGTCTACGGACAACTACTTAATCTTTAAATACAACAAATTAAATACGTTATACATAAAGGTAAAGGCGCACACGAGCCAAAGGCCCAAGTTATATTAAGCAGTAAATCACTTTTTTTTTTGTCTGCGCGCAACAGAATACTAATTAAAAGTCAATTTAGATACTTCAAGATTACTTTTAACATCTTAAATTCATATTGTAATTAAATTTTTTACTAAAATTTTCATTGCGATAGAAACAAGCTTTTTGTAGTTGAGACATTAAAGTCATTTAAAGTAAATTTACCCCTTCACTCCTAAATACTTTTCAATTAACTTAGTTTCGTACCTCAACCTTAAAAGAATACGTTCCTGCTTTTCAAGATATGTAAGAAAGTCCCTTGCGTTTTCTTATTTATAACGTTCATAGAGTGTGAGCTTATTAATTGACTGCCCAAACATTTCCCTAGTCTACAACCTTGCGTTGAAGAATTAGTTTTGGGTGTTACGATTTAAGATTTTGAGATAGTTTGTGGAACTTTCTTCTTCTTTCAACGTCACAAACTCAACAAAAACGATGGAGGAAATCACATAACTAAACATGGTTTATCCTTAGAAGAACTGGATGACCGAGACGAAGAGGGTGAAACCGAATGATTGCGTGACGCGCCAGAGTACGCGTATGAAGTAGTTGTTGACGCCATTGGAGGAGACTGATAGTGGCTTGAGGCACTGGTATATGGGCTCACTCCTGCTATGGGTGAATGATAATAATTTGCAGATGAAGAATTATACGTTGAGCTGGATGTGGAAGTGTAACCGCCTATACCACTGGTTACACCTGAATAAGGTGCTTGAACGCGCGAACCCACACTCGAGCTTGTGGTCGTCTGATAACTGGTGGATGGGCTGCCAGCGTTGTAATGCGCTCTAGCTGCCACTCCCATTGCTGCCGGTGAGCGTCTAGGTATTGGAGCAGGTGCTCTTGCCGCAGGTCCGGCAGGCTGCTGATGACCGCCTCGAGGTGTGGAGTACTCGATTATGTTTTCCGGGTAGAACTGATCAGTATCAAAAACGACGAAAATGGTTGGAAATGACCTGTCATCAACACAAGAATCGTACAGATCGCTTGCCGGGTTCGAGGGCTCCTTTGACGGTGGCCTTCGATAACTGGACTGGCCCTTAGTGTAAGACCCAACGAGGACCTTGGCCACGAACATGAACTTAGACCCTTTGGTATCTTCCTTAGCGTAACTATCGCTGTACGAGGAGTTTAATGCAAAATAGCTTCCTTCACCGTAAACAGTTGCGTTCTTCCCATGAAGACGCCAGTCAAAGTTCTGTTTACAGATAGCTTCTACAATTTCAGGGTTAGTTCCATGAAACAATTGCCTCTCGTTAACAAACCGTGCCTTGGTAGAGCCAGTCCTTGCTGCTGCCATGTTTTCCTTTTTCCTGAATAAAATACAGTTAATAATCAAAGTCAACTTTTATTTTTGGTCTTGAAATCCTATTATTCGCTTTAATATTGAATCACGCTTATAATATAAATGATAATAAATGACTGTAAAAGAGGATTAACACCTGAAGATCGTGCATCTGGGTTTTTCAATAACGAAAATAAGCGCACCGATGTCATAAATTTCAACCTAATTTATGGCAATCTCCTCCTCAGATCCAATTCCTCGGCCCCTCAAGTGTCCTTGAGAAGGGAAAGAGAGGCTGGGATGGAAAGGAGCTTACTGTAAGAAACGAGTGGAAGCGAGAAAGAGCCTAGAGCAACCCGAGTCAACAAGACCAGAAGCATATAACCCCGAAGCATCTAACTTCTCCTTATCTGTTTAGAATCATGCTGGGGGTTTTTAGTCGACGCAGCCGTCCAATCAGAAGCACAGAAGATTATTTTGCCCAAATATGGAATCAGAGAATTTAAGGTTAAAATTTTGAGCTTGCAACGCTTATTATACATGTATGCCTACGACCGAAAGAAATCGTTTCGTGGGATAAAAGATAAAGTAATTATGCTGATATAAAGTGCAACCCTGGGAGAACATGAAGAGCCAAAAAAGTTATAAGCAAGCGGTATGGCTTGAAAACATCGACCAGTCACGAAGTAAGACAAGAATGCTTACATTTCTTCACCACATCGAAAAGTCTCTCGCCGAAATCAGCAAAATGTATCTGCAACCTGTATGACCGACAAAGATCATCCTCAGGCTACTAGCTGCAAACCTATCTACCACAGCAAACCAGGTATCTGCAACAGCTGGTCTCATTCAGCAAAACCAGCATGGCGACTACAAAAAAAATGATATGGCAAGCTTTGCAGAACAGAAGAAGCGTCGTACAAGGCGCCGATGAAGTCGGACGAAATCTTTTTTTTCTGAGTGTAATTTTTTGATTTTTGAAAGAATTTTTTCAAAGAAAAGTTTTAACCTGCGAAATTTACCTTCGAGGACTTCGACCTTAATTGTTTCCTTCACGCTTGTCCTTTTTTGAACTGCGACCAACTTAACAACCTTTTCAAAGAATTTTCAGGTAAACTTGCATTTTACAAATTATGCTTAAGGAAAGTACGTTATGGAAAGGAAGTTTATGTATTTATAAATGTTTCATACACGTTTCATATATTTTTGATAGAGTTTTCAAGAAAAATTGGGAAAAGCGACAGATAATTTTAGTGCTAATTTTTGCCATTTGCTCAGCGCGATTTTACTTGTGGCGATCCACGATCCAGTAAGTGTTACGTGAATGCTTTAACGGTAAACTTATGGGTTTTCGAGTAAAAATTTTCAAGAAACAATTTGCGGTTTATTGCTTTCTGTTTTGTTCATTCATAAAATTAGTTGAAAACATGATCGCCGGCATCTAAGTCTTATTAACTTGCGTTTCATTCTTCTTATTACACGCATCACTTCTACAATTGTTACTTTCGAGTTTAGCATCTAGTGAATTTTATTTAAAAATATGTGTTACTAGTTATTTTAGATAAATAGTAAGTGATTTTTTTAAAGGTTATTTGCGCTAATCGTCACGCAAAAACCGTTTTTGAAGTAACAACTTTAAGAAATCGCGTCTCTTACGGTACGTGTCATTGGTAGTCCACTTTGACATGTTAGGAGGAACTAACTCAGTTCTGGTCATTTATTCCGTTTTTCGTCAAATATCACCTCGTGAAACAGTAAGTGCTTTTTGTACCGCATCATTTACAACGCGATACAAGTTTTCCTACAGAGCACTCGAGCGACAACCCCGCTTATCAGTAATTCCATATTAGGAAGTAAATTCTGATTGGTTCCCTACAAAAACCCGAGCATTGCGACGAAGTTATACGCTCCAAGGTTATATGCTTCTGATAAGACTATGAACGGTGCAGTTAAAGTATATGAGGGTAATTAAGTACCATAAATAATCTAGCAAGCCCGTGCCTTTTAAATAAGCCCAACCCCCTCCCCCATCTCTCCTCAGTACACTTTGTATTGAGACTGTATTGAAATAAATAAGCCCAAACCCCTCCCCCATCTCTCCTCAGTACACTTTGTATTGAGACTGTATTGAAAAACACTATTTATCACAAGTGACCAGCCCATACTAGAAAAAAGTGCCTCGCAAACCCTCGCGAAATTCGGAGGGGCACTCAGTTAAAGCCCTCGTGATCCTTATGTTTTGATATCGTCTTTTGTCATGTTTTGGGGACAATTAGAGTGTCTTCACACCTCTAAGCTTGTAATAAGCGACGCAAACGTTTATTGGTGATGTAACATTTAATACCTTACGTTAAATGCATTTGTTCAGTAGTACCTTTGGTACTTTTCCCACATGAAAGGGTTTTGCACTCGTTCAATACCAACAATTAACACACTCCGTTTGATGGACTTTTTGAAGAGTTTTTCCACTTCTTTAAATTCGTCAGAAAGTCGTGATAACGGAACACGTTGATATTTCCTCGTAGGTGGCATGGAAGACCAGTGACTTGGCATATTGGTGGCTCGTGCATTTCTCCCTTGCTGAATGCTCACTGCGTTCTGAGACCTAAAAAAGAAGTTGGTAACGCAGTGGCAAATCGTCATCCAGGTTTATCTCCTAAGAATGCTCCATATAGCATAATTCAGTGAATTTATAGTAAGTAACTGAGCAACTGAGAATTATTACCCGACGTTTCACTTGAATCCTAACATCATAAGGTTTCCTTGACAGAACCACCAGGTTAGCCCAAAGGTGCTATTGGCTCCATAATTGACCCAAACAGTAAAAGCACATTGAAGTCATTTTCACGACACACACTTCGGCTATAAGTGACCAGCTTCCAACAGATTAAACAACACATCAAGAGGGAGACGGGAGCATTGCGTGACTTCGGCCCGAGCGGCTACGCAGGAGGCTAAGGCCCATCTGGCGTGACATATTTTTGTGACTGATCATAAATATGCGACCACACCCGTGGTTATATTTAACATAAATTAGTGCCTTGCTGGGTACCTACAGTAGTTTTTATCCTAATAAACAGAGCTTTACTAAAACATTTCTTTTGGCCACCCTAAGAAAGTGTGAGATTTTATGCTTATTACTTTGAAAGAAAGAAATTGGCCCATCATATCGGTCGTAAGGGATAAAGTTCGTGCTATTAATTAATTCTACATCACAGAATACCTTTTAAGTTGGGAAATGTCATCCTTGGACACAAATTTTCTAGGCCTTCTTCTCACTTTTTTCGTCGTGCCGTACTTGACGTTTGTCTGGCTCATGTCACTTGATGGGTTAAAACTTAAAATGTAATCCTGGTCTGCAATCCGAAACTTGAAATCGTTTTTCATGTTCAAGAAGGCTTTTTCTAGGGATTCTTGAAGATCTTTTCCCTATGAATAACAAGGTAACTTGATGAGACAAGAAACCATACACTACTTTATATAGACTTTTACTCGCGCTCCATATATTGCTTGGATAATTGTTGTGTTGGCCTAATATGCAAGTCACATATCCAGCAAGTCCAACTCTTAATCGGGGGTTCTGCCCGATTACTCTGAGACGACAGCCATATACGATGTTATAGTAAAGATTTCACCCCCATGGAAAACTCTGATGTAATCATGATTTCTCCCACTATTTACTCACATTGTGGTCTTGGTCATACATCCTCCAGAGTCCATTTTCGTCCTGCCAGTACCATATCCACTCCGTAGCTAGAGGGTTGCTTGAGTTTACGTCAGACTCCGTAGATAGTCGTCGTAGTTGCGTGAACCTCTCAAAATCTTTCTGTGTAATCAGCAGCTTATTATCGAGCAAAATATCGACATCATACATCTCGTCAAGGAATAAAAATCCATTGCTAAAATATGAATATTAAAATGATAATTATGTCAAGCTATAGACCTTATTCAAAATGGCGGCTTACTAATATTGTTTTATATTTATGATGATTAGCCTTTCTGACCTCGTTTGAAAGTTAAAATTCTTTTGTATTTTTCACATGCTAACGAGGCCAGAATGGCTAATTATCATACATATACAATAATATATTACTGTCAAACTCATTGCGAGATACGTATTTCTAGTATATTATTGTCAAACTCCGAAAACCGTGGAATGTTGATTGTGTACTGGCCAATTACGGTAAAGTTCAGAAATACGCAACCAAACCTCAAAACCACAAACTAATTACCGTTGTTGTTTGCGTGTTATTTATCTCGCGCCTTATTGGCTAATTCCTCGTAACACAATAACATTTCATAAATATTTCTGGTGTTCACGGTTTTGTGAGTTTCACAGTAATAAGCCGCCATTATGAAAGAGGTCTATAATTCATGTTTAAAAAAATGAATCATACTATAAAATCCTAACGTTCTGCTTCATTCGTCTTAAGCCCTTGCATTTGGCCATACTCCTTTATTTTTTCTCATACATTAGATTTGGGCTGAAGTATCTCTACTTACTTCGCATTATTATTATAACCGTAAATGAGTGAAAATCCATTAACTTGACAAGATTCTCAGTGTATAATTACTATAACATACCTTTCAAATGATATTTGCATGCCTGTAGCAGAACATTCCTCAAGTGTCACGTCACAATACAGTTTTTCTAGCTTCTCGTTGTCTTTCTCATTAAAACTCTTCCATTCACCTGCATCCGCGCTATATTGCCAATGGTAAGGCAAAAAGCAGTGATAGCCTGTACACTTAGAACCATTCTTACATTTGCTAAGAATAAACTCTGGGCAAATGGGTGCCACTGGCTTGTTTACGAGAACTTGTCCTGTCAGAAGGCCTTGCGTGAAAAAGAGAGAGAAATGACGGCTCTTTCAGTAATTACTAAAATTTGTTCCACTGACTATTGAGGCATTATCATACAGTATTTATATATATGATAACAACTTATTATTTATATTCATATTCATTCATTTTATTTCGTTATTTTTTGTCAAACTGGTTTTCCGTCTTATAACGTTCACGATCAAAACGGTCATGGAAAATCCAACTTTTCTAAACCTTCGGCCAGGGTATAAATTTCTTAAAACCCGTCTTAGCTCTCCGTCTTTAATTGGCAGCTTCCCTCTTTTAAACACTTTCATGGTGTCATATATAAAGCTAACTTTTCCCTTTTCGCTAAAATCATGATGTTCAAGCTTACTGTTTGACAATGTAATTTAATAAGTAAGGCTTACTGTACCCCGGGTTTCTCGATCGAAAACCGCAGCATTAAACTACCTTTATGTGGACCTTGAAGACTACTACGTTTTTAGCGTCCTACGTAGGAAGCGACTTTTTTTCATAACCACGGAAAATGCGTGTTAAAACAAAAATTCAGTATACCTAAATAGAGATATCATAGGGACGACAGAATTTTACATTACGTACCTGTAGTTTTTTCTTTTGAGCATGCGGATTTCTCGCGCTGATCACAAACAAGAATAATTTTCTTTACCAGGTCTGATTTATGGTGTCCCAGCTGAAAACGTTCAAGAATTGCTTGGGTGTGTTCAGTGTTCATAGCTTCTTCATGAAGTAAGTCACAGCCATATCCCCTTCTAAAACACTTTTTTAAATGTTCTCTACACATGTGTATTTTCGAACACGACTCAGCAAGATCACATAAACCATTGTTGTACTCTACACAGATTTGGGGAGTCGATGAAAGAACGAGCTTCCTAAGTTGCTCATCTGTTAACTTGTCAAGCTTAATCTTCGACAATAGAGCTCTTTCTCTTTCATCTTGGAAGTGATGATTTCGAGGGCATGTTGCTCCGTTGCTACAGGAATCAGTTATGTACTCTCTACAGACGTGCAAGTAGGAACAGTTCTCTCTCTTGCACTCCCCATAATAAGAGTTATTGTAACTGAGACATAAACGTGCTTTGGTAGAGAAAGCGTCCACTTGGGTTACCTTTCCGTGATCGTCTTCTGTAATGAGAAAGCTCCCTTTCTTGCTTCGAAACCAAGCTTCTACATCCTTAAATTCAGACGGGAACAAATCTGTTCGTTTGGAAATCACGGAAAAAGAAGCAGAACAATCGTATTCGTTGCAAAGGCATTCGAAGACTCTAACCTCAGCCGGCTGAGCAGGGGCACTTGCAGCCACGCCCACTTTTGATGACATGTGCTGAACTCCCTTGCTCCCTTTAGTGGCCACGCCCTTTGCAGTAATATTGCCCTTGGGGTCTTTCAAACCACTGGAAATGTTCTCCTGGCATACCAAAAGTGTGCGAAGCACTGAATTAAAGTTGCCTCCTGTGACTCTCATGCCATATTTCTGAAGTACATCAGTGGTGTGAGCTTCGGCAAACGCGCTTTCGTGTCGAAGACCACAGTCTTCCTCATCGTCGCACCTCTTCTTGATAAAATCCTTGCAAATGTGTACTTGGGCGCAAGACAAACCGTTGGTGCAACGTCCATTGTTATAATCCAGACATACTTGAGGCGTAGAAAGCTGAAACACGTTGCGGAGTTGTTCTTCTGTCAAACCATCCAACTTGTGTTTGGAAATTAACTTCCTATCTTGATCGTACTGAAAACAGTGATTTCTTTGGCATTCAATACCACGCCTGCAGAAGCCAGCAATGTACTCCCTACACACGTGGAAGTACTGACAATCCTTCTGAGAACACTTTTCCTTGAAACAAAACCTTGCCTTTCGACAGAAGGCAGTAACCTCGTAAATGATTCCTTCCTTTTCTCTGATTAAAAAGCTTTCTTTTGACCTTGCTCTAAACCACTTGGCAATGTCCCCACAACCGTTGGGAAACAAATCTTGTCGTTTTGAAATGACATCAAAGGGCACCGTGCCATTGTATTCTTTCACAATGCAATCGAAAACAGCCTTTTTGGAGGGTGAAAATTTACGCGAATCTTGAACAGAGCTGCAAGAACTGGAAACAGACAGCTTTCGTTGACGCCCAGATTCCACCTCTTGTGAGGTTGGTAAGCTGTGCGAATCTGTGCAACTGAGAGTAGACTCAACAACGGAATCGCCGCTTGTCAACCAGGCCTCCACAAACCGCTCTTTATTGGCACTTTCCGAGGCTCTGTTGGATTCATGTTGGCGTTGACTGTCTTTTGTGTCAAGTGACACATCCAAACTTTTCGGTTGTTGTGTACTCAACACCTTCATACAGGCTGCATTTCTTCCCACCTCTTGAGTCTTTGCCTTGGTTTGTTGCTCTTTAGTCACAGAGTTTCTGCTTTTCTTCTTTTGCGATTGGTCAATATTTGGATCCTTTTTCGAATTGTCAATCAAAGATCCTTGCTCCCATTTCATTGAATCATTTCCATCCAATTCGTTTTTCATCATGTTTATAGGATTCTGTTTTAAACCACCAACTTTCATGGCATCAACCGAATTTTTCTTGTCATTTTTACATCCAACGGCTTTGGTGTTTCTATTTGCAGGCTTGTTTTCATCAAAGGACGAATCAGAATCGTCTCCACTTTGAATATTTGAAAACTCAAGCCTACTCTCAGAAGATGGTGATACTGCATTACTCGTTAAATTGTTAATACGATCAGTTTGCTTACAGATTGGTGCTCCCGACTTGGTTGTCTTCTCTTGCAAAAGATTTGATGGGCAATACTTCTTCTCAAATTCAGTTCGATCTTGAAAACTGCATGCAGCATCGAATTCTTCAGAATTATTGTACGAGCTTTGTTTCGTATTAAACGGAGATTTTGTAGTTTCATGTCTGGATGGTGCAGACACTTCCGGCGATTGTTTTTTTGTACCTTGTATGACTCCCATCGCTTCCTTAGAGAAATTTTCACCGGCGTTGCAAACACTTGGTAAAAAATCATGAGCTTTGTGAAGAATACGCTGTTTCTTCGGAACCAAAATATTGCACCGAACAAAATCTGTTGACACTGACTGATGAGGCACCAGATCATACTGTTTGAGAATCTTCATGTTGTGAGAATCCGTGAGGTTGTGTGACAAAGAACAAGAACACGCTGAACTTCGGACAGCTTGAGAACAAAGATGAAGGTATAAGCATGAATCCGACGTACATATACCTCTTGTATACAGCTCACAAACCTGTGGTAAGCTCCACGCAACAATATTTTTGATAGTCCCGTTCGGATATTTAGCCAATCCCAATTCTTTTAACATCTTCTCGTTGTTGTCTGGGTCAAAGAAATTGTGCAAGCGATTGCATTTGCCATGGCAGTTTTCTTCGATGAATCCTTTACAAATATGCCAGAACTTACACTTCCCTTGAGCACTTCGACAAGAACCTTTGTCGTGATATTGTCGACATATTTTTCTTCTTAAATCAATTCGCACACCTGCTATCTCGCCATTGAAATCTTTCAAGACGACTAAACGCGGATCATCTTGACTCGTCAGCCAGTTTTTCGCTTCTACCTTTGATTTTGTACTTCCTAAGGGCGATGACGGATTTAAAAGAACGGATAACTCCACAAAACCTCCATTACCGCAGATAAAATTGAACACTTCCTCCACCAAAACATCCGCCGCCATCTCGTCCCTGCTGGAACGAAAATTTCCTAGGTTGTGAAATGTCTTGAGAATTTATTTAGTCCTAAGAGGAATTACGTCGAGAAAGCGTGTAAAAGGTTGTCATGAACAGCAAAACCGTTCAGCCTTTACCTTCTAAAAGGTATCAAATGGTCGGCCAGTCTCCTTTCCTAACAATCGTAATATGTGGCGTGTCTTCTGTGTCTTTGAATGCAAATTTGTTTTGTCTGCACTCACCAAGCACGTGGCTGCTCATGTCAACATCAGCTGATATTTATTCTCTTTTTTTTTTCAGTTTTCCATATTACAGTAAGCGTGTTAAAATCAATGAATAAAAATATCGAACAGTCCTTAATGTTGGCAAGCAGGATTTTGGGATCATTCACCGTTTCTGGGCAACGTGTCGTAAATTACTCGATAAAAATCGTCTCAATTTTAAGGCCTCTCGATTACGTATTGGCCAGTCCAACCGAAAACGTGAAATCGAGACTCGCTCCCACCTGTCTCGATGACTCGTTTCAAAAACGAGACACGTTAAACTAAAACGTGGCGCCCAAAACGAGACTCGATTTTTCTCTAAAACGTAGGGTCCAAAACGAGACTCGATTTTTCTCTAAAACGTATGGCCCAAAACGAGACTCGATTTTTCGTTTTCGTAGGGACTCGTTCAAAAACTAGAAAAGGTATTTGCCTGGGGAAGGTTAAGTCCAAAAAAGTCAGAAAGATATCCCCTAAAAAAAATTGCCATGCGCTGGCTTCAAAATATCAGAGAAGGGAAATAATGTAATGCGGTTTTTCACTTGTAAGGGCAATGGCAACGAACAGATTGAGCGTAGATAATTTCTGGGGTCGTCTGGGGTAAATACTTTATTTATACATGGGTAAGCCGAAAATCAATTGGTTCGCGCCATTCCGCTTGGGAATCCTCAGATTATAAACCATTGTGAGGTGATTCAAATTTGCAGAGAACTCTTTTACATTTCAGCAGATCGTTCTTTTTTATGTGAAAGTTAATAGTCATATTTATATTTTCAAGATTTTTGAAAAGTTTTTTGGTTTTTGTAAAAGGTAGGCACCCCTAGGTAGAAAAGGTTAAAGATGGAAAATAAGACTGAAAAGACACCAGCAAATAATTACGACAACAACATTTTTGATAAGAAAGAGAAAAATTCTATTTGCATTTCAACTGAGGATTCCACTACCCTTAGCTAGTTACTCGCTCAAATGTCCAGGGATAGCTTAGACTATAGGGATTAATAACCTTGGTTAAGAATGAAAATTAAATAAAGAAAGAAGATAAAGAAGAGAAGTCAATGAATTCTTGATTTTCAGGGAAACTGTGCTAGTCCACGTCAAGTCCGGCATCCTTTAGCAACTTTTTTGTGCTAAAATTTCCCCTCTATCTAGCCTTGAATAACCAGAACAATAAGTGGATTCCTTTTTAATTTCTACCTTAAGCACGATGAAGTGATTCCCGGTGAGAATTAAAAGGAAACAGTTTTATATTTAAAACTAGAATCAGGAAGATTCGGTTTTTGCTTTAGGTAAGAGGATTACTTACTGAAATTAGTTTCTACCCCTCGACCCGCTTCTAAAAAAGGCGAACAAATGTATATTTTGACAGTGGTTCTAAGGAGGAGGAACGAAGCGTGATTGTTTCTGTGATGTTAATGAAAGGCATTACAGCTTTCAAAGGACAGAGAAACAACCTTGAGTTACCTGTGCCAACTATTGACAACATGTTTTGTACCTGAAGGGCCCAACCATATGACATCCACTTGAAAGAAAGATTTCTTTAAATTACTTTTTGCGTTTGCTTGTTTGTTTGTGTTTTTGCTATCAGCATTTTTTCGTTTTATTCTTACTTTTTTCGGTTTATCCCCATTTTTTCCACCTGCCTTTAACTATCCGTATTTTTCCATCAGCATCCGCCATCCGCAGGTATCCGGTCCGCGTTTTACAGACACCCTTCCTTACGTTGTTAAGTTTCTTTAACGAAAGCTCTCTGTCTAACAATCTCTCCTTTCAAATTGATTACGTCTAAATAGTAGGTGCGCACGCAATACGTGGAAAACCACCTATTAGTTGAGTCAAAGAAAGTAAACTTCAATAAACATCTAATCATAAACTGTTTTTATTTTTATCTTGAAAAAGTTGTGCCTATTGATTTTGCCAAGGCGAATGATGTTAACATAATCTGAAATCAGGCCAAATAGATCCTTCGTTTGCACCTTTAAAAAGCCGTGCATAGTAATGGCATAGTAATAGAGGCTAATCTCGTCTCTTTCAGTCGCATTAGAAAACGCAATTTCATTATTTTTCAACGATTTACTTAGCCTAATTTTCATACCAAGAAGGTCTATAAAATTATACTAACTTTAAACAATAAAAATACAAGCATTGAAAATTGTAGTTTTGTATAAAGCCTTGTCTATATTTTCGAATACTTCAGGATTTGACATGTAGACCTTGACTGATCTTTCGTTGGAAATAGTTCTTGTCTTAGACAAATTCTGGTTTGTTTCTTGTAATTTCAACCCAATTCATAACTGTATTAATTCTTCCAACAAATTTAGGACTTTTCTAACTATTTTGGTAAAAATTCAATAAAGAACTCAGCACCTTGTAATGTTCGTTATATTGCTCCCCCCTTTTATATTGACTGGGCAACCCAGCCTTATTAGAGAAATTTGTCTGGGAAAGAGAATTATTTTCACAAGGAAATTGCCTGGAAGGTTTTATGAAGACGAGTTACTTTTTAGCCAAGACTTGGGTATGAAGATGGGTTAGCTTAATGGTATAAAATGAAGGTGCGGTAATTATATTGAAAGAGTGTATTACTGATACTGCAGTGTAAAGGTTTGTGACCCTAGGGCGGGAAAAGGAAGGAGAGCTTCGACTAATTTCGTCTCTGGAATTTTTATCTGATAAAAGTTAGTGATTTACCGCAAGCAAGTATTCTTGGAGCATTACTATTTTGTATTTATGTAAATGACCTACCAAATGTTATTCAAAATTGTTCAACCGCGCGCAACGTGGATGACACCAAGCTTCTATTGTCTTTGACCGTGAACGACTGTGTTGGTGTTATAGAAAGTGTTAATTCCAATTTACAACTGATTCGCAACTGGTGTTTCGATAATTGCTTAATGCTTTATCCAGATAAGACGAAACTGATGGTTTTTGGCAGCCGGGAAATGTGTTCGAAATTACTAGACTTCTAGAAAAAGACAACCCAGCTCAAGCTATCAAAGACCTTGGAGTAATTTGTGAGACCGCGCTATCATTTGATAATCACATTTCTACTACAGCAGCTTTCTTGCTCGCAGGCTAAGGAAGCTAAAAGAAAGAACTAGAAGTCACTTCTCATTTTTTCGTTGAAAAAGAACCAACTAGTTTCCCTTCAAAGTTCTTCTTACACTATATAATCCCTAAAGCTTGCAGCTAAGACAGGTAAAAAGTTGGCCATGATGTTATTCAATCCTCTCCATTGCCTCCACATTCTGTCGTTTAAATACGACTGGAGGTCTTCTCTAGGGATGCCTCTTCTCTCCTTTACGGGTCCTTTTAAATTGTTCCAGGCAGACTCTGCCTCCTGTGTATGAACACCAGTTGTTGGGTCTACGAAGTTGTGACTATGGACAACCACGTGATGCTGGGCAACGAGGGCTGGCAAATGCCGTTCAAGGTTTCTGTAAGCACCCCAGTCATCGCTGTAGACAATGCTGCCTGGTCGAAGGCACCTCTCTAATATGGGCAATAAAGTAGCCCGATCTCTTTTGGGAACTACCTGGAAGTATCCCCTGGCAGGCCTTGTCTCTGTCGAGATCACTCCAAAGACCCACACATCGGGCGCACGTCTTCCTCTGTTGTACTAATATGAAAAAAAACAACGGGCTCGGTAAGCTGTTGCCGTTTACATTAAAGATCGAGGTTTCAATAGTTTGCATCTAACATGATAAAACTGCAGTTAATGACACAAAATGGAGTAGCTAGTAGTTTGCTAGACCCGCGCTCTTATTCTTTATATTTCTACTTGAATATTTCATTTCGGGCCCGAAAAGTTACCGGGACTTTCGAGAAACTGGCCCTGGTCAGTAAACTAAAACCTTTTTTTTTTGGCAAGAACCCGTCTAATATATGAAGATAAAAATATAGCATTTTGTACCCCTGTTTCCTTTTCAAGAAAACAGGGGTATCCAAAAGACAATTTCCTCTTAAAAACATTGAAAAAACTTTCTTACGGGCTATCCAGCTAGAGAACCTTTAGACGTAAAAATGTTCTTTTATCGCAGAGGAACTTGTCGAAATTGGGCTTCCATAACTATTTTCCCGAAAATTTTGATGTAATTTGAAATATTATAACGAAAGTGAGTATTTTCTGATTACTCTCGCCATCATAAAATTTTAGGCTTCTAAAATTAGCCTAACCGTGGGCTAGTGAAAAGGATGTAAGGGTTCGTCAGTTTCCTAAAACCAGAGAATTTGCAATCTGTTAATAAAAACAAAAATGTTTCAGCCTTTGTGTTAATTCAGGGGCTGAAGCAAACTGGGCGCATGATTCTCTTTACCTTTGCTTTGTGATTAAACTTGCTTTCATCGCATTTTATCACCGCTGCTCCTCCAAAAGGTACGAATGGGTTGTTATCTATGTCCAGGGAACATACATCTTCCAGACTTCGGAAAATTTTGCACACAAGGTTGTTGTTCATTGACAGCATGCGGGCAGTTTTCCGCCGACTCACGTCCATTGACCAGAAGTAAATGAGAAGAATCAGCTCTCCTAGGGATATTATGGTTTTCAGTGGTGAGTACAATTTAAGCCTGTTCACAGACCCTGTAGTTTCCCTTTAAAGTCCGCCCAGCGCGTGTGATAAAAAATAAACCGTAGGAGGATTTTTAGAATCGTGGGAGGAATGTGCAGGGTTGCCACATCTTAAAGTTTTTCCTAAACTGCATGGATCTGAGATAAATCAGTCCAAATCATCCCTATGTTGATAGGT